ACTTTTTTTTCTCAGCTGTCTGGCTGTCCGGCGGATACATGGGATATTGAGCCAGATCCGTCTGTCTCAGCAGGCGAGTATGTAAGAGCAAGCTCTTGCAAATTACCTACATGAATGGCAATGTGATCGCCTGGTCCGGATAGGTAAGTACCTAAGGTAAGGTAATATGCAAATCATTTGTTTGACCGGAATGGTAATCCTATGTAGGGTCTCTCGTCTTTGCATGTTGATCCCGTCTATCAATCGCCAGCTCACCTCTCTTTTCCCCTTATCTTTCTAGCCCCTAGCCCCCTAAGGAGAGTTGCTAGAACGAATCATATTGACCATCGTTACCTAAATAAGGGATACCGTCTAGCGTACTTGTAGTCCAGGTGCCATATCCAGGTGCCATTCTGATAACAGATGGCGGCTCATCGCGTTAGGCTCGCGCATCAATACACTAACTTCAGATCCCATACGGGGTGCATCTTTACCGCCTCTTACATAGGAGGTCCAATGACAAGCTGTGGCGCAACTGGTATACCCAATGACCCAATATATGTTGCAATACCTATCGCTATCGAGTTCAGGAATGATGAAACAGCGCAGAGACGGAATTGGCTCTTGATGCTCAAAGAAGCTTAAGGGAGAGAAAATTTTGAGATGGCTGATGATCAATTGGAAGCGGACCATGTACCTAGATACTTAGCTTGGGGTACAATTACAGGTAGAAATGATGGAATTAGGTACGTCCAAGTCGCGAGCAAGTACCTAGATACATCTATACATTAGGTACGTAACGGGTACTTCGTACGTAAGTTAAAAATGGCAGCAAGGCAGTAAAGCGTACCGGCTCTTAAGCATACCTCCATAGGGCATAGCGCTGTAGCCCCAGCTCTGCACCTCTCGGGTGACTTGGTTAGTAGATCCACCTGCCCCGCGATTTGGACGGTCTGACGGTATCATCCAGGAACCGCACACGTAAAGCTGCTGCGATTCTTATTTTCTATTACCCCCATATTACTTGATAGCAGCGTCTATCGAACCCAATGGAGCAGCACGAGGTCAGCCGATTTGACGCCAGGCGACTCGCAAGGCCTCGTGATAGCTGATAGCTCAACAACTCTCTCTTGGCCTGTCGGTGCATATCGACCGTCCCAGGGTTCGGCTTCTCATTACTAAACTTGTCGCGAGGTCAGTGGTTCAGCAATTCTCTGGGGTTAAGGGGTTCCCTCGGATTTTTTTTTTTTTTTTTTTTTTCTTTCATGGCGACATCTTCTCCGAAAACAACGTCATGAGAACCGGTTGAGATCTCGAAACGAAAATATCGTCTCCTTTTTTTGCGGAGCCCAAGTGGAACAATTCCTCTGTTTACTCCTGTACTAGGTGACACTGCAGGGACAATCATCTGTTGCCATCGCCGCGTCCAGGATAGGGAGTTGTGTTCAGCGTTCGTTCGTTCGTTTGTTTTAACTAACGTAAGCAAATTTATGCCGGCAACTTCTGCCGTAATTCCAAGAATGGTAGCTTAGCTCTAAGACGGGGAGCTCAAGCGTGTTGCCTGTCTTACTAGTTTGTTCTTAGTAGTATTGCTTCGTGGCAACCTCGACAGGAGAGAAAAAAGGGGAATGGAATCTCAAAAAAGTCATTACGGTACGGTAAGGTTCCACAAACAATACGGGATACGGGGAGAACCAGTTTGTGGGATTGCACTACGCAGCATAATATCGATCGATGATTACGGTCCGGAACAGGGCTATTTTTAACCTCTCTTCCACGTTTTCGCCCTGTAGCAGCCGTAAACCTGTACGTACTGCATACGCACTCTACCCCTGAATCGTAGATAAGCACCGCCACGAAGTGTGGATTTGCGAAACGGCTAGCGGTCGACAATACGAGGGTTAGAGGGAGTCCTTATCAGCCTTTTCTTTCCAAGACTATCAGACTTATTCGACCGCGTACTAGAAACCTATTCATCGTAGATACAATCTCACCAATCTTACGGTATGATCCGAGTGTGCGCATATGCATCGTCTTTCGTCTCCCGGTTCGGGGGGCTTGGAAGTTAGCCCCAACATTTAACCATACCCAGACAGCCGCAGAGAACAGGTCGACAGATACCCTAGTATGTATCATTAATCCAGGAACGGCCCGTAAGGGACATGCAAATAATCGCAGCCTTCGGTTGGGAACCGCTCTGCCGGCGTTCATCCCAAGTTAAGGGTAATCCCAAGTTAAGGGTACGACTCCCTATCCACCAGCGTTGGATTTGCCGATGGGCGATTGGAGGTGGCCACGCAATGCTAATGCTAATTGCATGATTGACAATTGGTTCAGAAGCAACTGGTGGAATTCGTATTGCCAATTTATTTATCTAGCCGTAACGTCGTTTGCGATTCTTGTCGATTCGAGGTGAAAAAGCCAAGCCGTTGTTGCATTGCAGCGTCGATCCAGAAATTGATACCATCCTGATGCTTTCTACATGCTCCTCTACTCTCCATATGCCGAAGAATAATATATCCGATCTGTCCAAGAAAGCTTAACGAAGCTTGTTAACCCAATCTGTACGACCCGAGCCTGTCTGCCTATGCGGTCTATATGCGGCGTCCGGACACGTTGCGGATGTTTACGTCCAGGTAGGTAGGTAGGTTCCAGGTAGGTCGGCTCGTTGGATTTCCGTCTCGTAAGTACGTCGGATCGATTTGTCTTTTTAAATGGACCATGACTAAACGCTTTCTTCGCTTAGTCGAAGTTGGTCTCGGGTTAGGTATTTGTTAGGTACGCGTTAGGTAAACAACGTAATTGCTTGCAGAAAGATCGCCCCAATCCCGTCTTTTCTACCCCACCTACCATATTTGGGTTCGGGTTCAAGGTTCAGGAAGGTTGTCTGGTTGTCACTGCCGCAAGGATTGGAGTCGAATCGCGGGGTTATCGAGAGAGAAAAATCAAAGTCGGACTGACGGGAAGTAACTCACCATTCACCACTTACCATCTTCAACAAACGCGATCACGACTTATTATTCATCGAATTAGTTCACTCGTGCATCATATTTCATAATTCTATACAAAGTAGCATTAAACATTATTACTTTTTTTCTCCTTCTTCTTTTCACTTAGAATGAGCTCCTCATCCGACCAATCGCACTTTTCGAATCTTCGCGCTCAGGCTGAAATCCTGGATGGGGAGGATAACCTCCGTCATTTGAGGGACGAATTCCACGTCCCCACCAAGGCTGATATTAAACGAACGACACTGGAACAGCCGCAGCAACACAAGCAACAAGGTGAACTAACTGCCTTTTCCGGTCTGCAGCAACCGAGATCCGTCAGCTCATACTGAACTTCCCTAGATCGTAACGATCCCGCTCCAGCCGACGAGACAACCGCATGCACATACCTCTGCGGGAACTCCCTCGGACTGCAACCCAAAAGAACAGCAGCTCGCATCAACCAGTATCTCCAAACCTGGTCCACCCAGGCCGTCCAGGGGCACTTTAAGCCTTTAGACGACTCTCCTCTGCCGACATGGCTCGACGCCGACGCCCGAGCTGCCAAATCGATGGCCTCCATAGTCGGCGCGGATGAATCAGAAGTAGCCGTCATGCAGACCCTGACGGCGAACCTGCATCTATTAATGTCCGCCTTCTATCGTCCGGATCCAAAGGGGAAGCACAAAATCATCCTAGAAAGCAAGGCCTTCCCAAGCGATCATGTAAGAGACGATCCGCATGACGACAGACGTGCGTTCGCTGAGACGTGATAGTTTGCCGTACTGAGCCAGATCCGCCATCATGGTCTCTCCCCAAGCACGTCGATGGTGACCGTAGAGTCGCCCTACTCGGAAGATGCTCTCATCACCACGTACGATATCCAGTCCATCATCTCGAAGCACGCATCAGACACGGCGCTGATCCTGCTGCCCGGCATTCAGTATTACACCGGCCAGCTGTTGGACATCCCAACCATTACCGCGTACGCGCGCAAACACAACATCTTTATCATCTGGGACCTAGCGCACGCGGTGGGCAACGTTCCCCTCCACCTGCACGACTGGGACGTGGACGCCGCGGCCTGGTGCACGTACAAGTACCTCAACGGCGGTCCGGGTTGCATAGGAGGTATGTTCATCAATTCTCGCAACAGCTTAGTGACGACGACGATGGCCGACGAGGAGCCCGAGAGGGGATACGGTAAGCGACTGTCAGGCTGGTGGGGAAACGACAAGGCAACTCGCTTCCAGATGGAGACCAAGTTCCACCCCGTAAAAGGAGCAGCCGGATTCCAACTGAGCAACCCTAGCATCCTCGACATCACAAGCCTAAGCGCCTCGCTCGAGGTTTTCGAGCTGGCCGGCGGAGTGTCGCCCCTTCGGGAGAAATCTAAGAGGCTTACGGCGTTTCTCGAGCAGTGCCTCTCCCTCCTATCGGAAGATGCCAAGCAGCTCTTCAGAATTATTACGCCGTCCGACCCGGACCAGCGCGGTGCCCAGCTGAGCCTGCTGCTGGCAGACAATATCCTAGACCCGGTGATGAAGGAGTTAGAGACCAGCGGCGTCATCGTAGACGAGAGGAAGCCAAACGTAATTCGCGTCGCTCCTGCTCCCCTGTACAACTCGTTCGAGGACTGCGTCGCGTTCGCCGAAGCTTTCGACTCAGCCCTGGTGGCGACGCAGAAAGATCTATAAATTAGCCCCTATCGACGGTAGCGATTAGATGTTTTCGTCGTTGCCAAGCCGAATTTCAACTCGTATACGTTAGGGCGATAAAGGTAAATTGTATGTAGGATGGGGTCGGAATAGAACGGACAGCGACATGGATGATATTCCCTTTACATATTCAGTTCGTCGGCTAAGAGACGTAGGATTATCCATACCTGACCATTTTCATAGTGCACTTGGCGCGGGCGTCATCTTCACGGTCGTATCTTGGACTTCCATATTACTTCATATACATTTCTAATCTTGAACTTTTCGTAAGCCCTTAAATATGTTTTCCCTCGTCTCTAAAAGGGAGCTCCAATTATCATTGAGCAGAAGTAGCGATCCCCTGGTATCCGTATCAACTATCATGCAGTCACATATGATATACTACGCACTGAGCACATTTGGAACATCGTTCTATATTTTTTATTCTAACCGGTAATACGATAGTAGTATTGCCAGAATAACTACAGACCACTCCTTTATCCAGCTATAACCCAATAACGAATGACAACCAACGAAACTCAAGCAGGACTGTTATATCTCGAAATGGACTCGGACGAAAACGAGAGTATCAAAGAATGACCCCCGAGGTAATCGTATGCAAAAGATCCCTTCTCGTCATAACCTTTGGCGCTATCTTATTGTCGTAAATCCTCTATGCCGAGCCAGAGGGAACTGGGACGCCAGTCGGGGCATCAGTAGGGACTCCAGTCGGGGTACCAGTAGGAACACCACCGTTAGGAAGACCACTAGGGAACCCAGAAGGAAGATCAGTTGGGCGGCTTGCAGGGAAGCCGCTAGCAAAGTCGCTTTGGAAGCCACTCGGAAGACCAGTCGGAAGACCGCTAGCAAAGTCGCTCGGGAAGCCGCTGGGAATACCAGTCGGGAAGCCGCTGGGGAGATCAGTCGGGAGGCCACTGGGAAGATCAGTCGGGAAGCCGCTCGGCGGGCCGGTAAAACTACCACCAGCAGGCAGCGTGAGACCGGAAGGAATAGGGGGGTTGCCGCTGATAGCTGAGGGCGAACCACCATTCGAATCTCCCGGCTGAGGTAGACTTGTCGGAACCGAGCCCGGGGTTCCCGTGGTTATGCTGGACTGCTGCGGAGCAGGTAAGCCGAGGACGACGGCAGCCAAGGCAGCGAGCGGGAGAGTTTTGAAGAACATTTTGTTAAGATTGTAGTTGAAATGTATTGACTTTGAAAGTTGTGGTTTGAAGAATCGAAATTTTTATAGAGAATGGATAATGCTTAGTTGCTTGTTAGACGATGTAAGAATGTTGTTTGCTACCAAGTGAAAACTCCATCGTGGAAAGACGCTATATTTATAAGAAGAATTTTACATTGTCTTTTCACCCATCGATCTATTTACACTCAGGAGACAGGTGTAAGAGGTTTCGCAATCCAACTATCTCCCCATCGCTGCGCCAAAGGCGGTTTTGAAACCAAGGAGGCTTGTTACGCGTAAACTACCTACGCAAACGACTGAACAACAATTATCCTGCGACGGGTTTATATGGAGCACATCGCATCATATCATCCAATGCATAAATAGACGGAAGAAGCCGACAGATCTGCCGCGCCGGCTTGTACGACCCCCAACTGCCGTTTGCTCTCGGCCTGTCAAATTCGCGGTGGCTGCTCAATCGGGACGGGTGGGAATTCGTAATGTGCTGGGAGCTGAGCCACCGGGGTGTCTTTCATATTCCTAACTCACCCCTCTCGGTACTCGTCACCTAATCGCTATTTTTGGATGAACTTTGAATAGGTAAACAGTTCGGTAGGTATTCGCTATGCAAGAAAGACGTTTGGTAACCACGTGCTGGGGGCACCTGGCTGCGCATAAAGAGGTGTACGTAAGGCGTTCTTAAAATAAATTCCTTGCGCCTCCACGGGCCCGAGTAACTACCGATTTATACCCTGTGGCCTTAATATACATAGTATATATTGTTTGTCTGATCCATTAGTTGTAGGGATTATTGTAGACATCTGATCTATGGTCAGACCGAAATTTTCGTCTTTGTTGATGCTTTGGGGAATATCATTCAAACCTTTTGGTTAGGACTACGAGTTCCTTTGTGAAACAACGGCCCGCTCCGTGTCGAAGTTGAAGTCGTTGTCGGATGAATTTCTAACTGGAACTTTTGAACCACTTCTTTAGCACATAGCTACTAAAATAATCTGGTATCGTGAGGTATGATTCCCCTTCTCTTAGTCTGAGGTTCTGAGTAGTCGCAGACTCGACTGTATCACCTTAACAGAGATATCTTTGTATTGAAAAGGTCCTGGTTATTCATTTATTGCCTGTTGCAGATATCTTTCATAACATACAATTTTTCTACTCCCCTTTTTTCGAGGTTACCTACCCAAGTTAGTATGTCGAGCTGTATGAGTATACGACGAGAGAAAGCGGCGACAGGGTTCTTAACTCGAGTATTCACACCTACAGTTCGTTAAATATCATTCAACTCAAGTTTTCTCCTAACCGAACCCTGCGAAGTTAATGGGTTGATAGAAAACCCCGTTCTGCATCCTTAATCTCGAAAGAGGTATTGCTTCTTAGCCTTATAACGGGCCGGCATCAAGCCATTTATAATACTGGCAACATTAGATTCAGGCTGGTCATAGAGGCGTATAAGTCTTCTTCGAGCTTTCCGTAAGTCTGGGTATGTTGAGGTATGGGTACTGTGTTTATATTGATCTTGAAGCCGAACAGGCGATAAAATGCGGTCTTTGATGACCTTCTATATATATTAAAAATCTTCTTAAAATCGATTACTCTATACGGGATATTCTCTGAGAAAGCGATATGCAACGCCTTTCTAAATGACCTGTCGCGGAGTTTTTTTCCCTCCACTTCTGTGGAACCGTGGCGTCGGCAACTTCTAATCTACCAGTCTACCAGCTCTCTTCTGTCCCGTAAAACCCAGGTTTCGCCTATGCACAAACTTTAAGCTAACTCGTATGTCTTCGTAGCGGCGTCATTCGATAATTCGGCTCGGGGGTTACCGTCAATCTCTACTTGACCGGGCGTGACTGTCGCCGCGTATTTCTCGGTTCTTATCGGGACCGGAGGTTCTTGGTTCAGCATGAAACTCTGCGAAGCGTCTTCGAGCCGAGCTTTTCTTCGGCGAACGAACCATAAGCATAAAATAACAAGCGCGAGAAATGCCACTCCTCCAACTACACCCCCAACTATTGCGCCTACGGGGGCCGAGTTATTCGAGCCGAAATTGGAATCGGAGTTAGATTGCGAGTCTGACGTAGCTGATGCCGTCGGTGTTGCTGTTGGTGCTGTCGACGTCGTCGAGCTCGAGGTGAAGCTGACTACAGGTAAAGTGGGCAAGATCAGTTCACCCGTCGTTTCAATAGGTTTGACGGTTTACATAGTTGTACCTTGGGAAATCTCGGCAAGCGGCAACGCGCCATCCGGTAAGCTTGCCCCGGATTTAGAACACCCGTCGGAACCGCGATAGTTGTAGCCTATATAGCCCTGTTCGCAGCAGAAGAAGCCTGCGTTATCAAACATGGCCCACGATCCGTTGGCGCATTTCGGGGTCTCGACAGCCGCTGCCGTACAGTTCGTGCCGAATGGGCAGCAAGCTACGTTGTACTGGCTTGGACATGCCGTCGAGGAAGGGCAGCAGGCGTGAAAGGGATCTACAGTAACACCACAGTCAACTTCCCCAACGCAGGAGCCGCTGCGGCGAATGGCCCAGCCGGTAAAGTCGTTGGTGGACATTCTTCGGACTCGTGGACGAACACTTGGTCGGGTTTTCCGGAGGCGTACGTAGAAGATTTCAAGAACAATTCATTTTCATTTCGACGGATGGGCTGATAGGGGGCTTATAGGCTATAGGATCCTTTAGCTACGGGACTTATGCCGTACCCTCGTATTGCTATCGTAGGGCTGTACGGGAGATCGGCTCTTTTGTGTTTACCAAATACATATTGCTGGGATATAGGCCAATCATTTGCCATTTTCGTCTTCAGCTCATCACCAAGCGGCATTTAGCATCCGAGATTGAAGGTTGAAAGTTCTAGGTCTTGGAGCCACGAAGTGACATGAGACATGGCTGATGTAGAAGTGGCGCTAGATCGAACAGAGCTAGATGTTGTGGCTGTGCACTCTGCCGTGCCTGACTGTACCTGTTACATAATCATGCAGCACGCCAAGGTCCCCAGGCCAATCAATTAGAGTTGCTAGTCCTAGTTTTAGTGACCGTTGTTCTTATGTGACGTAATTCGTCTAAGTTCAAGTTGTCGTACGTTTTGCCATCAAGTCCAGTTATGCCAAAACAAATATTCCTTGATATTAGACATCCCCCTTATTGCTGCATTATTTAAATACTTTGTAGAACTCTACTCGTCTGTCTGTATCACAACTTGCTAAACATCATTAAAGCCTTAGTTACTAAGTCATCAACGTTACATCTATAGGCATCTTCAAACAGAACCAAAGGTAAGCCAAAATCCTATTCAACGTATGATAAGCCAGACCACATACTTACTAAGTCCAAAAGCTACAAATACAAACCATAAACAATTGAATAATGCCTTTTTTCTACTCCAAAAGCTTCGGCGGCCGCCACTTCGGCACCAACGTCACCGCCGGTCGACACGGCGTACACCGAGGACCGTGGCGCTTCAGCTTTGGAAGATTCAACTGCTTCAGGGCCTAATTATATTCGCGGATAAAAGGATGAAAAGCTTGCTATGGGGTACGCTAAGAGTAGTTGAGGCTTAAATCTGGTTCACGGCGGTATTGTGTTTACCTAAGTACTAAGGTTGGGATTAAGGAAGTAATTTGCAAGATACTCCTTCGACGAAATGATGATGGATTTGCTATAACGTACGGGTGCATGGGACGAGCTGCTTCGGAAGAGTTTAAATTATATTTGGCGGGATGGAGTTAGGACTCGCATGTACAGCTTATAAATCCTGGCGGTAATACTCGTGTGGGCTTTCCTTGGCGACGTTATTCCTGTTATGATCCTAGGTAGAGATACCTATAGAATAGATTTGATATACCTGTTATCGTGGATTTTTTCTCTTTGTTGGAGAACGTCGAGAAGTCTTTTGATCGGAATTGTATACTCCATCTTACTAAGCATTTTACTACGAGAACTACAAGAAAGATTTTGGAATTTTCCAAAAAATTTTTAGGATGATAAATTTCTAGATATAAATTGAATGTCCGAATTACTGTGGTTAAACATCAGTTGAGCCTCAAATCTCGTAGCCAGAATTCCGGAGATGCGCTAGAGGCTGATTGATAGGGACTATCTGCGCTAAGGCCCCGCAATACGGTAATCATTTCTACCGGGATAAGCAACTGATTAGAAACCTCTAAAATTCATAACGCGTAACTAAGAAAGTAAAAAGATAATTTACTTGTGAGTTACCAAATTAGTCGTCGATAGTGCGCCGTCACACTTGACAACTGATAACCCTTCACGATGTGGTAAGTTTAGGATTTTACACATAGATTTCTAATATGGAGATTAACCATCGTACAGCAAGCACGTCTTAAATGCTCAAGTTGCGATCCGCTCGCCATGCTGTACGTTCTTGAGATACCCCTTCGCGTATTCCATACTATACCTACGAGCTCCCTCGTGGCCTTTCTCGTTTATATTCGACCCTTTAGACGCCTACTAACGCTTGCTGCCCAGGTAAAAAATGGTTTGACTGCGCAGATTGCCACCACGAGCAGGAGTCGCACCCGCTGCTGCAGAGCTTGGAAATGACGTTCGCCTGCAAGAAGTGCAAGAAGTGCTTTCGGAAGGACGCCCAGGAGTTCGAGGAGGCCGACGAGTACTGCCCCCACTGCGATAACCACTTCGTCATCGATGCCGTCGTGCCGAAGCCCGCTTTGACGGTCGAAGGCGAGGACGCGCGGATGGATAACCGTATGCTCAAGGACGAACGAGTGAAAGGAAGTCAGAACAGGACTATCTTCGACATTCAAAGCGACGCGGATAAGCTCGGTTGAAGAAGGGGACCCGGGTTATAATAGAAAATTACGACGAGCGATGCATTTACATGATACCACACATTTAGACTTTTAGGACAACAGAATGGCACCGAGAGACGAAAGGACGATGCATGCTTCTGGGCGGTTGGTGTACAAATAGTAACATGCCCTATGATTTATTTTCTAGAGGCCTGTAAAAGCTTTGGCTACGTCCCATATTTAATCACTGCCACCTTGCTCTCTGGTCAAAATGGCCGCGCTACCGGTTCCTGGTGTCCGGCCAGTCTTCTTCTTGGCAGCTTCCTCCTGCTTCTCTTGCTCGATGTTCTTGACGTAACCCTCGATATCTTCCACCGGTAGCAGCTCCAGAGTCTTTCCGGGAGCCATGATGGCGATTTCGATGTTCTTCGCGCCCGTCTGCACGACTTCTAGTAGCGACTTGATAGCTAGCCGAATGGTTGCCTCGCGATCCATGTCTTCCTTGTAGTTGCGCTCTAAGAATTCTCTGACCGTCTTGCTCGAGCGGCCGATGGCATTTGCTTTCCTGTATAACGTATTAGCACATGCGTTACCCTGCTGCCATCGTAGAAGAGGGATATGCATACCACGCGGAGTAGATACCGCTCGGCTCGGTCTGGTAGAGTCTGGGTACTTTGCTGTTTTTGTCGAAGCCCACGATCATCGTGCTGATTCCGAAGGGTCGCACACCACCGCTCTGCGTATATCTCTGTTGCACGCCGGCGACGTACTTGGTGATGTACTCGATCGATACGGGATCCTCAACTGTGAGGCGGTGCGATTGCGCTTCTAGTCGCGCCTTGTCTACTAGAATTCGGGCGTCGGCATTTAGACCGGCAAATGCGAGGCAGACGTGGGTATCGATGAGTCCGATTTTAGAAGGAGTAATGCGCGTGTCTTGTAGCTTCATAGCCGATCTCTTCTCGCAGCCGAGCACGACGATATCTGCGCCCTTCACACCGACCGCGCAGGTACCTGGACGGCATTAGCTTCGAGCGATTGAGCTGCTTGGTAGTGTTTGTACCTCGCTTGACAGCTTCGCCGGCATATTCCACCTGGAAGACGTGTCCGTCCGGACTACAGATGCGTCAGAAAGGTATACTTTGTAGCTCCCTCATTTGATACGAACCTGAATACTATAAGTACATATAGTTAGCTACGCTGTTTCGCCGTTGGGAACGTTAGTTAGGAAAAAGAAACTTACCGGAAAGAGCTCTATCGTATCCTGACGCCATGGTGAAATGTGTTAAAACCGAAAATGTCCAGATGAAGTTTGAAAAGGTACGTGGGGGAGCTGTGGTAAAGCTCAAAGAATGACTTGGGAATTCGGCGAGGTTTACGGTTGACGGTTGACGGTTGCACGCAAGGCTGCCAGAGTTACGAAGCTCCCTGCAGCCAAACGCTAGATGCGGACGCCTGAAGCTCAAGCCACAGATAGCTCCAATCTTAGAAAGCTTCATGTACCTAGGTACCTAAGTAGTATGCACCGCCACATATGGTCTCTCTACATAGTGTAAGTGCGGTCTCCTTGATTATGTGATCGAACTTGTGCTCCTAATTGGCTTAAACACTTTGGTCCTCATTATTCCCTTTTATATAACACGGAATTGATCTTAATAAAACATCTCATCAACATTAGCGACCAAACGGAAAGGCATTCTCTATCGTACAAATCCGTGTCTAACGGAAATTCATGGCCGTGCCTTAGTCCTGGTCTCGCCTCCGTTACACCTCCGTTACTTTTGCCAATGTTACCATACCTACCTACCTATCCAAACTGCTTGACATCAACCCATTTGTTCTCTTGCAAGCATAAACTTACTTCGCGACATTTTGCTTCCAATCTACCCTTAAAGCCGGCACACCATAGGCGTTCTAGCTCGCCGTCTCCAAAGTGTCCGATTCCATCGTAGAACTCGTTCACAACCCAGAGGGGAGCAGCTAAGAGATCCGGCTGCACCGTGGTTTGAAGGGCGAAGTCCAAGCTTCGGCACACATTTTCTGCGAGGATTCTTCTCTTAGAAGGCTGGTATTTCTGGATATCTATCCCTAGCGGTATCACAGACAGCATGCCGAAATCGCCGGAAGGGCTCTTACCCTCAGATTCGACGATGATATTCAGCATCATATCTATGCACTGATGAAAGCTGATAAGAACAGCCCAGTAGTAGACGTGAATCAGCCCCATCAACGGCGAAGGGAAGTTGAACACGTTAGAGAAGGGCACATGCGCGTCGTAATGCGTCGCGTCTGCTGTCCAGTGTAGCATAGATCCCGACTCGCTCACTCTCTGGTGCAGCATGCTATACCAGATATCAAATTGCTGCTCGATGTTGACGCAGCTGTCCAAAAACTCCTTTTCCTTTAGGTGGCGCGAGAGAGACGCGTCTTGGGATGTTATGCGGCTCACTTGCGAGAAAACTGATGGTAAGAGAACGACTATGTCGAGTAGCTCGTCGAGCGGCGTTCTAGGGTGTCGTTCCCATGGTACGACGGTCCACTCCGGAGAGCAAAGGAAGGTCGGCTGACGGTTAAGCAAGGCCGCCCAAATCTGCTCGAGGCATCAGTAACCACGTGCCCTCATGCGACCGTTTACTTACAGCGCTGGGCCTATACACCCGAGCAAAGAAATGGTGCTCCGGGAAAAACTGGTACGCGGCGGGGCCCCGGTCGCGGATCCGGTCGGGAAGGGTAGTAGAGGCTTTCCAACGCGCCTCGCTACTATAAGCGGCCGAGGAGTTTTGCTAGACCCCTAGTTCAGCAAACATGTCGGTTAGAGAAATGCCGACGCACCTCGTATAAGAATACGCAAAGCCCTTCCGCGCTAGTCGCTTGCCTATTGCTACTCTTCGGAGGTAGATGGATGAGACAGCGAGACTTTATGCTAAAAGGTTCGCGGCCGAACGTCGGGTTTACGTCGAGAGCGCGGGAACCATTTAGTGACAACCTGACCTCGTCGTCTCTGCGTGGCGACCCGCTTCCCGGCCGAATCGCGGAGTCGAGGTCCGTCTGAAGAGCAACAAATCGAACGCGATGCGACCCGGCGGCCGACGACAGCGAAATGACATCGACCCACCCGGGCTGCCACGGCTCGGTAGCGATAAAATCTAGCTTATCTGCTTGCTGAATCTCCTTGCCTTTGGCTTTTTTGCCCTGCTGGTTCCGCGGCGGATGAGACGAACATCTCCCTTTGTCGTCCTGAGTGCCAACTATAAATACGGTCTGGTTCGCGTCCGATTATCAGCCATTCATCCCCACAGTTTCTACAACGACTAGGATGTGCGAGCGGAAAGTATATGGAAAGCTGACTCAAGCATCAAATCTTGTGGGAGTGTATTCCTCGGTCCGACCAGGGGCCAGAAGTTTAGTTACTAACCTCCCTCTCGTATCCGCCGCATTCGCGGCCATAATCTGTACATTTCTTGCAAAACGGCCTTCCGTTGTCGCACGCGACTCTTCTAGCTCGGCAGGTATTGCAGCCTTTGTACTTCCCAGGAACGCCGACCATGGTGAATATCGATATCTACAAGACGTGTTAGCGCACCAGACAACGCTAGCCTTGTTGCCTCATACGTGCCCAACATTGGCTTGCCGAACTTTGGGACGGACGGACCTGTCAGATGGATACGACTTTAGTTCGTTTGCGATACGTTTAGCATGGCCAAACCTTAGAGGTAGGACTGGGTGTGGGAACGCGCGAGATATAAAGGATTTCCGGGGTTGATGTGTTGGTCCTGCAAGGATAGCAATGCGCAAGTTCGAGGCGATCAGCCGTACATAAAATCTTGCACGACGCGGCTTAGCTCCGGTATCTACGAATAATCTACTCGTCCGGGGTCTCGTGTCTATGTAAGGAAGCGAGCCGTTGCCGACGCGAAGAGACAAGTATAGCAACGCCAAGGGGTTCTGACTCTCGAAATATCGATCTGGCTCCTGGTAGGATGTACCTTTTTGGTTCAACCGTGGGAGCCCTATCAGCATGAAGAATTCGCGCGGGAAAATCGAACCGACTCCTGGTAGAAGAGCCAATACGGCTCAGTTTGCGGAGGATCGTTCGTCCCTTGTATTACTCATTATTCTCCCACCTGCGTGTCACGGTGTGCGATCGCGGTCGACAGGTCTGCTGGGGGCTTCCGTGGGTCTGACCTGCAGCCACACGCTGACATGGGAGTATCGTACGCCCTCGACGCCCTGTAGGGCTGTGCCGACAGGGGTGTAGAGCCAGAAAACAGCTACCGATAAAGCTACGATGTACCTAGTACATAAATACAGGAACGAAATGGCGGGTTCGTGGGCTCTGGAAGATGCGCGGGCTGTGGATGCTCCTCGACTATTTCGAAGCTTGATTCGGCAGCGCGAGACGAAGGTTCTGGTGGCGTTCTTGTGCAACAACAAACTGACTCCAATCCTTGACTATCACATCGTCTACAACATCCCCCCCAGTACAGCAGACCAATCGTCTCGACCTAACTCGCTATTCCTCCCCACTGCTACCACCACCTCTTCGGGATTCGTATAGTCGGTACTCCCACTAGCACTGCAGATATTTTCTTATTCTGCAATGCACATGAGCTGTCATCTCATCCTCTGGCTAATGGACATAGCGTCGTGAGCATGCATCACGTGTTCAGGCTACGGGGATTTAGTTTTAATATCCTTTCAATATTGATAATGTCGACATGCTGACCGGAAGGTCGAATTTGAAGGTCTAACGTTTCCAAAAATACTTCGAAACGAGCACATACCTTTCTCTGGATACGAACTCAACGTGGATTTACCTACCCTCGACATTACGGACTGGACCTGGCCGGGAAACGGGACGTGGTTCCGCCGAGGCCGCAAGGCTACGTACTCCAACCGACGTCGCCATCGTCATATCATTTCTCATATACCTACACTAACGGCTATCAATTCAGTGCGTCCGGTTACACTACCTACTGCACGTGGTATCGGCCATGACGACAGCTCGCTCTGGCCTGCCGGAGGACGCAGAGTCGACTGGGGAAGCTTCTCCGTTGGATTGTTAGTCATAATAATGGAACGCAACCATGATGTTCGAGAGGTATTCGGTCCCCGGTGTTCGTAGCTAACAAATACGATCCTTTATTCTCTAATCCCGCAATCCATCATTCATATGCCCGTCAGCCACGAAGAACCTTTTCGGTTTCAGCGGCCTTGGGCACTTTGACGACTGCAGAAAGTAGAATCCTTATCCCAGTTCGATTGCTCTCGGCGGAGAATTTCCCGAGTAGAAGGCTGGTAGCGGTCATGAAAACAAGGGCCATCGCAGATCTGACAGGAGATCACAGGGAGCTGGCAGCTCGGGTCGAGTCCGTGACACTGATCTGATTTTATCGTGGCTGATGCACTTTTCTAATGAGAAGGCTAGCTCCATAGCTCTCTAGCCATTTAGAGCATCTCAGAAATGACTATTGGAGACACAGGCTATTACATCAGACAAATTAGAGCCGTGATCGAAGGCTTGGCAATCAGCACGGCGGGATTTGTGCATATTAAGTATGGGGTACATCCAATCTACGGCAGAGAGCCGTAGGAATTGACTAGCGAAAGACTACCTCCCTGCCCCCTCCATCCGGCTTACTATGCCCATCATGTACCTAGCTCAACTAGTATCGATACAACAACGTACCTCGGGCTAGTAGGGAGCTGAACGCATAGGACGATGGGATGCAGTGCTTATCCATCCTACGGCACGTTCATCTAGCTTGGAGGGTTCCCGACGGCTTGGAGAGCCATCCGGGAATATAGATGGCCTATCGGATCCTACTCTAGGATCTAAATGCAGATATATCGTAAGCTGGCGAAGAAACTACGTTTCGCCGTGACGGCTTGGTATCACATGTCGACGACATTAGAGAGGACGCATCGCACTTTGTTTACCTAACCCTCGACCCAGAATTTCCGCGGACCTAGATGTCGACAGTTGCTTTTTTGACATTATCGATGCGTCACATAAAATACTGAAGAACGCCACTGGCGCCTCTGGGAAAATGACAACACATGTCACCACGAACCGTTGAGGTACGAAAAGTAAAATCCCAGCAGTCGGACCGAGCTAGTAACACGTGGAATATTCTAGATGTTCTCGTGCTCGACAGCTGCAAATTTTACCGTTTTAGATTCCGGTTGGATCTCAAAGGACATCAAAATCTCTTGGAGATCGTGACTCGCAGGAAATGAGCAAGCTAGATGTGATAGACCTAGCCTAGAGATCGACACGCGAGAAGCTTGCCGGGGTGACTGAGGCGAGCTAGCCAAGCAATCTTTAGGACTGGCTTTTGACAGTACTATGTAGCGAGCGACCCAGCTGCCTAGCTAGGACTTCTTACAAAGTTTCTTCCCTCACGCGCGGAGTTAAGCCACCTACGAAAACGTTCACCTCCCACGTCTCGTTGAAGAATCGCCGGCAATTGGTAGCTATCCTTAGAGCTTACGCGGGGGTGGTTCATCACGAGTTTAGCCTACTCAGCTTGCGAGGCACCCTGGAGGATATCGCACATAATGCTTTGTGCGTGATATGATCTCTATCTTAGCGCACATTAGGAGCCAGCCACATTTCTATGAACCAATGCCCTGCCCTCGGAGGCTTCTGGGCGGTGCTATAGCTGGATGCAAAAACTAGGCAGAAATCAAAGGACTGCGCATATTTCGGCGCGTGTAACGAGGGGCGTCAGCCTCCGGTCCCGATGGACCCAGATAGACTTGGTGCTCTGCCTTAGTTATGGCTCATCTCGTCGGGAGCTGTAGGCGCGAGCCCGCGAGCCAAGTGAGTGAGGCTTCCAAAGGATCCTCGAGGGGGATCTAGCGCCGAACGAGTTGCGTAGGCGGATGTTAGGCGCTACGTGATGGTTGCACACAGTGGCAACGACTTTATGCCGGGCCTTTTTGTCGCGTCGGATCCGACGACGTGGCCGAAATATCCGCTCCTATCACCTTCTCTCATCATGCTGACCTATTCGTTACCATTCGTCTCGCGTTACACAATCCTCGTAAGACGTAGGATTCGCCCAGCCGCGGTTCCCAGGTGGAAATTGACCTCGCGCAAAGTACATTTACTATGCCTCCCAAAAATTCTTTTTATACGCGCAGCCGATAGCGTAGAGCGTTTGATAGCTAGCAGACTCGACGGCGACTCTTTATCTTTATTCCTATATTCCCCCTTTCCCATTCCAAGCCGAGAAGCTCCTTTTTCAATATTCATCTCCTCTTCTCTCCGGACGCATGCGAGCGACCAGTCTACTACCGAGTTAGCCCCTCTCAGCAACCGCCTATCATATAAGCATAGTGTAACATGTATACTCCAACTTGCTGCACGCCGCGGCACAATCGTCACATAGCCAACTGTCGAGTTAAACAAGGTCTCCTCTGTTTAATAAGCCTGGCTTAACAATTTTACGTTCTTGTATTACCAGCCCGAGTTGTACAAGAGGCTCGTCGATCGTATGCAGCCGTGACCGCTTCCTCCCCAGAACGTTTTAGCCAAGACCTGGGCTTTTGCATCAGCCTTGCTATCATTGACCGTTTCTATATTACGATCTTAATTCCCTAGCGACCGACCGCGCCCGTGTTTCATTCTTTCACTGTCCTATAGGTCGCTTATACGAAGAGGGTGCCGATATCAAGATATGAACGGGTGTATCGTACCTAGCGACTGGAATGCGCGCGGCACCGGTGCTGATCTAGAAGTCCTGGCTCTCGGCTTCTTGAGCTCAATTCAATCCTGGGCATCGATACTATTCGTAGAATCACACGTTTACCCTACATACTAAGCATTTTATTCAGTAACTTGAGTCGCACTCCCAGTCTGACCTCTATTAGACCCAAGACGTAGGTTATGCATAAACCCTTTGTTCCAAGTGGAGCACCGATCTCGATCATCCCGTGCGGGAATCGGGTACGAAGCGCATCTTTAAATCCCGGGCGCCTGGCTTCGCGAGTCTTGGCACCGTCCCCCGCTACACTTGGGTTCCCCAGACCAGGGTTTCATTCCATCCGTTTGATTCTTTATTAGTTTCGTAACATCGTGACCAAACGAACTTCGTAAACCTCCGCAGGATTTTCTCTAAATGCTCTAATCTTTCCAAGACAACAACTTTCAAGTTTTCAATAAGCCTCGACATAAGTACGATGCCCGCTCGACCGATATAGTTGCCATCATGTTATGCTTTATTTATACCGGCCTATCGATCTTCGAAACACGATGTCGTATATGCCGTCAAGATCATCGGAGAATTGCTACTGTGCGGATCTCATCGAGACGCATTTAGGAGAATGAATTAGTTCACGGGTTCTTCTCCTCCCCATCTCCACTATCAAAGTGTTTCGTAACAGTTATGACGTGATCGGCTACTATAACCATCCATAGACAAGACGTACTTAAAGCCGTCTATCCCCAGCACCACGACCCGCCTAGTCTGGCAAATAGGCGAGCGAGAAAGCTCTGTCGACATCTCCTACGGCGACGCGTAGGTCGTGATGGCTAACTATAGCACAAATATGCGTCAGTCCTAACTACCGACTATGCAAGGAGGGAGAGCAGAGACTACATTAGCTTGCTTACTACGTAGTATCGCAGCTCGGCGCCTCAATTTGGGGTTGTGTTACCCGCCAGAGAAAATAATCCGGCAGTGCTGTACTCAACGGAAGCATCCCCAGAGTAGCACAACGCCATGGAAATTGTAGGGACGCAAATGAGCAGATTATCAGCTCTCGTAACCTGGCTAGACTTTCTCTGCTTTATTTTATCCTAAGCGGTGTAAGCTCATCCCTTACAGCCTAAGGGTCGCATACTTCTTCCTTTCGAAGCATTAGGGAAATGTTCCCTCGCTATTCTCTGCTGCCTAAACGGACCCCGAGCTCCGATGGCCATACGTACCAAAAGCTTGGAAATGCACAAAAGGATCTAGACGACGTGCCTGGATGGAAGGTAAGCATGTAATGATTTAGAAGTGCAGTATATGCCCAGTTAAATAACTACATGTGGCGATGTTACGGTACAAGAGCCTTCATACGAATATTGCTGCCCTCCTCCTAAAGATCGTCGTCGATGCGTCTTCTAAGAAATAGGAACATAGTTTGCAACGTAGACTTTGAAACCATTCGGAGTTACGTGTCTGCCTCAGCGCCACCTTCTTCCTCATTGACCGCGTGGGCGGTCTAATGTACATAGTCACTTCTGACCAATATATCATCTAGGGATTTCGCATGCTCTCTTGGACGCGCGTATTGTATCGGGCCAAGTAGAAGGCCGACTATCTCCTTGATTTCGAATCTTTAGATCGATATAGTGTATGGTTAATTATAGGTATTCTACGATAGAGGTTATAGAGGTCAGCCTATCAAATGTCCAGTCGTCGAAGGAAAGAATTGAATGCCTTATGATATGGGAGATGGGAAAGGGCTAGGCTTGAAAATAAGTCTTTGGATGCGTTTCTTTCGCGCATCTGTTTAATATCCAAAGACTATAGACTATCCAAGTTGCCATTCGCAATGATTTCGATACATTCGGTGGCTGTAGCCCTTGATAAGATCTTGAAGAGCTCAGGTTACACTATGGTCGCCGGTAGCTGAACTAAATGAAACCCTTACACTTCTAGGGCATATTAGGGGGTCTTGGAACTCTTCCAGTGGTTCTTCCACCTCCAACATAGCCCCTCGAAACAAGTCTTTGCGAGTCTTTCGTCTTGCTTCAAAACCCTAGCTCTTATGGAATACCGAAGCCTATTCAAGACGGATCAGAGGGGTCGATCGCATGCTTTGATTTAGTTACCCGTTTTTCTCGGTAAATCTATCTGTAGGTTCTGTCTCATGCATACCAAGATATGGAGACGAAGCAACGTATATATCTGAGGTCTCTTATATCGATTAAAACTTTCCGTAGCAATTGAAAACATCCTATAACCCTGAGAATTGCTTATGGATCCTTTTGGCGCTTGAACTTTCAATTTATTTCTACATTTCCCACCACCCATGCAAAGGTAGAAGTAGTGTGTCAATTTTCCAGCGTTTAACATATCTCTTCCCAGCTGTTAAATCCCTTATGACCCACGAATCCTCGCTCCTGAATCCCCCGACGGCCGTAGGCCTTTTCATAACTTGTGCTGTGGCAATTGGGGATTTCTCCTTATCATAGGTGGGCAGCGATGAAAGGGGTTCGAAACTGAATCTGGCTATGCTGACCACCGAATGTTACGATACCTTGCGGGTTACAGAGCTGGCCATCAGTGTGCCTGCCCTGAAGTCTGAGAGACGTCTATCGTGAGGTAGAGCAAGAAGTATGGAAGCAAGTTGGTTGTTCCACGAGGAACCTAACTATGGGATCCTACGGATATGCATACTGAACGGATTTCTTGTTCTAGATTTTTCTATCTGGGACCCTAGCAACATCGGATTAGGAAAATTCATTATACTTAACCCGGCGTATCTTTTAATAGTTTTTGAGGTTGGTATGATGGAAACGCTCTTATGATCAATGTGTTAGCACTGATAGACATCGTGGCATCTGAACACCAACTGGCACTAAGGACCCATCTATTCGTGGAAGGTTTCCGTACCTATTGGAATATATCTACGAAAGGCTCATTTACGATGTAAATGGGTTAGAATTCCACTGGGGCAAACCAGATCCCAGGTCCAGTGCGGACTTTTCTCCAGTCAAAGCCAGCTACCTAGCGCTAGCACTGACTAGATAGAGGCGCTCCGTAGGTATGTGATGCTCTGAGATGGGGTAGATAGGATTTGGAGGGTTTTATCAGATAATAATTTGGCTCTGTTTGCCTTAGGAAGGTGTTCTAAACTTTACAGAGGGACATTGATGCGTTCTTGGGGGATTGATGTACAGTTATCTAACTAGATAGTCTACATGCGCACTGGATGTAAAAGGATTCACCGTCATCACTCACAGATAGTTACTTAAAGATAACAAGATACTGTTGAAGATGTTGCCGAAGCTGCCTGCAAACCCGAGAGGAATCTGCTTGGCCGGGATAGTAGTGGCAGCCTGCTCACGAGAAGAATCACAGCCAAAACCAGTAGCTAGGCTATGCTTGGCTGGCAAGGTAAGCTTTGCTCAAGCGAAGGCCGAGATGATCAGAATAATTCTTATTGGAATCACTTATGCCGATCTCGCCTTCTTCAAGTAGGCGCGAGAAAACTCCGCAACCAGAAAGTAGAGCTTGGGCGCCAGTATCGAGTAGGACCTGGTAATCACCGGCCCCTTCGGTAATCTTCTATTCAGCCACAGAAGATGCTACAACAGGAATCTTGACACTGGGGGGGGGTCTTGATAGCCTCGCGGAATACCTTAACTGTTTGAGCCAAATTGGGACTCCTGGAATTAGTCCAGGAAACGAGATAAGCCTTGTCGAGATTGTTGGAAGCGTTGGCGATTTTGACAGAGTTGGAACCGGCTACGACAGAAGAAAGTGACCCTGAGTCAAAGTAAAACCCTTGGCATCTGATATGTAGCACCAGGGGCATCTTTAATTCCGCTCTTAATTATCTCGTAGATTCGATTGTCATTGATACGGTCTGTAGTGGGACTGTTGAACACGGCTGCAGTAGTCACTCTGGCATGGCACCGGGAAATGAGCTTCTCGTGGACGAGGAAGAGCCCTATGGAAAAATCAGCTTTCATATGCCTTTACACTTGTAGTTTAAGTTAACACCTCCCAGCGCATCCCATTCTACCACCACGTTGGCAATGACCAGGCGGTTGTCGATAGGGGTGCTTTTCAAAGTTCCTGGGTCCGCTGCGGATTTCAGACAATTGTTCACGACCCCACCATGATTTAGAATGTTATCTAAGCTTATGATAACGTCTTTTCTAGTGGCTCTAGGGGGGATGTGCCTGTGGAAGTTGTATTGGAGACCGGTGGCACTTGATCAGGTCTTCGACGTGCTCCAGGTCGCAGCTGCGTCCGTTCGTACTGTAAGGGCTCTTTAGATATAGTATCGGTGCGTGAAAGGGAGTACTACGGCTGGTGCAACGCATAAGTCAGTACAATCTGATATAAGGCATGTGTTTATAACTGACTGCAGCGGGATTCGAATGACCGAATGGCGGTGTTTATAGGTTTGGAATATATTAGCATTTAACCCTGAGATCAAAATATTCTATATTCAAACTTGGTCATCCAGCTGTGTCAGCGCTTCTAGAGGTAAGATCTGCTGGACTGGAACTACCTGTTGTTTAAGCGTGTGAAATATGTGTAGCATATTGGAGTGAGTAGGAAGAATTTGGGGGCCTGGAATTTCGAGACACTTTTCAAAGTACAGCTAACAAAAGGCTTCCAAAGCACCGAACAGAAATATATTCAAATCATGGCTACCTGTCGACGTGCTTTGCCACTAGGTATCATATCTCCCAGCCTCAAAATGGGATTCGCTGTTACATGATTTTGTTGAAGTAATTAGGTACCTAGTCTAATTACGGTCCTACTGCTGACACTATCATTGACATATAAATTGGGAACGATGTTTGGGGCGTTGAAAAAATTATTTCTTGTCAAGTAGGCTGGACCCTTATCATTGCCGCAACCAAGAAAACCGCCAGTACCATATATTCTTCTTCAATAATCTATCTTTATGGCGTCCTACACGTAATGCTGGTCATATATTCAAAGGTCCTCTCATACGTATCTGGCAGGTGCTAAACATAGAGGGGTTGGCTTTGAGTGCGGCATCATTCTAGTGTTATGTGTGCAGACCTCCGTTATCTGCACTGCCTAAGTCGTGATTTGCCAGGCCTTGACACCTCGACACCTCGAACTGAAGATATAAATTCAGCGCATCAGCCGAGAGATACCTCAGTACTTTTGAAAATAATTCTGCCTAGGCAACCCAACCCCACTACTGCAAAGTCTTTGAATTTCTATTCAATTCTTCCTCCCTCCAACTCTTCTGCAAATCTTTCCTTCGTTCAACATTTCTCATCTCTCACCCAGCTTATTTTGTCTACCTACTCAGACATAATGAGCGGACAATTTCCGACACAAGGGGCGCCGCCCTCGTATGATCAACCCTACGCGTCTGACGCGTCGTTCGCAGGCTTTGATCAGCAGCATACAGAGGGACCAAACGAGTACACTTATCTCAGCGACGAATATGACTATTCCAGCGACGAATCTGACTATTCCAGCGAAGATAACGTTGAAGCGATAGTTCAAAGATACGACGACCTGGACTACATAACGGTACTTGACAATTGGATAAGTTCGAATATGAATCCGTGCTGTGCCTATTGCCAGAGAGTCCGCTGCCAATCGTTCCGCGCAATTATCAAAGAATTCGACTTCACGAATGATGAGTTGCTAGAGGCTTTCAAGGATGCAGATGCACTTTTCGCTGGCGACATTTCTGATAGTCACACCTTGAATCGCGTGGCTAGCAAGACTGTCTACAATCAGTATTGTAAGTTTTTAGAGGATTTGTTTTCGTACTCCCTTCGCTGACCAAATGTTTGATCTAGTTGCCGAATTTGACGACTTTGACCTGAGATGGCCTTTCCAGCCGTGTCCTGTGGTAGGACAACCTGCGCCGATGGGATCTGCTTTACCATATGTGCAGCCTCAGCAGCAACATGCAGCCCACCCGGCCCAATCAGCAGCCCTGCCGAGCGCCCATTCGGAAACTGCTCATGGAGGCCGTGACTCTTCTCTGGCCACCTCGCAGGCGCCTTCCTATAGTACATACGCTCATAGCACGTCTTCGTATAATGAGCCCTTGACTGCCTTACCAATGCCCGCCTCACAGACTGCTGCTCCCTCAGCTTTTCAGACCCTCCAGGCGTTTCAAGGTCCTCGGGTTCCTCAGGTCCAGCAGGTCCAGCAAACTCAGCAGGCTCCCCAGGGGCCTCAGGCTCCTCAGACCTTTCAGGATTCCCAAGCCCAAGCCCTTCAGGCCCTTCAAACCCTTCAGGCCATAATCCTTCAGGCCCCTCAGGCCCCTCAGGGATCAAATAATTGAGTGGGGAATTTTTGCCTATATTGTACCTTTCATTGACCACATGGGCCATAAGCAAAGTAATCGAGATAGGTAGATTAATAGTTATGAAGGTTATCAAATTCTTTTAATTTCGTAAGGGGCCGTAATAATGATTATTGAAACAAATTCATATATCTCCATCTAGACGTGACTAGATGAGGTAAAGCCTTCTATCATCTGCGTAGCGTACCTTAGTTCATCTTGCAAAAGATGCTGACTTTCAAAGTTGTCTCCAAGATCCTTTACTTAAGCCATCACATGTCGTCTCTTTGTACACGTGAAGGTATCACGTGATGAACATCTCTTGCATAGGTACATATTCGCTATTGCGGGATATGCATGTACCATGTATCCCCACACGTGATCGTAGGTAACGTGTTAGCCAAACATTCAGAGACATCTTGAGTGTTTGTAAAAAAAAAATAATGTTCTTAGTCTACTTCGTAGTCAAGTCAATTAAGGAATATTATCTAACAGGATGTCCCTTTGTGTGTGCATTTGAGGCTTTTTTATTGAATGTATTATTTTGTGTCCAGGTCTCCACTTCCATCATCATGCCAAAATACATATCTTTTTGCTTCCGAGGTCTCAAAGGTGTCGGGGGTGCTTAGGGTGCTAGGAGATATTTAGGTGTAACAACAGTATCCAAATTCGGGCTTATTTGGTAAGTAGAATGGGGTGACTTCTAGCCTGCCGTGAATTAGTTTACTCGTTGTTATCAGAAAAGCCCGTAGTAGATTCGGAAGGAAGTAACAGCGGGTGCCACAGTTCTCTTCATTTCTTGCTTTGAATTTTTGTAATCGGATCTATATTTGGAAAGAACTAACAACGGTTACCGTAGTTAGGTACTTCGGTTCCTGCCTTGGATTGTTGCAACCGGAAGCAAATTTGGAAGGAAGTAACAGCAGTTGCCGCGTTGTTGCCCCGTTATCCCACAGGAGCAGTGACTAGAATAGTAGTTGCAAACTGGAAAGTTGTAACTGCTTAGGCAAGAACGACCGTCAGGTGGCAATCTGATCCTTAGGAATTCCCTTCGCAGTTTTTTGTATATAAACATGCTCCCCTCCACAATTCTTTCCCCTTCTCATCTTCTTCTCCTCATCCACTCAACCCATCACTACAATACTTCCTAAGGTTACACAAATATATTTCTAACCTGTCTACTCTCTAAGCAACATTCAAGTTACAATAACCTTCCAACACTACCGCCCCAATTATATCACTACCTACATTACTAAGGCGTAAACACTATCAACATAACTCTACCAATAACTATCTACACTATAAACATAACCTTACCGATATAACTCTACCAATCGCCAAGATCCGGCTAAGTAAGAGCCCTCGATCACCTGGTAAGAGCGGAGCAGCATCATCCCGGGCCAGAAAGCGCCCCAGAATTTCAGAATCCCCGAGCCACGACGAAAACAGCTCCGGCGGTCACGAGGAAAGACATATCAGAAACTTACCCGACCAGGGGCACACCGTCCCGAGGCACCCAAACGACATGCGAGGCCGAAATCGGATAGATAATCGAGATATTGGTAGACGGCGACAGGCAACTGCAGCAGCAGCTCCTATCCCAGCCCTTAACCAGCCCATACAGCAGCCCGTCGTCGAGACTAGGCAGCACGAGGCCGAGGGTGATGGAGATGTCGAGATGCAAGACGAACCACCGACCCAGAACACCGAGCAGCTTCAAGACCAGCAGCAAGAGCAGCAGCCGGCCGTCGACCAGTCCCATATTATCGATATTAATTAAACACTAATTTAAACCAATAGTCAACCTGGAATAAATGATGCGATGATAGACGAGCCTCAAGGCTTAGACTTTCAGCTATCTCCTAGTTCCACTGTTGATCCAGGTTTTGGCTATGATACACGATCATCTAGTGTCCACGGAAGTGGGTCAGAGGGAGAAACAGTGCTCCCATTCAGGCCTGCAAACTACCAGAACACATCCGAGTTGTTGAGCGCAGCCCAAACCTCTCGGGATGGATTCCTGAATGGTGGCAAATTGTACAAACCCTCTTCAGGATTTGAGTGGGATGCCGATCCAGAAAACGACGCAGACATGAACTAAGAAGATGCATCGCAGACGTTGCAATATGCTCCTGCCGGCACGTTAGTATAGGAGGTTAGAGTATAGATGTTGGCAGGTGGTCCACGTCACGATCGTGAGTCACGGTCATAGCATCAAGGGAAGGAACGAGGCCCTGGGGCTGAGTATATAAACAGACAAGGTCTCATAGTCCTTTTAGATTCAACAACGCTTTCGCAATACAAGACCAGTTCCACAATAGCTGATCAAATCAATAAGTTTTGAGCTATTTTGGGGATTTACTAAAGTCCTAGCATAGCCTTGAAATAAATTTGTGAAATGATGCTCCTTTCGTAAGAATTGCCGCCTACCTACTGACTATCTAGGTAACCTATAAGGCATCACTAAAGAGACTTTGAAATGTAATGGGGTTAGCAATCTTTGCGTATTAATGTACCCAATTAATGACAAGTAAAAGAAACGTGAGGATATCCAACATTTTGTACTTTGAAGGGGGTACCAGAGCAGAAGGTATCATCACAATAATAATGCCACCAGCCAAAACGACAGGCACGAAAGGATGTACACCGAGTAGGATTAAATAAATAAGATCCAATCCCTAACAAAAGTCCACCGACGGAAAAAAGAAGCAGTTTTGAAAAGCGAATTATTAGCTGAAGTGTTCCAAAATAAATAAATAAATAACGGCAGTAATCAAAATCAAATCAGTAGTTACAGCTGGCCCATAGAAAAAACAAGAGGAAGTAATTACAAGAGTACAAACTGCTTGTGCAGGCTGATTTTGACCCCCCTCCACGATCGTAATTACTCGAGCAACCAAAGGTACTTGGTAACCCTAGGCTGCAGTCTGATCTTGGGAAATTTCTCTCCCACCTGTGCACATATAAAAATACCCTGCCCTTCCTCCCAAATTCTTTTTTTCCCTCTTTCCTTCTTCATCGCTCATCATCAAACTTTGTTTCCACATTCCAGAAATAATCCAAATCTTCGATACAATATGGCATCGAGACCCGGAGAACCCTCCGCAAGCCCTGCCAATTCCGCATCACAGCCGTTAGAGAACACGCTCAACCAAGAGATCGCTCCTGCAGATCAGAATGACGTCGATGGCAACATCCAAATGAACGACGAGCCCCGACATGCCCCAGCATCCCGCATCAATATTGAGAAATACCTGATTGCCCCACAGGCCAACAGACGCCGAAGAGATGGCGGATCTGGAAACAACCCACCTGCTGTTAGCAACCCAGCCAGAACTCGTTCCCGCTCCCCTCCTCCTGGGCGTCGTGAAGACCAGAATATTAGGATGAGAGATAACTCTAGATCTTCTAACGACGCTGGTCAGACCGCCGGCTTTAACTGGAATCCTGAAGTGCGGGGATACCTGACCTACGATGATAGGGGTAATCTTGTTCCAGTGGACGAAAACATGAACCTGATAGAGAACTCGACCGTCTGGCTCGACAGCAGCAACTTCGCAACCAACGTAAAGGGCCCCCAGGCCATGAAGGACTACCTGAGACACATGGATACGCATCCACTCTCACGACCCGAGTATACCGTGAAAATCGAATTTCATAGGGTTCGTGGACATCAGCATATCCGATCAGTCAACCCCTCGATGAGCCAAGAAGCGAGCATGGGTCGTGATATAGATCGCCAGGGAACCGCCCCAGCTCGTGCGCAGTCTACCGCTCCGCCACAAGCACCGCGACGAGTACCTCAGCACCCCGCCGTCCTACCACCTACGGTGCGCCCAGCACCTCGTGAGCCCGTCGCCTTACCACGGGCGCCGCGACGAGTACCTCGAGAGCCCGACCCTAGGCCACAGGAGCCACCCGTAGACTCAAAGGAACCCCCTGCCGAAGCGCAATACCCTCCACTCCAGCCCCGAGTTCTAGTATGCGCAAACTGCGGCGCGGAAGGCCACAATCTGCGAGATTGCGTGACTCATTGGACACCCTCAGGAGATATCCCAGGTTGCTACCGCTGCAACAGTATGGACCATACTATTGACACTTGTCAGATTCAGCCGCCCATAGACGACGCTGCAAGATATATTATCGAAGTAGTCAACCGTGCCGGCCGACCCCCTCTGAGATCAACTCGAGGATGGAACGAGCTGGCTGTGGCGATGAATCATCGCGTCGCCGGCCCGATCAGCAGGATGCGAATGATATCGCTTTCGCCTGCTCATTTCAACCAGTGGGACTATAGCATTCCTGCCCAGCAACAGGAAGATAAGCTGGTTCTTGATCCTGCCACCGGTAACCTTGAGCAGATTCGGGCACTCCCGGATCAAGGCTACGTCCCCCCGAGGCGCTGAAACGATATGCACAGAGCCGCTCCCGCACCTGGCCAGGTTGAAGTCCGCCATGATGCCGACGTCGAGCCCAAAGAGGACACCACGATGATGCTCCGCGAAGAAATATTCCACTAAGTCGAGGGACCAGAGGTATGGGATTGATAATTGTCGCGGAAGTTGCAGTAAGCCCCCGCTGGTGTATAGGTAGTTAGGTTAAAGACTTAGGATAGTTCCATAGGACTAATCAAGGCAATAAAGTTCCATATTACGGTTTAAGCTGACCCTTTCCCACCTAGAGACTTGCCTACGTAGAATTTTCCTCCCTTCCATAAGTATTCCCTACATCTTACACCGTAGAAAAATGGGAAATTTATAACCAAGATATACTTATCCCTTGGCATACCAGTGTCCAAGTGTTGATAACTTTATTTCCCAGATATGATGGAGAGTGATGATGTTTCAAAGAGAGCAGCATAGATGTTAGAAGCAGCAGCGAAGCAATATAGTAGCCGTATAGCAGTACGAATCTATCGACGCTCTACCTTCTATATTCTTTGATGGCGCAACGCGCCCCCTACGCATCTTTACGATGTGGATCTAGACTTGTTTTCGATTACCTCCACTTATACCCCGTGTCACGAGGTGGAACCAAACGGCATGGAAACAACTTTGTTGTACCGCGAACAACTCTAAGCTATCTGACGAGCCTACGGCTCGTATATATACAAACATGTCCTTCGTTCTAGATGTATCACCTAGATTCCTGACACTACTCCCCATCAAATTATCTCTAGCAATTACGAAAAAGTGGCTGATAGAAATATAGGTATGCATCGCCATTCAAGAATTCTGGATAGTAGAATCCTAGGTACGTTACTTGCCGAAGTAGATGTAGGCACTTAGTGATTTTGGTCGCAGATGGATAGCGTGTTCGAGTGATGATCCCGTAGCTACAGTGACTTAGGCACTTAGACAACGATTCAGGCGGTTACCGCCCGCATCATATGCAGCTGGCAGAAAAAACCAACAGCTGGATCCTCCTCGTTGGATCGTGACTCGGGAGTAATTCACGTCACCTGCCTGATTAGGGCCGTAACGTGTGATATCAGTAGGGCCTGCAAGTCAATGCACTTTTCAACTATTGACCAGTCTACAGTCCTGATCTAATTTTCCCCCTTGCGCAGCCATACTCGGCCACACCGTATGCCATCTCGAACGAAGACCTTGGCGACAAATAACGAACGACAAGATGGCAAATATATCCCGCTGGGGAATCAAATCCCCCCAAGACCTACGCCCGCTATCGTGGGAGGCTGCAAAGGACGACCTCGAACAATTTCTGAAGCCGAACCCTAATGATACATCAGCCGCACGACTCGCGCATGTTGAAGGTCCGCACGGCTCGGGCAAGAGCACCGGAATGATAGAATTTATCTGGGAGAAGACCCATACCTCCGACCGTCGCAGCGTGGTTATTTACGTGCCGGCGTTAGCCCTTGAAGCTCTGATGCTTTCCGCGTACTTCGAGACGACAGCTTCACCGCATGAGAAGCTAAAATACAATATCTGCGTCGGCCTCGAGAACCTCAAGCCCATGCTCCACCTCGCAACTGCTACCCAGCTTCGTACCGCTCTCCGTGGTGCGCTTCGCACGCATACGCCTCATCGGCTCGTCCTCTTGATAGATCTAGAACTGTCCCCCACAGCCGACGGCGAGCTCCTCCTCTCTGAGCTAGTAAAGTGGCATCGAGGACTAACGCCCGACTGTCACCTTACTCTGATCACCATGGCTGCATTTACACGCCCGCCCGTGCACAAATTTTGGGAGGCCTGCCTGAATACAAAATGTCGGCATATTACCTTCTCCTCCACAAAGATACCGGCTCTAACTAGCAAGCATTTACCGCTAAGTACCATCTGGTGGCAAGAGAGCGACGAGAATCTTCCTACGCTAATATTAGATGCATTGCGTACAGCGATTCTTGTTCCCTCAGTATTGAACTACAGCGACAAGGCCAGGAGAGATATATTTGATAGAATGGCACACATGAAATCTCGCATGAAAGACTTGGATGGTACCGCAGCTGTCGCAGAAGCCATCAAGACTATCGAAGAGTTTTCTATCTTGGCACAAGGCTGTATTCTGGGCCCGTGCGTCGTCGTGGTTCAAAACGACGAAGACAACAACATTGACATCAGCGATATGCTGTACAACGATCCGATGTTTGTCGATGTCCTCGAAGTACGAGCCGGGCCGAAGGAAAATTTGACAGATTGGCTGGAGGCTATCATATATCCCGGGCCCAAGGTAGTCTACGTCGAAGCCGACACGCCCGTCGTGCTATACCTCCCGAGGGTTACGGCCATAATATCCCTCTCTACCTACGCCAGCAAGTCATTCGACCACGAGACCTGTGCACTCACCTGGGCGAGCACACAGAAATCGCGTATGGAGCTCCTTAAAGAGCAATCATATGCAAGAAAGACTTCCGCCCCCACCATTCCGACGCCTACCAAGTTCTACTACGTCAGCAAGGACGACGGCCGCTCTTCGGGCGCCAACTTCGACAAATACTTCGACGAATGGACGCTAGCTCCCCCGGCCCCCGCTTACGAAGGCCAGTTCGTGCGCTTATGCTTTGAGGTCTGTGCCCCATGGCCGGACGATAAGGACCTTACCATCCCTCTCCCTGCGGTGTCCAGCCTCAATCACATGGCAAGAGTATGGGAAAGCCTCATCAACATGGGTTGTTTGAGCCGCCATCCGAAAGGGAGTCCTCGGCCCGTGCTTAATGGGCCTCGAGCAAGGCGGACTTTGGACTTTTTAGATTCCGAGTACAACGAGTTCGGGACCGTCCCCTTGGCTTTTCAACTGGCTGGGATCCACGACGCCCAATCTGACGCGGTAAAGCGGGTGCTGATCAGAATCGCCTCGTTCATAAGCGAAGGCCCTTTTGCCGTATATTTCTCGGAGCTGATCGAAAACAAACGCAAAGAGCTCGCGTTAGTAACCAACTCTCGGATAGCATACGGACATGGTATTACAGATATCCACCAGATCGTCGCTGGAGAATGCGTAGGAATAGGGAAGCAGGAGTTTGATCGCGGTGCTATATGGATCATACTCGGATTGTTCCTCAGGGCGGAAGCATCCCTAGCTAAAGGCCAAGATTTGGAGGCGCAAGAAAAAGGATACAACGCGGGTATCGATCTCGAGAGCTTTGATATAATCATCGAAAAGGTCCGCGGACTGGAATCTATGCACGGCATCCAGCCGTCCCAAGATCCTGTCCGGGATACGGAGCTGAGCCCGGAAGAAGTGAGTTACATCATGATGGACCTGATGAAGGTCTGGTCGTCCCAGCTTGTCTACTTCAAGCGCAAGTCAGGGATGACCTGTAGAGATCTTACGTCATGCAACGAGGTAAACCTAAACGGATTTCCCCATATAAATGTGTATGGGCTGTTTGATAGGGATACCTCGCCAGTCAACGATGTAATTTTCGCTTTCTATACGGACCTGGCCATCTCACAGGAGCGTCGCTGGGTATTCAATCTAACCCGAGTCCCTACGGAATCGGTTGTGGAATTGATTAGAAAGGAAGGGCATAAATCACTAGTAGTCTATTGAGCAGCGAGTTCCCCGAGTCAGATAATAGCTTGACCTGGCTCGGGCCTGGTCTAACTTAGCTTAAGTAGATCCTTTTTTGGTACTTAATATAAGTATACGTTCGAGGCAATATTATTGGCCATTTCCAGTGATTTTAGGTAAATATGCCGTGCGGCTAAGGTGGCTTTGTAAGGGCATAGGCATAGGCCAAGTCAACGATACGGCCAGTTAAGCCTGAAATTTAATATATTTGACCTAACTCGTATCAGGCCAGGTATATGCCATTGTCTGACCTCACTTAGCTCGTAGAACTCGCTGCTATCGAGTAGCTTAACCCTGTTGGATGAAGAAGTTCCCCCCCTGCCGAAATATCGACTTTGGTGAAGTCTAAATGTAAAGCAGCGATGGCCCGGAAGAGACTCTGCCAGAGCCGATTCTCAAGATGATTTAAGTGCATGTAAATATGAATGGACATTTTCCCCGTGCGAAACTCGTAAGAACAGCCAACGTTCGTAGGGGCTACATTAACTTTTATATATTTCCCGCACTGATTATTAGTCTATTTACCCAGAGTATAGAGCTATCATCGGCTGTGTAGGGGTCCATTCTGGGTCTAGAAAGTCGAAGTAATAGGCTATACTCTGTAGGAGACGGTAGCTCCTGTTTAATATGATATTCAAACGGCTTTCAGCCCTTCAAAGACGAATATTGGTGTGGGCTACTGGATATTGACATATCACTTAGAAAATAAAGTATGGTGCAGTAAATAGGCCATAACCTTTGCCTTGATTTAATCACTGCTAGCGTCTTACTCCATATTGTTATTATTCGATCGTCCTAATTATTTGTTCGCTCCTTATTACGGTAGGTCAGTACCGGACTGAATTACATGAGTGCGGAATACCAGCATGTAGGCACAGAAGGACGTTACCCACAGCGACTACCTAGAATAGGGAGATGGAATCGTCCATATATTTATATGTACCTCTATATTATGTTAATAATATCTCGTAATTTGACTGGTCAAATAGTGAAAGGTGCGTTGTTGATGCTCATGTCTCGTGGCCTTTCAGACACGACTCAAATATCGTACAGCATGTTCCTCATAAGTCCAGTTGTCAGGTGGCATGGATCACCTACCAACACGTAACAGCCTGAAGGTGCATATTTGCGTTGCCTAGATACCTAGATGATAGATCTGCCTAAGGTTGCCAAAGTGATCTTTCCCCACCTCTAAAAGAAGTCGCGCAGTCTTTACATTTCTCATCTTTCTCTTCCTCTTCTTCAACTTTTCACCTTTTTTTAACATTATCACCTAACTTCTGATATCGCCGTTATTGGATTTTACGTGAATAAAATGAGTCGGCCACTTCCGCCGAGAGGGGCACCCCCCCGATACGATCCTCAGAACGATCATTATTACAATACCGACGCGTTTTCGGCAAGCTTCCGCTCGCAGCAACCCGCGCAGCGAAGCAGCCCATTCACATCGGACTTCAGTCAGCAGCGACAGGCGCGACGAAGCAACGAATTTACCTCAGACTTCAGTCAGCAGCAATACGCGCGACGAAGCAACCGATTTACTTCGGACTTCGATCTGCAGCAACACGCGCGACGAAGCGAGTATACCTATCGGCGCGACACGCCCGACTCCTCCGCCCTCGCGATGGACGATTACCCCGAGGATGACTATGAGGACTTGTCCTACTACAGCGATGATGGAACGGATGATTATTATGAAAATAACCCGCGCCAGATTCCTTATTACGTTAGGTCGCGAATGCTTCCCTGCTGTGACGAATGCCTCGTCGAACGTGTAGGAATATTCAACGACATCTTAGATGAGTATGACTACGAGTATGGAGTGCTCCTGGATGTATTCGACGAAGAGTCGGAATTGCATGAAAATACAACAGCGGATAACCATGTAGTGAACCGCCGAACCGATGAGGGTGTCTACGGAACTCATTGTAAGTTGATTAAATCTTGATATACCATGTTGTTTCTCGCTAACTATATATCTACGACAGATCCCGAAAGAAGGGATTTTGCCCGAAGATACCCGAATCGCGAAAGACCACCGAGGCAGTCGGCTAGCTCAGATGCATTCCGAGATAGCTTTGACCAACCGCGAGCCAGGTCTTACGAACAGCGGCGTGAGGTCTATACCGCTCAACAGCCCGCTCCCAATTCGCAACTTCCAGTTCCTACCGCGAGCAGGGATGAAGCCTTTGGAAGTAGGCCCTCGAGGCGGCGTCCTCGTACTTCCCGTGGTCGTGGTCGTGGTCGTGGCCGTGGTCATAGCGGGAACCAACCCCAATATGTTGCCCCGCTACCACCTGCTGGACCTGCTGGACCTGCGCTTGCGCCTGCGCCCGCACCACCCGCGGTTTCGACCAATCAACCCGCCGTCAAGCCTAACTCGCCCCAGGACCAGCCCGGGCCCAATAACAGGCCTCAGAATCAGCCTGGCCGCCAGGGAGCGCAGAGAACGACGGGGATGCCTACTTTCGGAAATTGTTTTACAAGTACCCCTTCAACCTTAGCCCAGAGACAATTAGTCTGGGACAATACACGAGGGGCGGATTGTGAGTCCTTCCCAGGCTGTGAACCCTTTGTCATCCGATTACCCAGCGTGGATTTCGACTGGTGGGCTTGCTTCGGTTCGCAACTGAATATATCACGAGCCGTCCAGGACGTACACCCCAAAATTAAACCTGTCGTACGGCAGGCGCGAGATTCTCCCCACGGCAGGGAGATTGTGCTTGGAATGTGTAACCCCAGAGACTGGAACAATCCACGCGCTCAGTTTAATCTCAACCAAGCGTACGATATGATGCTATCGTACTGCGAGACTCTAGTCAAGGAGAACAAAAATATTCCATATAGTCAGAACACAGGCGACCAGTGCATCGAATATATGAGAAACGCCAATATGGACTACATAGTCGGCATGACAGAGTCAATAAAAAGCCACATAAAGTCTAGTGATAAAAGGCGCGAGGCACAAAAAGATGCCGCTGCAAAATTTGTGTTGCCTCTGATCCAGCAGTATCCCTCGGCAAACAATAGCATCCGAGATGAGATCTGCAACTGGGCTGAATCCCAACAGAAGGATGAATGCCTTATAGGCTTATCTAAAGACGAGCTTCTACAGTTAGGTCGCGCGGTCTGGTGGGATTACAGTTTCGAGACCAAAGAAAAAGGCCATTCAATTAGGGAATACATAAATGTGTCATACCCCGGGCATAGCTACGCGACCAAGATCAAATCATGAGCTTCGGAGTGTTAGGCAGTCTTGATAGGTAGTTCGGCATGGTAGATAGATGAATACACCTCTACCTGGTACCTATATGGTTTTTAGTAGTTTGAATTCCTAAAAATTGTAATACTCGTAGGCATCGTAAGGCATCGTAATTCTTTTAATCTTATTCCCTTTTAATTTCTAAAGTCGCACGCCTTTTGCATGTCGTTTATTTGAGCACGTGATTTGTTTACGTAATATTACCCCGCCTGTTTGCAGTGGAATAACCCTGCGCGCACCTGTACCGCAGGTGGCAACAAGGGTGCTTACAGCTGCACTATGATTTGAGATTGCATTCCTTCCCACTTCTTCCCGCTTCCTCCCACTTCCTCCAACTTCTTCCTTCTGACAACACAGTCTCACCAACCTACACATCTTATACTATTTCACTTTCATACTTTCGCACTTGAATTTACGAAATAAAAAAGATGCCGGTAGATTCGTTAATCGACGCGCAAGATCCGTCCGCCATGCGCTACTCGCCCGACTCGACCGGGAGCGCGGCTACCCCAAGCGACGAAGATAGCATTTCCATGCAAACCCGCGCCGCGAGGAGAGTGATGGATATGCGCGATCTGCGAGCCGAAGTAAACCCGGAGACCTATTTGCGCGGGCCTCTGCGGCCTGTCTACGAGAGATTCTTTGCGCCTGACCCGCAATTATCCTCCGCACCAATCCGCTCGATGGAAGACACACAGTCTTCAGCGATACGCGGCGATCCCCCCCATGACCTGAGGCGCTGTGGAAACTGCGACCGTGTTGGACACGATTTGTCCATATGTGTTGGGCCTCCGGGATTCGACGGCGCTTTGCATGGCTGTCCATGTTGCAATACTACGGCCCATTTGTTTGATAATTGCCCTCGAGCCAGTCTTATGGACGATAATCTCAAATATCACTACCTAGTCTTGCTTAGAGGCCGTCGAGCGCCTATTAGCACCCGACAGGACTATCTTGGGATGGCAGCGAGCCGGGGCCCTTCTGAATTCTACCCGTGGACGCGAGCGTACGCCAGAGGCGTCTCTCCCTCTGTATTCACGAGTCACGACTACGTAGGTAATGACCCCAGAGCCCTACCCGCAGACCCGGCAACAGCAAACAAAGCCGCTCTCTTAAGAACTCTCGACCGAATCCTGGAGCTCCCAGTGACTGCGCAGCAGCTAGAATACTTTATTAATGTCTGATTATGCTATTAATATCCTAACCAGCCTCGATCGGCCTCAGTTAGTTTCATGATCAGTCATATATCCAATGCTATAGCCTTTTACGTTTCAACAGGTAGAGTTGCCCTCTCAATTCTTACGCTTCTATACGTTGCTACGGCCACCTAGGCACATAACTTAAGCAAGCATAGCCGCCCCCTCTGACAAGCAGAATGTGGTCACCCAGGCCTAGTACGATATTATAGATGCCGAAAGAAAATCGAAGAGCTAGAAAGCCAGCATCATGATATCAACTGTGCGGAGTCTAGGGCAAACGAGGTTAGCCGCGGCTCGCGCTTTCGCCGCGTATTCTCTGGTAACCGGCGGTTAATGACAAGGCCTGGCTCGAGTTGTTCGCCCGCCTCGATAAAACCGACCGTCACCATCACGCTCACGAAGGCCCTCGCCCGTGTATTGTGTGGTAGATATGGTTCCCCGCAAACCTCCCCCCATTCATCTCAGAACCCGGACGTAGCGGCGTCTTAACCCTCATATTTCACCTCTACGGACATATCACCATGAATAAGAGGAGCAACTTTTCAATTAGCCCCGTCTCCTCGTTGACCGAGAGTCTGGCTACCGAGACCCGCATCAGGGACGCATCCCTACGACATCTCGTCGAGAAGGCCATAGAAACGCAGTCACCACACCATGGCCTGACTATGGACCTCTTTGCCCTAGCCGTCTAGCAACTAGTGCTACTCCTTAAAACAAGGTTGGATATCAACATAGGACAGTCTTCGCTAATTGAACTAGAGAGTTTCCTACAGCGTTCTCCCTACTGGCCTGTATATGAGGCCCCAGGAAACGGTGCCCATGGTATGCCAATCGAGTGTTAGCAATACGACTACACCTTTGGCGATGCGGAGACCGCTCTCTTAAAGCTTAACGGGCTACCAAAATACGTGGTCGTAGTACATATCCGCGACAGGCGCTTACGGGTAGTAAGTACTAGCCGTTCAGATTTCTCCTCGACGGACTACGGCATCCCAAAGGATCCCGAAGAGGTAGATTCTATCCTATTCCCCAGATCAAACTTGGAAGATCTCGAGACCCAGGTGTCGTACGTGAGCACCTAAGGTCCTAGCTATCTCCGACGCATAGGCATCTACGTGCTCCATCACCCGAGGCATATCTACGGCGCTGAGACGCCCAGAATACTTCCTAGAAGGCAGAGCTAATGCATCGCCCGACACAATAAAATTCAAATATCAAGAGCCAAAAAAGGACGCGCCATCTAGAGCCTCAGCTTTAAGCTGCAGCTCCTCGCGCCAGACGTCCCGTGCCAACTTACAAGATATCTCGGCTGCTTGCGGCTGGTATCTAGTAGGACCTGGCTTTGTCGCGTTTGAGTTGTCACAGGCCAGCCTTGGTAACTGTCAGAGAACCCTCGATTTATGTCGTACTGTCACACGGACAAACCTTGTTACACGTATGAATCTATTGACGATTTACCCTCTATCTTCCTACGAGGGCGCTGCGCGCTCCTTGTAAGTGAAAGACACGTCTGACTAGATATTTCTCTACGGCCTCCGAACCCCCCGGCCGGATATTGGAAGGGCTCCAATTCAGATGGAAATATTCCAAAGATTTCTTGGAATCATAACGCCGTTGGAGGTTTTCCATGAGGTATGATCGAAATTCATGGAATAGCATACTACACTAGAATAAAGCATTCTATATTTGTTGGAAGATTTCCATGCGCGTTTTTATCGTAAGGAATCATTGGAGTATTTCCACAAGGTATGGATAATCTCCAATGATCTTTTATGATGAAAACACGGTTGGGAAAGTTCCACGAGGCATGATTGTAATTGGAAAGTTTCCACGGGCAATTCCATTATATGAAAAGATTGGAAAGTTTCCACAAGCAATTTCATTGTATAAAAAGATTGGAAAATTTCCACAGGCAATCTGATTGTATAAAAAGATTGGAAAGTTTCCACGGGCAATTTGGAAAGTTTCCACAGGATTGTATAAAAGATTGGAAAGTTTCCACAGGCAATCTGATTGTATAAAAAGTTTGGAAAGTTTCCACAGGTTGGAAATTTTCCACAGGCAATTCGATTATATAAAAAGTTTGGAAAGTTTCCACAGGCAATTCGATTGTATAAAAAGTTTGGAAAGTTTCCACAGGCAATCTGATTGAAAAGATTGGAAAGTTTCCACAAGCAATTCCATTGTATAAAAAGATTGGAAAATTTCCACAGGTTGGAAAGTTTCCACAGGCAATTTGATTGTATAAAAAGATTGGAAAGTTTCCACGGGCAATTCCATTATACAATGTTTTCCATTTTACAATGAAAATGGCGTTAGATAACTTTCCACTTAGATATGGAAATTATCCATGATTTTTACTTTTAGCTTGGAAACTTTCCATAGGCGATTCCATTGTAAAAGATCGTTGGATAATTTTTATATCCATGTGGAAAGTTTCCACGTTGTTGGAAAAACTCCAATGATTTTATACAATGGAGTTGCCCGTGGAAAGTTTCCACGTATTGCTAGAATTAGACCTATCTTCGAATTGCCTGTGGAAACTTTCCAATGATTTTATACAATGGAATTGCCCGTGGAAACTTTCCACGTTTCTCTAAAATTATACCTATCTTCCAATAGGCATGGAAACTTTCCAATGATTTTATACAATGGAATCGCTTATGGAAAGTTTCCACGTTCGCTAAAATTGTACCTAATATTAATCTTCCAATAGCCATGGAAACTTTCCAATGATTTTGTACAATCGGGTCGCTTGTGGAAACTTTCCGCGTTGTTGAGGTTGTGCCTGGTGCTAGTTTTCCGGTGACCATGGAAAGACTCCAATGATTTTATGCGATAGAGTTGCCCGTGGAAAGTTTCCAGATAGACATGGAAATTATCCAATGCTTTTTTACAATTAAATTGCTTATGGAAGGTTTCTAAGCTTTTAAGATCCTTGATGATCTCCCTTTCTCAATCTGAGGAGATCACAACCTATAGATAATTTCATCGTGAGAGTCTTGTGGAGGTTTATTAATTGCCATGGAGATTTTCCAATAATCCTTTGCAACCAAAACGCCCATGGAAAGTTTCCATGGTATGGTGGGATATATTTAAACGTCTTGTGGGAGGGTTTACATTGCACATGAAAACCTTCCAATACCGGTTTGATTGCATGAGATTATTGGAAAGATTCCATAAACATAAAGGTCTCTCGAGACTTTGTATAATTAAATCGCCCTTGGAATATTCCAATTGCTCACCTTTACAATAAGCACACTGTTGGAAACTTTCCATTTCCATTGGGGAAAATCCAATATTTCCTTACAACCACAAAGGCTATGGAAACTTTCCATTACAGTATAAATTTAAAATTATTTCCCAACTTTTAAGTAAAAATGGAAAATTTCCACGGGCGGTTTGGTTGCAAGAAATCTTTGGAAAGTTTCCACGGGCGGTTTGGTTGCAAGAAATCTTTGGAAAGTTTCCACGGGCGGTTTGGTTATAAAAAATCTTTGGAAAGTTTCCACGGGCGGTTTGGTTATAAAAAATCTTTGGAAAGTTTCCACGGGCGGTTTGGTTACAAGAAATCATTGGAAAGTTTCCACAGGCGCTTTGGTTATAAAAAATCTTTGGAAACTTTCCACAGGGGCTTTAGTTGTAAAATTTTTTTGAAAACTTTCCACATCCGTGGAAAGTTTCCACAGGCGCTTTTAAAATAATCATCAAAAACCTTTTAATACAGGTGGAAAGTTTCCAATGATTATTTTAAATAAAGGCGCCCGTGGAAACTTTCCATTTAAATATAATCTGGAATCTTTTTAAAATCTTAAGTAAGGATGGAAAGTTTCCACAGGCGCTTTGGTTGCAAGAAATCTTTGGAAACTTTCCAAATCTGTGGAAAGTTTCCACAGGCGCTTTGGTTGCAAGAAATCTTTGGAAACTTTCCACATTTGTGGAAACTTTTCCACAGGCGCTTTGGTTGTAAGAAATCTTTGGAAACTTTCCATATCTGTGGAAACTTTTTTGGAAACTTTCCACATCTGTGGAAACTTTCCACAGGCGCTTTAGTTGCAAGAAATCTTTGGAAAGTTTCCACGGGCGATTTTATTTAAAACAATCATTGGAAACTTTCCACGGTTAAATTTATTATAAAAAATTTTTGGAAAGCTTTTAAATAAAAATGGAAGCTTTCCATAAGTAATGTCATTGTAAAAAACTTTTGGAAACTTTCCACAGTTAGATCTATTGTAAAAGAAATTTTGGAAATTTTCCACAGCTGAATTTATTGTAAAAAAACTTTGGAAAACTTTCAAGTAGGAATGAAAATTTTCCACGGCTGAATCTATTGTAAAAAGATTTTGGAAAATTTCCAAGTAAGGATGAAAACTTTCCACAGCTAAATCCATTGTAAAAAAACTTTGGAAACTTTCCACAGCTGAATCTATTGTAAAGAGTTTTTGGAAAACTTTCAAGTAGGAATGAAAACTTTCCACGGCTGAATCTATTGTAAAAATATTTTGGAAAATTTTCAAGTAAGGATGGAAACTTTCCACAGCTAAATCTATTGTAAAATAATTTTGGAAATTTCTAAGTAAGGATGGAAATTTTCCACGGCTAAGTCTATTGTGTGGAAACTTTCCACAGCCAAGTCTATTGTAAAAAATCTTTGGAAATTTTCCACAGCCAAGTCTATTGTAAAAAATCTTTGGAAATTTTCCACAGCCAAGTCTATTATGAAAAATCTGTGGAAACTTTCCACAGCCAAGTCTATTGTAGAAAATCTTTGGAAAATTTCCATCTCTATCGGAAAGACTCCAATGACTTTTTACAATAAAATCGGCTATGGAAATTTTCCAAGATGTATGGTACTTACCCAGGAAAGATTACCTCTCCTCTTGGAAAGTTCCCATAGGTATCTCTAGTTGTAAAATATATTCGAAATTAACCTTCCGATGCTACGCTTTGGAGAAGCCCCCTTGAGCCTCTAGGGAGGGTTTCTATGAAGGCCTTGGAGTCTGTTGGAAGTGGGAGTGGTTCTGATTTGGTTGAAGATTTCTAAGCTGTATGAAAGTTTCCGAAAGACTGTTGGGATTTGGTCTGGACAGCCGCAGGTAGACCTGGCGGTTTTAAGTTATAAGGGGTGTTCAGATGAGTGATGAAGGGACTACTTTCAGGTACAGTACATAATATCCTGGCGTGGAACGTACATGTAAGAAGGGCTACGGCTTTACTGGGGGGACTGGGCAAAGGTAAGTTGAAACTACCGTTGAGCTTTGATTAACTAAATCTACCTATATAAACAGTCAAGACCTAGGCGCGCGGCTCGCAATTGTTAGAGCGCGGACGGGTTACGAGGTCGAATTCGTCAGGGACGAGAGATTATTTGAACATCATCATCGTCATCCTCTTGGTCAGGTTCGTCCTGACGTTGGGGTTCGTGCTCTTCGCGATCGAGAGGGCCCAGAAAGGTTCTGAACACCTGGGTTAGCGCTCTCAGCATTCTTACGTATTTCTCCGCGGCCTCTTTTTGGCGCTCTAGGTCTGCCTTTTCCTCCTCTAGTCTTTGGATGAGGGCGGTGCGTTGGCTATCGAGGGCGTATATATCCTGCTGGACTCTCCTGAGTTCTCCTAGCGAGTTTTGAGCTTCATGGCTTGGGAAGCCGGCTACGAGTTCCATACGCTCGAGATATGCCTTTCTATTTGCTACCTCGGTCAAAGTAGCTTCTAGGTTGCTATTTAGATGCGGCTCGTGGACTAAGACGTACCTCTCGGCTTCCGTCAAGGTGCTGGAAGAGCTCGTATCGTTTGTAGTTCCCGGGACGCGCTCGTTGAACCCATCTTGGGTCACTAATGTGCTCACTATCTCTCCCCCCGTACTGGGTGTCAATGTCTCGGGCAAAGATAACAAGTACAGGGTCTTCTGGGCTATCCGACTTGCCCTTGTGGCTTTCCCACGCAGTGTAGGCTCTGATATACTTGAGTAATACGTAGATAAGATCTCTAATATCATTGCGGCTGAGCCATTTCCCATCTCGGTCTTCGATAGCCATGGCGGCGACATACACATCTGGACCGCCCGCTGCGTAGTGTGCTAGCTTTCTGGTCGACTTCAGCTGATCGAAGGCAACGGTGCCTAATATCAGGGATCTCAGCATGTCTTTTGGTATGGCGTGGAGTAAGATGCACATCGCCCTTTGGTTGACGCGGTCTCCGCGAATCTGAAGCGATGCCTCGCGCGACGCCGGAAGCTTAGTTTCGAAATGCTCCATATCGTCGGCTAGCGCTGGGAACATCAACGACAACCCATAGTAGCTGTCATGATCTTCTAGAGCTTTAAAGATCTCTAGTCTTCTTCCGGAGAGCAGCTACCGGGTACTCTTTTATCGGGGCTAGGGGGGTCTGACGGCTTCTAGTCAAGAATGGAGGTGGCCATGTTGTGGAAGATTTATCAATAAAATGATAAGTATCTTTAAATGAATCGTTAATTTTCTTTTATTTTGATATCGCTCCGAGCGGAATTTGGGTTGTTATCCAAGTTGTGGATGTTGATAAAATCGTCAATTTGGGTACGTTTTGTAGAAGGTGTGGGAAGGGGGACGACAAATTGTTGTTGATAATGGGATGCCACCTGCAACCATCATGCAAGATCCTTAGGTACGCATACCTTAGGTACATACGCGACAACTACGCGCTTAGGGTGCCTAGGTACTACGCGTGTGTGTTCTCTTAAACTGAAATCCGAACTACCTGTTTAACTGGTGTACCTGTAAGGGGTAGACTCCCATACTCTCGTAATATAAATGCACAAGGTGGTTACAAGGTATATGCTGCATAACTCTTGCACGATATTTAATCCTAAGAGAGTTTGAAATTTTTATTAGAAGCAAAACCTCGGGATTCTTATCTTATTGGAATGTTTCTAGCAACAGCGCGTTGCCCCGGAGGACTGCCTATCTTTATCGTCGCCCACCTGAGGACTTAGCAAGATATTGTCAGGTGGTAGGGCTGATAAATCAAATCTTTTCAATCAATGCCTCTGATTGACATTATTTGTTTTTATTATTACCATTGGACATTCCCCCATTCTATCCTTACTTTTACAATACGCTCAGCTACACATACTCGGTCGTTAGATCGCTGGTTAGATAATCTACCACTATGGATTTCGACAAGCTCACTTCGAAGTACAAAGGGGAGCAGCTAGTCAAAAAGCTGAAGGCATCTTGGCCGAACGCTTTCGCTCGCTCCCTAGGTGAGAGGAATCTATGCTCCGCCTTAGAAATCCTTCGATGGATGGCGGTGATTTTGGAAGAAAATGGAAGGCCCATCATCTGGGATTGCTTGGATCTAGCGCCGATGACTTATGCTCTAACTGACTACCCGATCCCCGAATATTCTGATGCCGAAATTAGGGATAAATTTGGAAATATCCTCTCTTCCGTTTATAGGGTGCTGTCTACGTACGAATATGGTGGTAACCCTCCAGACCTGTTCGACCTGCTCGAGGGGAGGCGAATGGTCGAATTCTTTTGGTCGAAGCCACCTTATCTACTTTATACGATTGATCCATACAAAGAAGTCGGCAAGGAGGTTCAGTTTACACCGCTTTCACTCAAAGAGATTTCAGAGATTTCTAGAGACGGGCTTGTTCACATAAAAGACCCTAGGATGTTGTCTACAGCTGTTGAGGAGAAAGCAGGGCTCTTCGAATATGAGAAACCAAAAGTTGGCCAGTTACGCATCATGACACCACCTGAGTTTATTCGTGTCCTCTGGGACAACACTTCGTGGGATACCAACCACAGTAGAGAGACCTCATTCGACACTCTGCAACAACTTACCATACGACACAAGAAAATACAAGTTGATGACAACGTTCGCAAAATTGGCAATGGACTAGCATCTTACCGTCTAGTCTGCATCGCGAGAATTCCTCTACTTGGTGAGGAGCCTCTTGCTACTCACTTGTACAACTGCAATGGAAGAAACTTTCAGCCTCCGAATTGCAATGGTAAAGACCAGAACTGGTCTTGTGGAAACCCTGGGAAGTACTACCTGATATATTTCAAGTCCGACGAACCTCGATACTGCTCGCAAAACTGCAGGGTTGAAGAACGCACAGCTGCCTCAAACCCGGACCATCCTCTAAAGCAGACGGGTACTACTTCGAATGAGCGACAACGCGTGAGCATACAAAACATCTCAACGGTTGCTGCTGTACCTAATTCGGTACAGAATACACCGCAAAGTACTGGATATACTATGGAAAGATGTGCGCAGCTTAGCGCGCCCGGCACCGAACTTGGATTTGAGCTAAAGCCAACATATAACTCACCTTTCGATAGCCTCAGACCAGGCGGGTTGCAGCAGTTATCTATCCCAGCGAATCCCCAACAACAAAACGATAACGTGCAGGATTCTCAAGCGGCATTTCCTACCCAACAGCCTAGTCAATTCAACCCCAATACAAACTCCCAGAGTACTTTTGGGGAAAGGGTACTAGTCGATCGTCATAGCAATCATGTCACATTAGATCGATCTACCTCTACTGTTAAGGAAGAAGGCTACGAGTCTGGAGAAGTTGGTCCGCAGCTGGGGGATATCCCGAAGAGACCTCGGGGATGCCGTGGACGAAGGAACCGCCGCCGTAAGGAGCAGGGGGCTGGCCCGGAACTCAGAGAGTACGATGAACACCAACACTATCGGGGGCGATCGCCTATTCGGCGCTACCAGGATCAACGTGGATACTACCAACACCCCGGGTCGAGATCCACAAGCCCTCGATCACGAGCCCATCGTTAGGATTATTGTACCTCCAACTGAATGTCTACTAGGAGTTGGTGGTTATGCTTCTGGTCGATTTCTTGTTTTTGTTGGTTGGATTTACTCCCAGGAGTACCGCTAGTTATAGCTTTTAATATCATGTACGATACGGAGTTACGTTTTCATGCTACCGGTCTCACCAACTACAGCATGTCTGATCTTGGAATTAGTAATAAATCCATGGAGACGTATATAGATGCTAGTGAACTCGTAATTGGCCTCGGGGGGAATATTATGTCACGAGTCAACTGCTGTATTTTCGTTTTTATCGATGTTCTGAACGATAATTAAATGAATTCAAATGAAGCATGCAACAGTACTGCTTGCTAAAGATTCGCTAACTTGAGGGCTTAGTGAATGTTTACTAGTTCTTGTGTCATGGAAGGTAACTAGTTGCGTTGCCCGTACGCGCAAGAAGCGCGTACGGGGGAAAAGGGGAACAGGGAATAGGGAAAAGGGGGGGGGGCATCATGCGCAAAACTCAAGCCACAAATAGATCTGGCCTCTGATTGGCTAGCCCCACACCAGCGCACGTCCGATGAATATTTTGTAAAATCAATTGAATTGCTTCACTTTTTAGTAAAAGTTTTAATAATTAATATCGTTAAATAAAGCTTGTTTTACATGATTTTTTGATATTATTTGCACCTTTTGCAAACGTTATGCGATAGAATGGCAAAAGGAAAAGTCGCAAACTGCGGGGCGATTCTAAGTATCTGATTGGCTGCAAAATTTGTGGCAGTACTAATTAAATATAGTGTATAAGTCGCACGCCTTTTGCATGTCGTTTATTTGAGCACGTGATGTGCTTACGTAGTATTACCCACCTGTTTGCAGTGGAATAACCATCCAACTTCACCCAGCCCATTTCAATTCCAGATGTAGAATAGAACAAGGGGTCAGTTCATAGCGCGGAAGTTTCCCGGGGGTTGAAAGATTTCCTGCATTCTCGGGGACATTCTATCGGTATTGTAAGTTATCTAATAGTCACGGAAGTGATCCGTTGCTGGTGGGGAATATACAAGGTCATGGGAAATATTCTAAGGTCGTTGGAGGCTATCCATTCGCGTTGGAAGACTTCTATAGCCACTGGAATATTTCCGACGACCTTGGATATTTCCCAAGGGCATACCTCCACCCCAGATCTAGGTTTGGAGCCTTTTCTGAACCGACGGAAGATTGCTAAGAGATATGGGATAATTCCATTACTCCTGGATATCCCCCACAGTCCTTGGCTTCGTTCCAAGGATCCTGGAATCCGTCCAATTGCCTGGGATTTCTTCCAAGGATCTTGGATAAGCCCTTATGCAGTTGGACGGATTCCAAGATCTTTGGAAAGAAGCCAAAAGATATGGAAACCCTCCGCTCAGGTAGAAGTGTGCTGGGGCACGTCTAAAATCTGTCAACGTAGCTTTGGAGAATTCCCACGCCTCCTGGATATTTTCCAATCTTTGTGGAAGATTTACAAGTCGCTTGGAGAGCTTCCATGACTTTTGGAGGATTTCCACGACTTATGGACATCTTCCGCGGGGCTTGAAGATATTCCAAGACCCCCGGAACTCCCCCACGCAAGGGCTAAGTGGGGTTTCCTCCGTCGCATTTACAATCCTCCACTGAGGAATCTCCAATGGTGGTTTAGGGGAGCGAAAGAGGTAGATACGATGCTGCCGAATTGAAAGAGAATCAGATACCGAGCGTTTGTCAGACTTTGTAGCCACGCTTATGGATGTTGGAAGAAGCCCGATGGTTGTGGACATCCCCCATTTCGTTTGGACAGCTTCCATAGGCTGTGGACTATTTCCACGGCCTGCGGAAAACGCCCATGGCATGTGGAAGCTGTCTACATGTCTTGGGTGACTCCCAAGGCCCGTGGAAATTGCCCGCAGGCGGGAAATTTCCAAATGGTATTTCCGTAGACAGGGAGATTCTCCCCAGGCTATGGGCGTTTTCCGCATGCTGTGGACTATTTTCACGGGCCGTGGGATTCCCCCATGGCCTACGGAAATTATCCAAGGCTCGTGAAAATATTCCATAAGCCGTGGAATTCCCCCATAGCTTATAGATACTTTCCAAGGCTTACGGAAGTATCCCAAAGGCTGTGGAATTACTCTACGGCTTAGGGATATCGTCTATAGCATATGGAGATATTCCATAAGCCGCGGAATAAGCTTACGGAGATCTTTTAGGGCTTAGGGAGACCTTCTACGGGCCGTGAAAGCTATTCATAAGCTGTGGGATACGTCCACAAGCTACGGAAGTATTCCACGGCTCGTGGAGGTAATCCATAAGCCGTGGGATACGTCCACAAGCCGTGGAATACTTCCGTAACTTATGGACATATCCCATTGGCTGTGGAGGCGATCCAGAAGCCGTGGAAGTATTCCATAAGCTATGAAAATACCCCATGGGCTATGGAATATGTCCGTACTCTAGGGAGATACCCCATGGGGTGTGGAGGTGGTCCACAATCTATGGAAGTGGTCCACAATCTATGGGAGTGATCCACAAGCTATGGGAGTGGTCCACAATCTATGGGAGTGATCTACAAGCTCTGGAGATACCCCATGGGCTATGGAACATGTCCGTACTCTACGGAGATATTCCAATTTGCTGGGTCTGTCACGATGTAGAACCGAACAGCATTGAAGCAGCTTTGTCGTTCCGCGAGGAACTCACCTATCCAACAGTTCTACGGCTCGTATAGATGGGACATCTAGAATCCTGACAGGGTTGAAGATTGACCTTGGAGATTACGTAGGAACGATGTGGTTCTGTCCCAGATGCCGGGTAAGGCATAAACCTTGTACACACCTGCCTCGAGGTCGTGCGCGTAAAGGAGGGCTTGGCGAAGGTGTTCGAGGGCGAGAAGGCGTCGAGTATACGCGATTCTATGGTGCTGCCGGTGAGCGCTCTGACAGGCATGGGCGTGGGGGAAGCGATCGATCGGGTTAGGTTGAGGGTGAAATGGAATGAGTCGAGGCCACCAGTGATGAGGTGTCAGAGAGAACCCTTGATGTATGTCACACGTAGTATCAGGATTAAATGCCCTTTGAGGTAAATCATACACAAAGTGAGTGTATAGGATAAGTAGACCAAATAGTAATTGTATTGAACTAGTAACGCCTGGCCTCTTAACCTCTAACGAGGGCGCTTCGCGCCTCTTATATAGTCGTAAAGACACCCTATAGCCACCCTGACCCACTATACCACAACACCATTACAGTATAAGTCTGAAGTTGTTTCCCAACTTTTAAGTAAAGGTGGAAACTTTCCATGGGCGTTTTAGTTGCAAGAAACTATTGGAAATTTTCCAATAGGAATAAAAATCCCCCCAACGTTGTATTTAGGTACGGTTTAGGCTACCTTTAAAAACCTCCCAACAAAAATGGAAACTTTCAATAAGCCTTTTGATTGTAGAAGATTATTTGAGATCTTCCAATGATTTCTTACAATCAAGGTCCAGTTGGGAAATTTCCAATATAAATGGAAAACCTCCAACAACCCTTTATATGGTCTCGACTCTTATTGTAAACCTTCCAACAATAATGAAAAGTTTCGAACTGCGTCTTTACTATATAAAATTATTAGCAAGTTTCCATTTTTGTGAAAAGATTCCAATGGTTTCATACAATAAAAAGGCCTTTGGAAAACTTCCACTAATAGTTAAAAATCACCAATATTTTCATTAGGTATGGTCCGGAATATCTTTAGAACCTTTTTATCCCTATTGGAAGGTTCTATTTTTTACTTCACCAGTCGTTAACAAGTCGCATAAAGCTGACTCGTTAGAAAATGACCACCAGCCGTCTTTCTCTCACATATACTTACGTAATACTATCTAAAGGACAACGGCTGGTTGAAATTTTTACTTGCTAGTCTTCCCGTCTCTCCTATTCAGCATCATGCTGGCCCAAAGATGAGGCAGAGATAATAGAGACAGACCATAGAGAAGGGGCCATCTGAACCCACGCCTCTAGTCGGAGAGTAAAATACATACCTTCCTAGTACGGGCCTACTACCTAACACTGACCCCCCCCAACCTCCTGATCAGAGCTCAGCGCGCATACAGCTTGCGCCAATGTCACGAATTAAGCCTGATGATTGAGTAGAGGTTGACACGATTTGTAAAGTAACCTAGATAACAAAAGTATAGCCCCAGTATCATCAATTGAATCCAAGAATCAATTAGAGATCAACTTGCCCTTTTAGAAAACCCCTCCAGTGAAAGTTTTCCAGGGGGATTGATGATATAAAGCTCTCCATCACCTTCTCGGGTTTCTTACATAGCTTGGCCTGTTAGACGCCTATACGTATAAGTTTCAGGACTCTGGATGAGACGTCTGGAATTCAGTATGTATAGCCACAGGTTGTCGTAGTTAGGCTAGAGCTCCTTGTGACGGCAGGACCATCTTTCATCCCGTACATGACTGTTTCCATGTCAATTGAAGGGGTGCTGACGGCATGGAAACACCCGGCAGCCCTTCTCCTCGCCCAGACTTGACTCCTTACTATTCCCAAGTATCCCCCGGGAAGGTCTTCGTGGCCTTTAGGGGTGGTCCACGAAGCCGTAGCTTTTGTTGTATTTCGTACGGGGCGCGGTCAGCCGTGGTGCACGATTCTCTGAATCTCGCCGAGTGACCGATGGAGTCGCTACAGCGGATATGACGTACCACCAACGCGAAACCACCCGCGCAAGTGATTTCATCGACATCTAAGGGCTAGCTGATCGCCTTGTAGTTATTCGTGACTCGATGCGAACTCCCACGGGATACTTCCATGACCTTTGGAGGTTTTCCACTATCTTAGGAAGGCTTCCAACTGTCTTGGAATTGCTCCATAACCCTAGGAGGAATTCCGCTACCTGTGGAAGCCCCCCACCTTTCCTGGAAGGTATCCAATGGGGTTGGAGGGCCTCCATAGCTAATGGAAACTTTCCACCACTCCAAAGCTCCTATTGGAAACCCGCCAGGATCATTTGGAACCTATCTCGGGGCCGTGGGGGACGTGCGGAGAATCTCCACAGCCCTTGGACGTATTCCCTACGCCTTGGAAATATTCCAACCGGATTGGTATCCTTCCAAGGCGTAGGGAATACTTCCAAGGGCTGTGGAAGACTGCCATACGGATTGGAAGACCGCCACGAGTATTGGAACACGGCCATGAGAATTGGAAGACTGCCATAGGGATTGGAAGACTACCATAAGAATTGGAACACTACCATAGGGATTGGAATACTACCATAAGGATTGGAACACTGCCACGGGTATTGGAACACTGCCATACGGATTGGAAGGCGTCCAAAGGGGCGGCGACCGTGGCGTACTGCTTAGGTTATGCGATCTTCTACGCCCGCGGCATCGTCCCCAATAGCCATCTTCGACGATATCCAACTGGAGTTGTGCCTTCGGAACCCCTTAGACACGGCTGTATACGATGCGATTCAGCCTGCTACGATCGCACATGCCGCGCCGCCGATGCGAAACCTGAGGATGGCTATAGAGAAGGGGGTTTGGGGGAGGGGCGCGGAGGTGAGCCCCCGTTGGGATTTTTCCAGTGCTCGCGGATGAATCCCAGGGGCTATGCCCGACTTTTAGGAGGGATATTTGCCCGACTTTTAGGAGGGATATTGTGTTGGGCTGAGACCTCCTTCCTAATTAGGCAATTCGTCTGTGCACACTTGGATCCAGGCTCCTCATTGGCTGGAGGATTGGCACTAGTATGAGACTAAGGATTTAGTAGGTTAAGATTATGCAGCTAGTGCTTTAGTGTAATAAATAAGATAAGGGAGTGCACTAAGTCACATGATCCAACTTCAATACACTTATACTCTCTTATACACATTGAAATAACTTTACAAAAACAGCAATTGAAACGTTGAAATTAGTATCATTCAATAGCCCCAATTGATGCGAAAACAATGACCCAAGTTGCATTTAAATCGGCCTCTTCGTTGTTGTGTTATAGTAGAATCAAATAGCCCTTGTCTAGGTAGAGAGGGAAGCACGTGACACCCTTTACAAGCATTTCTATGAAGTCTTTTCAATTAAGCTCCGAATACGTCAATAGCAATACAATACTCAAAACACATCGTATAATCATGCAACTTAAACCATTAGTTTCGCATCAATTAAGGCTATCTAATAGTACCAATTATGATGTTTAAATTGTTGTTTCTGTAAAGTTATTCGAGTGTATAGTAAATTAGATATATACGGCAATGAAAGATTAAATTGATAATAAAGTCCTTTGATTTGATTGGTTAAACTTAGGTACTATACTGGATTGAGCTAAAGATGGCCAAGTGAGGTTAGCCCAGGTGAAAATAGGAGAAAGCCTAGCCCAGATAAGGGATAGCTTAGCCTGAGCAATAGGGGGACCACATGACACGGCCAGGGGGCCAGGTTCGAATCCCACACATCCCCCTTTTTAATTTTTTTAATTTTTTAAAAGAAGCAGTCAACAAAGGAGAGCCTAGGATAGCCGGAGCATCGTGCCGCCTGGCAGTGGCGGCACGTGACCCTGGAAGGGGGAGGGGGAGGATGAATAAGCGGCTAAATTTCGGAGGGGACGGGGACGGGGACGGGGATGACGTAAGATGATGACATAAGCCTTTCCTTGAGCCTGCCTACATAAAAGTCGGGATCTTGCGGTCCCCCTCAGGGGGGGGCCCTCGGTTTGTAATGTTTCCACGTTTGGTGGGGGTCCTCCAAGAGCCGTGGAGGAACTCCAATCATATGGGGTATTTCCCAATGCAATTGGAAGAACCCCACCGTCATTGGGATTCTTCCACGGCTCTTGGAGCTTCTCCATAGACGCTGGAATATCCCCAACCTTCTTCAAACCAAATTTGGAAGCCAGGCCTGGTGTATGGAAGACTCTCATTGCCAATGGGGGTTTCCCATTATTTATGGGATTCTTCCAGTACAGTTGGAGGATATCTAACGCAATTGGAGAATTTCCATCAATCTTGGACCCTCTCCACTAGTCTTGGATATGCTCCATCAACCTTGGATATACTCCATTAATCTTGGATATACCCCACTACCCTTGGAGATATCCCATTGTCTTTGGACCAATCCCTTTTTTGTTGGAAGATTGCCATGAATTCCGAAAGATTTCCAACTCCGATTAAATTTCAAAATTTTCTTAAGGGCCCCTTACACGCCCCCTGGAGAGCCCCCAATAGCATTGGAGGTTTTCCAACATGATTGGGACTCGTCCAACCTTATCGGTAGCCTTCCGCCCGCAGTGGAGGTTTTACAATGCCACTGGATGAGTCCCAACCATATTGAAAAACCTCCAACCCTATTGGAGGCCTTCCGAATCTGTTGGAAAATCTCCAATGCTATTGGGGCCTCTCCAGGGGGCGTGTAAGGGGCCCTTAAGAAAGATTTGGGGGACCTCCCAGGATGATTCCACCCATCGTCGTCGGACGTCAGGCTTTCCGGATCGTTGCCGATCGTGTCGGCCGCAAACCGGTATATGCTACCGCTGCAATTGGCATGACTGCGGGCTGGTTTCCAGACGCGTTCCCGGTTCGATGGATTTGGATATCATCTGTATCTGTCACGGTCAGGAGTCACGTAGTCGTCTGGCTCCGCCAGACACCTACGATGACAGTACCTGAGTCAGGTATCTCAGATGTATATATTCAGGCCTTGCAGCAAGCTGCAAGGCCCCCGACGCCCCGGTTCCCCAGAACATCATCTACTTCCTTACTGACCTTTTGGTCTCGTGATAGTATCGCATCTCTCTGGAGGTCCACCGGTCATCAGCGCTTGCACGTACAGCATGGTGAGCGACATAGTTCCGGTTCGCGACAGGATGAAAATGTCGACTCGAACATGCTTTCGAGGATAGAGGTCAACGTTCCAGATTCCTCCTCTCTTGCAAGCGAGTCTCGTTCTCGTTTCAATCTCGAGGCCTTTCGGCGCTTTCCGAAGATTTGAACGTTCCCGGGAGAGCCAGTTGCGCATCCCCCCAGCCCGGTATAGCAGGCTGATGAGCTATCAGGGAAACCTACGAATGTTGGGGATATCCAAAACGTATCCCGCCGGGCCTTCGGAAGGGACCCATTGACGATGGAAACCTTCCAAGACGGCTGGAGGGCTTCCACTGCCGCTGGAAGATTTCCACCACCCATGGGAGATTTACCCCTCCCTTGGAAGGCTTCCGATACTTATGCTAAATTTCCGCCCGTAAATCAAAGACTCCGTCGCGCGTTTTGGAATCTTTTAACCCTCTGTGGGGATTTTCCAATTTGGTCGGGTCCCTTCCAACGGAATTGGAAAGGCCCCTTTGGCATTGAAAGAATTCCACTAAGGGTGGGAATCTTCCAGCGGCAGTGGAGCACCCCCATCCCTTGTGGGAAAACTCCACCGTACTTGGAAGGCTTCCGCTCCTCACTTTAGATTCCCGATCCGATACCTTCGCAGAGTTGGAAATTTTTATCTCAATGGAAATCTTTCGCGACGAGTGGAATTCCCCCATCTTGGTTGGATAATTTCCATAGGGCTTGGAAGGTTTCCGCGCGAAAGGGAAACCTTCCTGTGCCGTTGGGAAACCCCCATTCCTTATGGGAAAGGTCCACTGTACCTGGAGAGCTTTCAATGCACCTGGAAACCTTCCAACGTATCTGGAAATCTTCCAATCGTCATGTTAAACTCCCAATCCGGTACTTTTACAGATTTAAAAATTTACATCGCAATGGAAATCTTTCACCCTTAGTGGAATTCCCCCGTTTCAATTGGAAAATTTCCGCAAGACTTGGAAAGCCTCCGCGAAAAAAGGAAATCTTCCTGCGCCGTTGGAAAACCCCCACCTTTTATGGGAGAATTCCAACGTACCTGGAGAGCTTCCAACGCATCTGGAAAGCTTCCGATCTGGTGCTTTGCGGATTTGGGGTTTTTTTTTTTCTCAATGGAAATCTTTCACCTTTGGTGGAATTCCCCCGTTTCAATTGGAGAATTTTCGTGAGGCTTGGAAAGCCTCCGCGAGAAAAGGAAATCATCCAAGCCCTATGAAAAGCCTCCAATCTCTATGGGGCTACACCAAGGCGTATGGGAAATTCCCAGCCGTATAGGAATTTTCCCATCTATCCGAAAGGGCCAACATGCCCCAACAAAAAGATGCCAAAAGAAATGGCGCATTTATATTAACAATTACCTACGTAGATGTGCCTCCCTGGCGTACTTTGGATATTTACCACTGGAGGGTAACCCACGTGCGGAATACCTATCCACGTTGGTTAATTCGAGTCGCCTTACTGGGTCTTAGCCGCATTCGTATTCTAACCAACAAGTCTCAGCCCATTCAACACAACATCCTGAGGTAAACCTTAGGCATTTTGTGCCTCGCGTCGAATCTTCCTACGGAATACAAAGATATGCAATATGCAGATGAATGAGTTAGCATGCACATATACGAAGTAGAGTGCAGGTCACGTGCTGCAACACGTGACTAAATGAACTACATACATGTCTCACCATAATCCATAACTTTTAAAGACGAGTCTATTTATTAACAAATCCATCTCTGGACAAAGGAACCAATAGGGAAGTATAATAAAAAGCTGTATTTACGAGGCAGCTTCCTTATTTATTTCTTGAACGACTCCAAATGGGCACTTTATCATTGTAGAGATACTTGTGTTAGTAAAATCTAGAAGAACTACTTGAATCGATACAAAATGTCACGGCGGGTAAGGCATTTTCAACGGAGAGAACTTTATTTATTATTCAGTTAATGCTAATCTCTCAGTTTAGGCAGCGTGATATTTTAGTCTAGGAATCGACTTCAGGACTCGCCGGGTGTTGTTTCAACATAGCCCTGGTCGGGAAGATCTTTGATGTATCCCGGGTTGTGTGTAGTGGAATCTTCTACTAGTAGATTTCGCTGTTTTATTGGCGAGATATCATATTTCCAGTGGCGAAAATGATGGCGATCAAGAGTCGCCATTCTCTCTCTGGTGATGGGGCCGGGTCCCCGATGATTCATCTCGACGGCGAGTTTATTCCATCCTTGACTTGAACGCAAAGGAGGTCGACCGATACGGCTCACAACCTCTAGCTGATATCGTGTAGACTTATCGACCTGCCATCCAGTTGGGCAGTTGTCAACGGTATGGGTCAGGACGTTGCATATGTAACAGCCCGGAATATCGCCCGAAGGGTCCCAAACCGTTACACAGTCATGCAGAGTGTGGCCATATCTGCGACAATTCGCACACACAATGTCTATGGGCTGGTAGCTGAAGTTCTGTGGTTCACGATCACCGGGTTTTCTGCTTTCAAATATCGTGACGATCTTATCAGATTTTCCTATCAGTGCCGAAACCATATCTATCATGCATTTATAGTAACCTGTTAGGATCTGCTTGGCTGTCATCCGATATACTAAGAGATTCGCAGCTATTTTAGTTGCGTCTTCTATTGGGATACCACCCTCGAGGCTTATCGGTGTCCCGCTCTGTATCAGATCTAGCCTTTGCGGAATGGTATTGTTTCCTGCTCGGGGTCCCGATGGCAATTGGGTCACGATAACGAGTGAGTGGAGAGCTCTACACCCTGTTCCTATTGTGATATCTTTCGGTTCGCTGAGATAACCTTGGCTTGGAAGGATATTAATTTGTTCTAGGCTATTGGTAGCAAAGTCATTGACCAGTAGGTCGAATTGCTGCATACCCGATAGCTCATAGTTCCATCGATCAAAGTGTGTCGAAGACAGCCCTGTCATAAACTGCTTACTGATCGGGCCAGGTCCCCAATGGTTCATCACCACGGCTAGTTGGTTCCATCCACGTATTGATCGTAAAGGCGGTCGGCCTGCACGATTGACCACCTCGATCTGATACTTTGTAGCGTCGTCATATGGCGGCTGAACTAAGCAGTCATCAATCGTATGCGACATATTATTGCATCGGTAGCACCCGGGGATATCGCCTGCGGGAGACCAATTTGTTACGCAATCTCGTAGGGCGTGGCCTAATTTATTGCAATTAGCACATATCACTCCACTTGACTGGACTGAATGCTGCGACGGCTGTGACATGGTGGAAGCGGTCGGGAGGATTCGGCCGGTTCTGGGGCTTACGCGGGATTTTCTGGGTCCCTGTGCTATGTTTGCTGGCGAATAGCGATGAGATCTCGACTGCGAGCGGCTTCTCTTTTGTCGTTGTCGATGGTAGTCGGAGGAAGATTCTGATTCTTCACTCGACGATCTCTCTCTGTCGACGGAGCGAACGCGTCTACGCGGTTGTCGTCGTCGATAAGAGTCGGAGGAAGATTCTGATTCTTCACTCGACGAGCTCTCGCTGTCGGTGTAACGGGGGCGTTTATGGGGGCGTCGTTGTTGATAAGAGTCGGAGGAAGATTCGGATTCTTCACTCGACGAGCTCTCGCCGTCGGCGTAACGGGGGCGTCGCCGTTGATAGGAGTCGGAGGAAGATTCTGGTTCTTCACTCGACGAGCTCTCTATGTCGACGAAACGAACGCGTTTACGGGGGCGTTGTGGTGCTGCTCCGATCCGACTGGGTGATCGACGGCCTCGGATGGCCGGAACCAGTCGGCGGGCGCTAGGTAGGTTATGCGGTTGGCTGCTGCGGCCTTCGCCTCGTTTCTTAGCTCTACCTGTCATTTCGATCAAGTTTGTATCCAGCTATGTCTGCGTGGTAAACTTTGATGATGATATGAGGTGGGAGTTGAAGTGTGGAAAAGAAATATTTGGAGTAGAAGAAATGGAATTTAAAATAAAATTTCAAAGGAAAGTTTTGTGGGTGATCAAACTTAGGAGGGGCATGCGCTGCTAGGCGACAGCACACTTCACGAGAAACGAGACACTGCAAAAAACAGGTACCTTGCACGTACCTAGTGCATGGTATCAATGTACCTTTAGGCAACTGCATATTTCATAAGGAACTAAGGTACAACGCAGTTTTCCCAGTCTTGTAATTGTTAGCCACCAATACTCTATCAGGACTCCCTTATAAAAATTAGAACTTAGGTACCTAGGTACGAATTCTACAAGTTGATTAACTCTAGGAAAGCAAGTACCAAATTCTTGCGGCATCATTACTTGGGATTGGATGTCACTCATCTCAAGGGTGCGGCCTAAGAATTTTCACACTTCTCGAAATTTTTTTTCAACCCCTCAGTTCATCCAACATAATCCATCGTTTCCTCAATTACGTCCCCTCTATTCTCTCTCCCTACAACATTACGCCATCATCCCTCCCACGCCTTATTTAATCTGATATTATGGATATCAAGACAGGAAATTTCAAATACAGTGGGGGTGAGCTGGTGAAGAGGCTCAAGACCTATTGGTCGGACGCTTTCGCTCGCTCTGTACACGAACGACAACTATGCTCCGGTCTAGACATCATCCGATGGATGGTGGTGACGCTAGGGCAACATGGAATTTTCACCACTAAGGGCATGCATCTAGAGCTGGTGCGATATGCACTAACTGATTTTCCGATTCGGGAATTCTCTGATGCGCAAACGAGACGCGAATATCAAGAAATTATCACTTTAGTTTATAGCAATATGGCTAAGTTTGGGAGAAGCGGCAATCCTCCAGACCTCTTCGATATCCTTGAGAACAAGATGATGACTGATCAGTTTTGGTCGAACCCCAGTTACCTACTCTACAAGACTACAGCATACGAAGATCGAGGTGAAAGCATACAAGATATAAAGTTGAGCGCCGAAGAGATCGCTAGAGGGGGTCTTATACGAATTCAATATCCCGAAGATCTCCCCACGGCCATCGCAAACGTACTAGCACCCTCGAAGTGCGAAGGAAAGGAGTCTTACCAGTTCCACGTACCAACGCCACCCTTGTTCATCCGCGTCCTTTGGGACAATGCCCTGTGGGCTGCATTGGATAGAAGATCCCCGGTCCAAACCTTGCAGCAGCTGCAAATAGAGTACGACGACGTACAGGTCGGGAACAACAATCTTGTCTTTTCTAAGAGCTCGACTTCCTACCGCCTTATCTGTCTTGCTAAGATCTCCCTCCCCAACGAGGAACCTGTAGCGGTACACCTTTATAATTGCGATGGCAGCCACTTCTTGCCCCCATATGGGAATAATCAAGACCAAAACTGGTCTTGTCAGGAACCAGGGAAGTATTACCTCATGTATTACAAATCTGACGAGCCACGATACTGGTCGGAAACAGGCCCCCTAGTCGAAACCGAACAAACTTTTGCCGATGTTAGGCGCTTATTGAAGAAGCCTAAGATGCCTGGTATTATGCTCCCAGAGCAGCACTCAGCGCCTGGTCACCAGCCTACCTCAGCGCGACCAGCGCCGCATCCAACGCCTAGTTCCCAATCCATTCAGAAGTCGATCCCAGTGCCGCATTCAGCGCCTGGTTCCCAATTCATTATGAAGTCGATCCCAGAGCAGCACTCGGCGCCTGGTATCCGACCCACGGCAGGATTCGAAACCGAACAGCCCGTTGCCGATATTAGGCGCTTAATGAAGAAGCCTAAGATGATTGGTATCATGTCCCCAGAGCAGCATTCAGCGCCTGGTTACCAGCCTACCGTAGCGCTACCAGCGCCGCATACAGCGCCTGGTTCCCAATCCATTATGAAATCGATTCCAGAGCAGCATTCGGCGCCTGGTATCCGACCCACGGCAGGATTCGAAACCGAACAGCCCGTTGCCGATATTAGGCGCTTAATGAAGAAGCCTAAGATGATTGGTATCATGTCCCCAGAGCAGCATTCAGCGCCTGGTTACCAGCCAACCGTAGCGCGACCAGCGCCGCATCCAGCGCCTGGCTCCCAATCTATTCTGACGTCGATCCCAGAGAAGCACTCGGTGCCTGGTTACCAGCCTACCGTAGCGCTACCAGTGCCGCATGTAGCGCCTGGCCCCCACCCCATCATGAAGTCGATCCCAACGCCGAATCCGGCGCCTATTACCCGACCTACAACCAACCCAAGCCCAGTGCCGCATCCAGCGCCTGGCTCCCAAATCATTACGAAGTCTATCCCAAGTCTGTATCCAGCGCCTAGTCCTCATTCTGGCAGCAGTGCATCTGGACGGATTGGTTCTAGTACCATCTTATACGATGACAAGCACGGTCCCCTGAAGCATAAAAAACAAGACAACTTAATTCAGGAGAACGCCACGTTTCCTAAATCGTCGTTGTCGCTGGCCCCCTCACGATCTGTCAAAGTAGTCAAGTTTCAAGATACCGAGGAACACGGCGAAGATGATGAGGATGAAGGAGAGGATGAAGACCGGCGACCGAGGTTCAGGGTGCCGACTCCCCACCCCCAGAAGGATCGCAATATAAGTCAGCCACGGCGCGACTCGCGATCAAGGTCCCGTTCTCGTTCCCCAAATACTTACTCTCAAAAGCATAAGGATAGAGATTCGCATGGCCGAGAAAGATCTCGTTCTCGTTCCCCGAGTGCCAACCCTCGAAAGCATAGGAAAAGAGATTCGCAACGCCGAGAAAGATCTCGTTCTCGTTCCCCAAGTGCTAACCCTCGAAAGCATAGGAAAAGAGATTCGCAACGCCGAGAAAAATCTCGTTCTCGTTCCTCACGGGGTCACGATCGCTCAAACCGCAATCGACGATAGGTACCTCACATTTTGTACTTATCAGTGGGGCGGTTGCTTGCTGCCCAGGCCTTTTAACCGTAATTACTTGAGTGCTTAGGATAACAACTAATATACTCCTAATACCATAATCTCCTAGCATGATTCTTGTAGATGATATTGTATAAAGTGCTTCGTAGGATTCTACTTAACTTAATAATTGCGATACGTCCAGCGGAACTAACCCGTAGCTAAACACTAAGTTTATAGCTTTTGTAAAATGATATTTTCAATTCGTTATATTTTCTGAATTTTACCACCGGTCGCGCGCTTTGGGGTTAAATCAGGGGCGTGTGGTATATTTCAGAATCCGCCATTGCCGTCCTACAATGCTTATGATTCGCATCGAAACAAGGAAAGAAAACAGCGTAATGAAAATATCGGACAAGTTAGAACGTACTACGATAGTTAACCATATATCACGATATTCCAAAGTGCTTTCAAAAGCACCATACCGTCTTTACGAGTGTTTCGGCTATAATTCCACTTTTTTTCCGTAAAATGCTAAGTGACGGAATATGTAGCAAGAAAGATACGAATGTTAGGGTTCTAGATGAGACACTTACAACAAAGGACATGTTTATATATACGAGCCGTAGGGTCATTAGATTGGTTTAGAGTCCCTCGCGGAATAACGACGTTGTTTTCATACTGTTTGGTTTCACCTCGTGACAGCTATTGATGGGGTGGGGTATGCGAGTCAAAGTAGGCGGTGAATATGATAGCTTCAGGACCGAATGCTGACACATAAATAACCAGTCTCCGGGCTAGAGGCATGAACCTTCTCCCAGATAAATTCCAAAACTGAGGTACTCTTGCTAGCCCTGTGTGGGTCCTGGATATAAGCGAGCCGCTCCTTCCGCACAGGCTTCTGTCTAAGAAACTGCTCAAGGTCATTTTTGATGGCTTCCCATGAAATTCGCGATAAACAGCTGGGGGTTCGAATGTTCCAGGCATCATCCGTGTGGCCAGAGTCGAATTACATGATCTAGATTACAGCGAATGTTAATTTTCCGGGCTGGATGCGATTGTGCGCAAAGTGAGATGATAGAATGGAAAGTTTGGTTTCAAAGGTTTAGAGATGCAATAGTACACCCGCCCGCATTACGCGGTGACGCTCAGGGTTGCTAGTAAGGTTTTCCGTCATTGGCTGGGATATACGGCGTAGTCTAACGGCGTGTTTGGCAACCGCGTGCGTTAGGTACCTATCTGAGTGACTTATTTTTAAGGCTAGGGCCATTTCCTAGAGAGAAAGCGTTTCAGGAAATAGATACTTTCACTGTTATATGGTTCTAACAAGATGTGGGTTGTCGGAGGACAGTGGGGCCGCATGGCCTATCTTCTAGCCGTGCACCGAAGTTACACTACCGTATTTAGTAGCACCGAGACCCACTTATACGGCGCGGTATACGGACCTCTTTGTGAGGAAGGTGCGAGAGGCATCATAGGGCGTATTTCAGATCTATACACGTGCCTAGGGCATTCTGTACCTTAGGTACTTATATCACGATATCACCAGGTGAAACCAAAAAGCATGAGAATATTTTTGTTGTTCCACGAGGAACTCTAAACCAACTATGGGTACCTGGTGCTATACACACAGAAGTGCTTCTTCGTTCCAGATGATACGTCCAGAATCATGCATAAGTGGTTATTATCAATTTATACCTATCCATGTCCAGCTATTCCGCCAAGTTCCGTAATCATTTATTGACTCGAATAACATCTCGAAACCTTTCTTATTTCCCAAGAGTTACCTATCAATCCGAATATAACCCCGAAAGTAAACGAAATCAAATAGCCACTACGATACGGCCAGTGAAATCTTGCGTTCCGAATAATTATCCCCTTCTCTGACCCTTGAAACGTTTATACGGAGTGTTGTAGAATACCCAGACAGCACGTTGATTCGCTGTTGCGGGATCTTCGGGCAGTGTGCTAGGATCATCGGACGAGTAGTCGTAGCGTTGATATGAAGATCCGGATACGCCCGTGGAAAATTCTCGCGTCCATGGGTAGAATTCAGAAGGAGGCCGTGCAAGTATCATTCCAAGGTAGTCCTCCTCAGTGCTAATAGGAGGGCGACGGCCTCTTAGCATAACTAGATAGTAATACACGAGGTCCTCATTAATCCATCTCAAACGAATACAATCGTCAAACCTGTGTGCTGTTGTGTTGCAGTGGGGGCAGCCGTGTATGGTACCGTCAAGTCCCGGGGGTCCGACGCATATAGATAGGTCGTGTCCGACGCGATTACAGTTGGCACAGCGCCCATCACCGTATATATGGCGAGGAATAAGATCATTGCCCCAACGACCTTCGGATACTATACATTCCTGGCCCATGGTATTTATGGGTGAACGTACGGTGGGTATCTCCATGATCCGAGTATTTTCGGTTGAGAAACTTGGCGCGGAGGGCAGTTGCTGTTCGGGCGTTATCGGTCTCGTAGAATAAGTCGGAGAAGGCCTATTCGTAGATGTCTTCCGACTTAATTCGTCCAGTGTCATGCACTTATGCACAATATACAATTGGAGGGGAAGTCGCTCCATAAAGCTATCTTTGTCGCATGAAGAGGGTTTAGCGGGGGCGACCGCGTTTTTGATCGCGTCATCCGAGTCGCAGGATATAAACGAGTTTTCCTCATCAATCGGCTGGTCTAATAGCATGATCTTTGATGAGTTAATAAACTCAGGTAGACTAAGAAGCATTTGGGATGGGGGTTGGGATCATAGAGGTAGTTAGATAATGCTGTAGAAAAGGGTAGGGTGGGAATAAAAAGCTGGAGGAAGTTAGAGGGAAAGCAGACTTTTCACCTTGTCAATATATTTAAGCCCTTAGGGTGTCCGAGAAAACTCTTGAGTCACGTATCGGATGGGCCAGCTGGCTCTGCTCTGGTAGTCCAGTCATCCTATGTGCCAGCGACACGAGTCGAATCATCCCAGTACGTACCGGCTGTGTGACAATTGGCTTGTGAAGAAACCTGAGATGGCTTATTAGAAATAGCTACATGTGGGCTTATAAGGTCTGTGGTGATCATGTGTCTGACTTTGGAGCTATGCTGTTATGTAGCGATTAAGGACTAGAGGTCAAGATTAGATTTTTTTGCACACCATCCCGTCAACTCTCAACCCTTTTTCGGGCTATCCTGTGTTATTTCTTATCAGAATTACGATGATCTAATGGCTTGTATGGCTCGTATGGCTACCGGTCTTCGCATATTGAGTTTAGAGCTCTGTTAATATCATATTCGCATTTCCATGTCTCTTAGTTTCACCTGATGTCACCCCTGCCTCAGCATAGCACTCGACCTCCCTGCTCGGAAGCTACCTCGATCCTGTCTAATTAGCAGTGTTATACGTCTGTCTTTATGCATCTACAGGCTCTACCATGGTTCTTACCAAACTCCTGCGGTCTAAGTAATTCAGTAGAAATTAGTTTCCCCAAGGTTCTTGACCTCTCCGCTCTAAATCATGTAGAATGTACTCCTACACACTCGTTGATCGAGAAATATCATTTTAGGTACGTGTGAAGCTGTTGATTTCTTTCATTGTTATCTCTACTAGGCACTCCAGTTATGCACTGCACGTGTTATGATTGTCAAATTAGGCATGTTTATATGCCATCTGCCTGGGCAGGAACCTCCTAACCTATCTCGCAGAGTAATTAAAGCGTTGCCTAGGTACCAATGGACGATTTGGATATCACTTATTTTCTGCCTAAGAGTACGAAAATACCTTGGATACTCGTGACTTAAGGTAGTTGCTAGGTACGGTACCTATCCCACCAGCCTCCTAAACTTAGAACTCGCAGTTTTGAGCAACGAAAATTATTCTAAACAATTAATTCATCACTTTACAAAAACATTTTCCGACTCCCATATTGTCAACTGAGGCAACTTACCATCATGGAACCCGACATTCTCACCTCTAAGTACAAGGGGGAAGAGCTATCGCGACGGCTAAAGATGTTTTCGCCAGATAGTTTTGCGCGCTCCGTGGCGGAGCAGAATCTTTGTTCCGCTGTAGGCATCCTCAGGTGGATTATGGCAATATTAATAGAAGACAAACCAAAAATCTTGGTGTCTTTTCCAGATCCAGACCTGCCACAGTTTGCCCTAGTCGATTTCCCTATCGCGGAAAACACCGATGCGGAATCGAGACGCAACATCGAAAATGTCATCGATAGACATTGCCAAAAGTTTTCCCACTCCTTAAGTGACGGCAACGTGGCAAACTTTTTCAACATCCTTGAGAGCGAGGCAATGATCAACTCGTTTTGGTCAAAGACCTCTTTTCTCCTCTACAGCAAAAAAACGTGCGAGGAACGCGGCGAAGCTATAGTCGATCTGGATTTGTCGGCTGATGAAATCGCTCGAGACAGCCTCATACGGATAAATGATCCCCGAAAGCTGGTTGCGGCTATTGAGTATAAATTAACTCCTAGTTGGCGTCGTGGAACTACCGATCGCATCTACTACACCATAGCACCACCGAAATTCATTCGCGTCCTCTGGGATGGCAGCTTATGGTCTACGCCCAAATACCCATATTCCCCGTTCTATAGTTTACGGAAACTGAGCATACGGCACAATAATCCCAAGATCGAGGGAAGTCAGCTTGCATTCTCCCAGGTCGAAGTCTCATACCGCCTCATCTGCCTCGCGCGAATCCCCCAGCACGGAGAGCAGCCAGTCGCAGTTCACTTTTATGAATACGACGGTAGAAACTTTGTGCCTCCATATGGAAGTAACAGGGACCAGAACTGGTCGTGTCATGATCCAGGTAGGTATTACCTGGTATATTACCAGTCCGATGCGCCTGAAAATCCGTTTGACGATGGCTACCCGGCTGAATGCAAAGAGCCAGTACGAAAACTCACTCAGAAGAAACTGGATATTCTTCGCCAATTCGTTAAACGCCCCCATTCGGTTGTTGACAAGCCAGTGCAGCAGATAGCGCCTGGCCCTCGACCTGCCGCCAAACCGAGCCCAGTGCAGCAGATAGCGCCTGGTCCTCGACCTGCCGCCAACCCGAGCCCAGTGCAGCAAATAGCGCCTGGTCCTCGACCTGCCGCCAAACCGAGCCCAGTGCAGCAGATAGCGCCTGGTCCTCGACCTGCACCAAAGCCGACTTTAACAGAGCATACAGGGACCAATACCAACAAGGCAATGAATCAGGCAGAGGAATTCGTCATTAAGAGTCCTCGTACAAGAGATGATATGAATTCAGAGACGTTCGGCGGACAGGACAGCTGGTTCGGTGAGAGAATGTCTAGGTTGACCACCACGCCGCAACCGCAGCCACAACGTCCGCAACCACAGCCACAATGTCCGCCTCCTTCTCGCCCGAAGATACGTTTCGCGGAAGATACTCGTCAAGAACCACAGTTCCGGGGTCGGCAAGGGGGTGGCTGGCGACCCAGATTTCGTCCTGATTCCCCGAGGGGCTACCTGGATCAACGGGCGCTTGATTCTATAGCAAGATCTCGATCTCGAAGTCTGCGTCAACAGAGCTCCGGTGATCACCAATATCGCAACCGATGAGAGACATATCGCTAAGTGCTAAGAGTCTCTACCACAAGGTTGCTACGGTCAGGTAATTTTGGTGTGTACGTAATTAGTTGAAGATAGTTTACAGCTAATTGATTCGTTCCCCGAAAGATTCTGTTGTTCGTAGTACCGCGATCTTACCTAATAGGTTTTAGCTTCTACGTTCGTCTACTGCGATAAACCGTGAACTGAAAGCGATCCCATTACATTACACACCATAGGTGTAGGTAGGTTGTACACGGATATACTAAACAGGAGGCAGAGCTAGCAGCGATCTTAAGCACGATGAATCAGGGCGCTTTAATCTAAATGCGCGGTTGGTAAATACAGGTGGCAATGCACGTTAGATACCCAAAGGGAAGCTGATGGAAGCACGGGTTACAGATTTGGGTATCTAGGATAACAAAAACTCAGACGAGTGAATTAGAGAAGTATCGGACTGTTGCTAGGTGATCGATGTCATCTGATGTCCGGGAAAAAGTGGTTTAGAGGTAGGTAGATTCAGGGGTAGATCCACCGGATCGGTCATGTAAGAGGCGCGTAGCGAGAAGGTAGATGATCGAGCGTTAATGGAATCAATTCTACTATCCTGAGATTAGTCTACCTCTACCTTAGGAGGTAGGTAACTACCTAGCACCAATGAAGATTTTACCTGATGTCTGACAAGTGACGGAAAGGATGCGCGATGTTGCCGGGTACTTGTGGGGACTAAGTTCTATCTGTTGAAGAGTATATAAATAGGGGTAGAGTAGTTGGCCGTGTGTGATCGGTTAATAGTCTTCCAGCTATCCTTAATAACTTACCCGTAATTAGACGCGCTTGTGTAAGTAGAATATCCAGCCGGGAATTGATTTACAAATATGCCCATCAAGAAGTATCAGATAGCCTAGCTTCTTGTGCTACACTGCCTTTTAATACATCCCAAAACCCCCGGAACTCTATCGTAAGAGGGCTCCTGTTAGAGAGAACCCTTGATATATGTCATACGTAGAGTGAATGTTAGAAGCGGCAGATATAAAGGTACATTTAGTGGATCATGGTAAACGAATTTCAATCCAATCCGCTGCTTACGTCGCTATTTAAGAGTACTTAGATACATAGATACAATATGGATATCATCGCAGGCTCGTAGGGCAATTCCAACATCAATCCTACTTGTCTAGTTTTTCCTTTCCAAGAGCAAAGTCCACAAAACTTATCATATGCACTTTCAAATCGCTCTCGAACTGAGCGAGCTTAACCTGGAACTCCTCCGGGGCACCGCTAAGGAACTCTTCCGCGGGGCGTGTGGACCTGAATAAGCCGAAACGTACCCGGATGTATTCTGCAAAGTGCTTAAGGCCCGCTACCACGTGTGCGGCCTTTAGACGCTGCGTTTCTGCATCGCTAAGTAACAGTTTCCGGCCGAAGACCTCCTGGTCGCAGGTTTTGTTCTCGGTGGGAGGAACCGGTTCGAGGGGAACGACCTTGATCCTCGTATTGAAGTAATTGTCCAGCGGGACGAGGACGTCGGGAAAACCAAACTGACATCCCATTGTGTCAACGACCCATCCTTCCCCACGTAGATAGACGACCACGAAGATGTGGAGTACGTTGTCAGAGGTCATATGTCTCCTCTCGCCCTTAGAATTGTGCACCCATTCGAGCTTCCACGGAAGTATTGGTTTTACGGCCGCTTGGACAATACTGTATTCAGCTTTGATTACTATCTTATTGTTAACGTTCCTTCTCGCGGCCTCACGCGTAGGGTTAGGTTATCTTACCTCCGAAAAGATAGTGAACCAAGGGAGGAGGAAGGCTTGTAACAGTCGCGCAATGGTTATTTGCTAAAACTGCTTCTTTATGCTGAGGACTAATTCTTAGGTTGCTTGGAAAGGGTCTCTGCCAGGGATGGTCTAGGATCTTCCTCGGTTCCAGCAGGAAGTGGAGGACACCTTCCTCAAGCTTGACCTCAGTTAAAGGGAGGTCAAATACGGATTCACGATATACCAAACAGGCGGTCTTGATTATCTCTCCGATTCTTAGTATCTTTCTTCTACCCTCCAATCTGCGGCACTGTGCTTTGTGTGTTGGCCAATGCTGCCGTTGGCATTCGGAACCACAGTACGCAGTCACCGGCGCATCGCCAGGTTTATACTCGGGCGAGTTCAGACAACGGGAGCATTTTATTGTCGACGGCTTGGAACAGTTTGCGCAGGATATATGTTCCATGGTGATGTTGAATAATACTATGAAGGATATTGTGAGTGGTTACTGCGTCTGAGCGGTAGGTAAGCGTAACGATTTTGTGAAGAAGATTTTGCGAAGTTAAGAATCGTCAGAGCGACTTCACGTAAAATGCATCTCGGCATTACTTTGATCTTCAAGTAAATTTTGTCGTGCTTTCTTGTGCTATTACGCTCCATCGTCGTTACCTTGTATGTGTTGGTTGCAACTTCGCTTATGGTACCGATGCTTCAAAATCTGGTGGGCGAACTAAGAACTTATTTATCGACAGTAGGCAAGTACGATCTTAGCATCGGGTATGTCATTAGAAGTAATCTTAAGGAAATAGAGGGTGACATGTTAATGACTGCGCTGCTGGGACAGTCCCTCAGGTGCACTAAGTAGTTACTAGCATTTCAAAATTAATTTTGCTGAAAGATACGGTATATGAGCTGTAGTTGTATATTGACTTAGTCTACCAACTGTATGAGTGAGGAGGGAGGTCCTTCTTATATATATATATTCCATGCCAAGGTGCCATATACTGTACCTGAAAGTAGTCCCTTTACCACTCACTTCAACAAATTTCCGATGATGACAAGTTAAAGAAGACGCAAAGAATCCAAGGAACACTCGGATACCTTCACAGAACTATTCCTGGGAAGATGTCGAAACCTTAAAGATCTGTAGCAAAGAATACACCTAAGACTGCCTTAACATGGCCCTCCGTATCGTATGTGTACTTGGGCTTGGGCTATTATGACTCTATCTCAACGTATATTTTTATTCGATGTTCTTACTGCTTTTTTCTTACAAGTTGATCCGCTATATATTGCTAAGATTCAGATCAGATTGCATCACTCTTAATTATAGATGTAAGTCTTCTTATTCATCAAAGAGTAGTTGTTCGATTGCTAACGACCGCCACATCTACTCCGAAGCTATAAGTACCTGGGAAATTGTTTCCGTTAGAATCAAGTCTATCTCCAACGACCAAGTCTTCTCTGAGTTATGTCAGATATTACCATCTGTCCGATATAAATATAAAGAATAATAAAATAAAATCTATTACCAAATAACCTTTTAGTGGTATAGCGGTTTGTTCGACAAGTTACCTAAGCTGATGTCCAAAGGGGCTCGTCGGAGCACCGATAAAAGGCACCTCCGCACTTGGTTGTGGAGAATTGACTTACACCGTCTACTTGCATCAGCAGCCAAGACGCTGCGGATCTCCTCTTCTTTAGGTATCTCCGACATCAATCGCATCTTGACTAAGCTTCTAACATGGCTGTAAGGGATTCGGGCTTGCTACGAGTAAGGCAAGGCCCAAGTAATTTTCTACGTGCATCGGAATCTCGACAGTTCGATGTGATGATCCGTGCCAAATAGCAAATTGACTTGGCAATTCCGTAAGTGACTCCAGACTAGCTGCCTAGGGCCGCCGGGCCGTCGTCGGCAAAGTTACGATCAAGGTCCAAGACATGGCGTATTTCTCAGCTCTCACGAGAATATTTAAACTTGGGGTAACCCGCTGCTATTTGGTTTTCGAATGCGTATGCTAACCAACATCCGCGAAGGACCAAAAGTATAGATCAAACATTCATCATGTCAACCATCAAAACATCCGTCGTCCTCGAAGCGGGACCGAATACCGACATCTGGAAGAAGCCGCCCACGACGAATATTTGGACTGGTATTACGTTCCAATCTCCCTTATCCCTGTGACTCTTGGCTAACCCCTCCTAGCACCCATCTCCCACACGTCTTCAGGCCTCTTGAAGAAGTTCAAATCAGCCCGCGTCACCTTCTGGGCCGACTGGAGGGAGCGGTACGACCAAGGAGGCCTGCTCCTCGTACCCAAGCGCCGATCTGCGGGCAACGTCTCCCCGCCGGAGAAATGGATCAAGACGGGCGTCGAGTACTACGTTGGGCGGCCGCAGCTGAGCACCGTAAGCACCGACCGCTTTGCGGACTGGAGCGTCGCGCCCCTGGCTCTGACGGAAAACGAGCCCGAACCCGCCGAGGTGGGCGGAGTCACCATCGAGATCGCGCGCGAGGGTGACGAGCACGGCAAGAGCTTTTGGGTGTACCGGCTCGTGTTGGATGCGAACGGCGGCGTCGCCGAGAGGATTCCCCTGAGGGAGATCTGCTGGGTGCTCGCGGACGAGGACGAGCGCGGTGGCGAAGAATGGCTTCTGGATGTAAGCCCGCTGGTGGCTCGGCCGGAGAAGAACGCGACCGACTCGCTCAAGGTCAACTTCAAGACCTTTGAGGTTCAGTGGGCATCGTAAGGTGGAAATAAGGTTTATGTAAATACAAGATCGGATGGATGGTTGGTCTTCAGTGCGCGGCCCGTATTCGGATAGATTTGATGATGGCTACTTCTTAGCGTTTCGTATGTTAACCTAACGTCACCGTGCTCTAAGCGAATCCTAAATGGGTGGTGACGCGTTTCGTGGTCGCCAAGTTGCAGTCCTCTTGGCCGCTGAAGTATTCAGACTTTCTATAAAAATACTTACACTTGCCAGTAGAGTCTGCACAGATATCTCATCTGAAATGTCAAAAACGATATGCCACCATGACCGAAGCCCTCATAGGGGTAGTACGGCAAATCGACGTCGGTACGTCGGGTTATCTTGGGTTCTGCAATGACACCATCGTCGATGTCGTCGAATACTCGACCGTCAACGTCTCGAATCTTTTATGCATCCCCTTACCACCCAGGTTACCATACATATTGGGAAGACTAGAAACGAAACTCGACTTCGCAGCAGCTGGTAGACAGTGCGCCGCCAAAGACGACAGGTATCGACACTGCTCGCGCCACCGCGCAACTCCGGGAGATTACGTCGGGAGCGTCCGAAAGATCGACGACGTCAGTTTCGGTTCCCATTGGTCGTCCCGGTATAATTGCACGTACGCATGTCGAAGTGTTTGATATCTAGGTAGATTACCTCGTCGCTCGAGTAGTCAGACTTTAGAATTCGAGATTTACAGGGATCGCTAATGTGTATATTCATCGAGACGTCCCGAGAGGCAACTCCCGAAGGACGCCACCGAAGTGGTAGGGATCTTGGATGCATGCATGCGGGGTGCCTTCGCGCCCTCCGCCTTTCATGATTCGTGCACCTTGTTAAAATACCTTCGCATGTAGGCGTTCTACACTTGAAAAACGGCGGGATGTACCTTTTCTGATAGGTATCTCGCAGTTCTGCAGGACTTATCCAATTTATCAGCTGACTATCACGTGGGGTATTTAGGTATCGCCGTCGATTCTTGCACATATTAGCTTCAATCGTCATCGTGACGTTCGCAAATGCTGCGCGCTGAATAACCATAGATCCCACCACCACTTACAATGATACCGAGAAAGTACCCACCAATCCTTCCGTCGGCTCCTCTGCCGGAAGAGGAAGAACCGTTAAATCCCGGTCCCGGCCCCAGCACGCGACGGCAGAGACCTGGTGCCTGCACTACGTGTAGACGTCGCAAGATTAAGGCGAGTGTTTCGATCGTCGCCTTTATCTAGACCGCCCCGATTCACCCCTAGTTAACTCGTTACAGTGCGATGGCGTACGACCGAAGTGCACCAACTGCGTAAAACGGGGCGTGACATTTTGCGTCTACATCGATAAAGTTAAGGCCGGACCCGAGGTGATGGAGGTGCTCGAGCTTCTGAAATCGTTGCCCGTGGGCGAAGCGTTCGGGCTCTTCAATTCGCTTAGGGAAAAGGGGGATCCGGCAACCGTCTTGTCGGTGCTGAGGGAGGGCGACGCGGAGGGGCAACCTACGTTCCTAGATGCGGAAGCCCGAGGATTCGCTCCTCCTCGAAACATGCTCGAATTGGAGCTGATGGCCAATAATTCGAAGTCGTTTCTTCCCTTGCGCCGTATCGACGCGCAGGTCTTGGCCGAGAGCGATCTCTTGCGCCCCATGAGACGATCTGTAGAAGCTAACCCGATGTGAGTCGACCGTCGTAGAGATCGGAACTCGATTAGGACGCGTGGTATTAACCTCCCAAACCGTAGGAACCCTCCGTTTCCCGTCGGCGCCGGTTTAGAAGGCAGACGTTTTCCTCCTCCCGTAAGTCCTAGGCGGGGAGTTGGGTATTGCGACGAACGACTTCATAACTTGCAGGCCGATTTCTGGACCGATGTGATGGTCACCAACGAGTTTACGGCGCAAGTCATCTCTCTCTATATAAAAACTGACCACCCGATCTTAGGCCTTTTCAGTCCCCACCTCTTCATCACGGACCTAGTTAATCGGCAGACCAGGTTCTGCTCCAGGTTTCTATTTCACGCGTTGATGTATCTAGGCTGCGTAAGTAGGAACGGGACTCTTAAAAATTCGCGCGCGACGCTGACTAGCCGCAGCAGATGTATAGCGCCTTCGACAAGGATGCGATGCAATTCGCCGACGAGTTCCTCCAGGAAGCTCAAAAGGCGCGGAGAGAAGAACCGGACTCGTATTCGTCCATGGCGGCGGCCGTGCTGCTCAGCATATCTCTCATAGGAAACAGTAAGGACCACGCGATTCTCTTCTACGCGAAGGAAGCGATGCAGATGGGTAAGAATTTGGGACTCTTCGCCGACGACGAGGGGGGACCGGCGATGCTAAACGAGAATACGTCGGAAGAGGAGATGACGGCGCGCTGCTACGCGGCGTGGGGAACGTTTAATTGGAACGTGTAAGTGAGACGGCTCGGCAAAGATAGCCTTCGTCGACTTGGCGCGTGCTGACGTGCTAGACTCGTATCGCTATTTTATCGACAGCCGGGCGCCGAGAGCCCGAGCTCGGCTCCGGCGCTACCCATCCCGGGCGAGAGGACTCCTGCAGGCCAAGAGGGTGATATGGACCGGGGTCCTCCGGCCGACGAGAGCCTGATAGAGACGATTTTCCCCAAGCTCTGTCGTTTCTGGCTCATAATCCACGGAGCTGCGTGGATATATACCCCGACCCAAGGCCGTCCGCCGGACGTCTTTAGGATGGCTCTCGTCGAGCATAAGTTTCGCGAGCTGATCGCTTGGGCGGAAGCCCTGCCGTTGCCCTTACTTCGAACGGAGGAGCAGACCCATCATGTTATCCTACTCCAGTGAGCATCCCGAGAGAATTGCTTTGTTCGGGGTTCGCCCGTTGCTAACCGGGAATAAGCATATGGCTTCACTGCGCTATCCTCGACGTATTCCGACCCTTCGTCGGGAAACCGGAAGGTCAACGGCCGCGCTTGACGACGTTCTCGGCGCGAGATAGCTCTCCGGATGCGGTCTACTCCGCGTCGGTTGCTCAGCTTAAGAATCTTATCGTCGAGTATCGCAGCAACTTCGTAGAATCTACCTGCTCGATCCTCTGGCATACCGGACTCCTCTACCTAGCGAACGCCATGCTGAGAGATATAAGCGACCCGGATCGGCGCCTTTACCTAATGCTCTGCCTGTACGGCTACGAAAGCCTCAGCCGCCCGTTCCGCATCTCCGAGGTCATCGTCCAAGGCTTGTTGTCCATGACGCTGAAGGAGACGGACATGACGGGAAGCGAGGCGCAAAGAATAGTCGACGAGCTCAAAGAGGGAAGGCTAGATGGTTTGACGCAAGATTTTGAGCACAAAACCCGTGCTACGTTTATGGTTGATTTGGATCTGGCACTGAAACACCCTGACCAGGCGAGGGCGGAGAATTTGGCGGCCGAATTTGAAAATCTAGCCCTGTTCCGCGATTTCCTTGACCAGGAGAAGATGGAGATTTAGGATTGATATACAAAAGGTGTTTAGGATTTGAGACTTGAAGTACATGATAAGATATTGTCAGATTGACCACACGACTAAAAGGGATCTTGTAATCGCATAAATGTCATTACTTAATATATGCGACAGATATGCACTTCAGGTAGCCTAATATGTTAGGTATGCACTAAAGGTAACAGATGCAATAAAATATTTGATTGGCGGGGCGGTTAACTGCGGGGCTATTTCGGGGGCCTACAGCTACCTTCGTACCTGCAACCGGAACCTAGGTAGGTACCTATGTAGGAGGTTAACAGTATCGAACATCCATAGTGCTTGCCTTGCCTTTTTAAAGATATCTTGGGTCGGTAGGTACGTGTATCAACTTACTTCGTATGTGGGTACGGGTTATAGAGAGGCAGGTGCGAGAGTGCACGTTATCTGTGCGTTTGCGATGCGCCATCATTTTGTGTACTGTGCACCGCAGGGGAATCTCAATTTACCAATTTATTCTCCACGCCTAAGTTGTATCAAGCCAACTTATATCAAACCAACTTGCTTGTATCAAGCCAACTTGTATCAAGCCCATAAAAGGTACCCTCTGCCTTCAAAGTCTTTTTCCGAGCGATTTGAAGCTCAGCGGACCTCGACATGGCTGTCCTCAAGGATGTTCCGGGTATCGAAGTCGTCGTGAAAGTTGCCGGCAATGATGCTACTGAGTACGAGGATCCCAACGCGTCGGAACAGGATAGCACAAACGCGTTTTATCCCACTTCAACTAAGTATATCGAATGCATCGATGGGGCAGAGTTTGCTATTCAGATGAGAGTTACTGGAGACTATCAATGGAAGGGCCAGATAAATGCCCTTAATTTCTACATTCGCATAGACGGTAACTATGTTACGGGTTCACTCGTGAAGCGGAAGGACATTGTCAACGGCATTGCGATATTCACTAAAGAAGGTCGGAAGGTGTACAATACTCAGACCAAGGAATGGGTTCTGCAAAGGTTTCAATTCTCTGCCATTGACGTCGGTAAGTAGGCTTCATATAGTTCATGTGGAAATGGTGAACTGACAAAAGACTAAGTTGATGACGCGAAAAAGGATCGAGTCGAGAACGACATCAAGATAGCTAAGCATCTTGGGCTGATCCAGGTTGAGGTGCTTCCGTGCATCTATTTAGGACGCAGAGGACCGTCCTTCGCAAAGCCTATCATAAGCGGGAAGGTAGAGCTTGCAGAAAAGTCACTCAAAGGTAAAGCTATATCACACGGAACTTCGTACGTCTTTTTTTATAGCCCAATTTCAGGTGTGCAAAATATGTACTAATCCTGAATCGATAAAGATTTTCATCATCAAGGGAACGCATATCTGCTCCCGGGGGGTGTGAAGTAAAGTTCCTCGACAAACATCCTAAACCAATTGCGGTGTTTCGGTTCCATTATAGGTCTAGAGGTATGAAGAGCAAGTAACAATCACGTCTAAAGTAGCGCTCAGCTAATCTCCTAGATGCTCTAAAACGCGAGATGGTTATTCCTCGATCCCCATCGGCAAGCCCAGGGCCGAAGCGAGAAGTCGCTCGAATGTCGCGGGCTGAACTGGAACGGTTAGCTGGAGAGAGACTCGGCCAGCTGCAGGTACGTTGCTACGACGATTGGCTATCATGCCTGCCTACTAACTGGATTCAGGGAGATGGTAACATTAAGGAAGAGCGCAAGCCTAATTTTAAACGGGAATTCAAAGAAGTTATCGACTTGAGCGACGAGACCGAGCGGCCCGTAAAGTCCTCTCGAATCGCGGTGGAGATACCAGAGGAAGTCATTGACCTGACGGATGATTAAAGTATTAATTATCTCCGGATTTTGTCATCCCGTTGCTCATTTTCTTTTGAGAGAAGGTCGAATCAAAGTCAATCGACCGGAGTTCGGGTTATGAAAGTAATAGGTTTAAGAGGGGCAGTTAGGTCTGCTAGATTGTAATAAAATGACAGAAAATCATTCTCACTATGACAAGCCGCGCAATTGAAGGAGACGTATCGAAGACGCCTGCCTCTGTATAGTGATGCTACCAATAAATTCAAGTTACGTGCGTAGTAGTCGGAGAAGCTTAGCTTGGCGTAACCAACCCCCTGGCATGAGATGGAGCCCAATATAGCTCCGGCCCCACTTATGGCTAGCAAGGGAAGTACATAGGTACATACGTAGCTCTTTTTCCCACCAAATTTACATTACTATTATTTTGTCAACTTCACCACGCTCCGTCTAACACAGCCATTGAGCATCGACAAGCAAAATGGCCGATACTACGAAACCCGTTAAGAAGGCTTCACCTATCAAAAATGGTTACCTGATCCTTTATAATGCCGTATCGGCTGCTCTCTGGCTCACCGTGCTGAGCCGCGTCGTCGTCGCCAACCTGACTGGCACTCCGCAGGCGGTCTACCCTGCTGTTGGCGAGTTCTGCAAGTGGACGCAGACGTTGGCCGGAATGGAGATCTTGCACTCGCTACTAGGTACGTTCTATCGCCGGCTACCTGTTTCTGTGCATTCGCCGTGCTCGTATGGCTTGGGAAGGGTTTATATTACAGTTCCCAGCCTGCTGAATTTGAATTATCATATAGATCAGAAAGCTAACATCTCCATTGCTGATAGGTGTCGTACGCGCCCCGTTCTTTACGACCTTCATGCAAGTCTTCAGCAGATATGCGATCGTGTGGGGGATTACCGGACTGTTCCCCGAGCTCGCCCTCGGAAGCGGGAGCGGTGACGGTTACAGCAGCCTGGCGTACTCGTCGATGCTGGTAGCGTGGGGTGTTACCGAGGTCATCCGATATTCGTTCTTCGCGCTATCGCTTTCTTCGGGCGGGCAACCACCTGCGATACTGCACTGGCTGCGCTACCACACTTTCTTCATCCTATATCCCATCGGTATTTCCAGCGAAGCGTACCTGATCTGGCGCGCCGTTGAACCTGCCAAGGACGGCGTAAGCCCGCTATACTCGACCGTACTTTTTGGATACGTCGCGTTGGTTTACCCTCCTTGTAAGTAGCGTGCCTTTGACTTTACCGAAGACAGACGCTAACGCGATACTTCTAGCTGCGTATTTCTTGTATACGCACATGATGGCCCAAAGACGAAAGATCTTCGGGACTAAGACGCAGAAGAAGGTCACGAAGTAGAGTTCGCACGTGTTCGCTTATATCGTAAGGAAAGGAACGGGTTGCAAAGCCCCGATGGGAGATGAATATATTCACGAACAAATACGTAATTGGGTTGCGGTAATATATATGTAGAAGCATAGACAAGATACGCTTATAGACAAGAGGCTCATAAACAATAGCCGCTTAATGATTCCCGGCTATTCGATTGCGCGTCGGCCGCTGGTCTCGTACCATTCGTTGCGGGACCAGCGCACTATCAAGTTCTTCGCGTCTTCCGATAACTTGCGATACCCAGGGTTCTCTTTCGGCTCAAACATTGCTGCATACTAACGTCAGTACCCGCTTAAGCCGTTCGAATCACCGCGAGATGAGGAACAAAGGCAAAGAAAACAAACTTACCCATATGTGCCCCTATCTCGTCCTTCGCCTTATCGTTTATAGCTTCCATCCATAGACCCATTGACCGCTTTTCGCGCGCGGGTAGATTGCAGAAAGTCCGCTCGTTACCCATTACGGTTCCTACCATGCTGACCTCCTTCGAAGACGCGGCTTTCCCGAGCCGCGTGTATAGATTCGCAAAGCCGACGCCCATTTCCCGATCCAGCTTCACCATCTTCGTTACCCGCTCTCGTAATTCGGTACCTCTGGCTAGACACCCTACAAATTCGAGATGCGAACTGACCCACGACCACCCCGAAGTGAGATGCTCCCGATTCATATACGCCGCCGCACCACCAGCTGCCAAAGCACCCGCCGCACCGGCCACTACCGCGATCTGGCCCCATCCCCATCCTCCGCCGCCCTGCTTCTTGTTCTTGTCCTGGGGCGATTCGGGAGCGGGCAGAGCGCCGGCAGGCTTCTTGCTGGCGCCTCCGGTGTTTCCGGACGCTTGGTTGTAATTGTTCCAGAAGATGCTGGATAGCCCGTTCAGCTGGGCTAAGGCGCCGTTGACGCTGTTATAGTGGCCCTCGGCGCCGTGGGCAACAACGCCGGGGGAAATTCCAAGATAAGGAGTGTCAAAGGCGAGAACTCCTTGGATATAGGGGAACATGAGGCTTGTGGGACCCACAGACTCGCCGACTAAGACGGTAAGGCTGTCGCGATGACTAGCTTTATTGGTATGGGTAACGGGTACCTCGGAAGCGAGGCCTATGGCAGTCTCGGCGGCGACGATACCACCCATGGAATGTCCGATTAGGATCGTACGAACGGAAGGGTCGACGGTTGGAGAAGGTGTTCCGGCGACGACCTCGATGTCGATCACCTTATTAAGCAGCCAGTCGCGGAAGCGAGCGACGCACTCGTGCAAGTCGCCGCGGGTCTCATACTGAGGGTATGTGATAGCGCGTACCGAGACTTTAGGTAGCGCAGCACCGACGATGGCGGCGAGGTGCAGCGCGAACTCGGACTTTTCGCCAAAGGTATCGTCACCCCCCTATTATCCAGTTAGAAAGGCGGGATCGCCTAGGAGTAAACGAGGACGGGAGAGGAGCAAATTTTCGCAAACTCGCCTTGAAACCGTGAATAAAACACAACAGCAGCGTCTTCTTCATCTTGAGTCCCCATCGAAAAGGGGGGGTTACGAAAGAGAGGATTCGGGTAGAAGATAAAAGTTGGGAAGTTTCAGACTCGGCAAGGTAGGCGCATAACGCACGATACCTGCTAGCTGAGTTTGCTTGGGGCTGTAGGGGCTGTAGGATCAGCGTTGAGGGTCCTACTATAATACGCTCCAGTGGGGCTCTACTATCCCCCCTGCCCCCGGCGGTTCTTCGCTCCAGAAATGACGTTTCTTCAGCAGGTAGCCCCACCAGTAGAGCTAGGCCTTCACTTATCAGTCCCCCAGCATATCATCCGGACCTCTTACAATGTTGCGTTCGTTTTAATCACATGCGCATCACGGAATCCAAAACTGCAAGTCTTAACCTTCCAAATCGCAAATTGGTTCGCCCAATTCCAAGTCTCCAGATAAGCTACAGGTAGGACCCATTGCCGAATAAAGAAACGTCCTACGATCCAATATCCGATGTCCACGACAGCTAGTCTCGACAATCCCCAAATGGAGATTTTACTTTTGGACCAACATGAAGTAACCGCGCGAGATATCACCTTGGAAACTTCCGATCGAATCACGCCAGCTAATAAGTAGCCGTCAATCTCTGGACGAGATACTGGCCGCTATTTACTCCTTCGTATTTTTTGTCCTGTTCGGTAGCGTAAGTGTTAGGGATGGCCTCGATGTAATCCTTGAAATTCGGATTGCAGAAGTATCTGCAAAGCTTCGTTAGCCGCGTGCTTGGACGCTTGACAAGACTCCACGTGTACGTACGCTATACTGTATCTGGCCGGATAAATGTCGTCTCGACGGGACGGGGGTTCTACGACACGATGAATAGTACTCTTGATATTATCGTTGCTCCATCTTGCTAGCAGATCCCCGGCGTTTACCACGCAGGTGTCCTCGATGGGTGCCGCGTCGACGAAGACGCCCGTCGGACTCTGCACCTGCAGACCGCCCTGGGAATCCTGGAATAGCAGAGTGATGGAGCCGTAATCGCTGTGCGCGCCGGTCCGGACCTGTCCCGGATTAATTTTGAACACGTCTCTCTTGACTTCGGGGTAGTGAAGAAGCCTCAGAGTGTTATCTCCGACGTCAGTGTACTTGTCGAACCACGATTCTTCGATGCCTAGGCCCACGGCGATGGCGCGCATAACCTCGATGTGCAGGTCTTTGCACTTTTTATGGAATTCGAGCATCGTCTCCTTGAAGCCTACCAGCTCGCCCTCTTCCTCGGGCCAATGGTTTGGGTGCCCGGGCTCGTCGTCGCGCCCGATTTCTAGGCTCTCCTTCAGGTCGGGTACCGCGTCCCTCAGCTTCTTAACGGCGTCCATGTCCGTCAGGTCCGTGTTCTTCTCTCTGCCTGGTGCCGAGTAACCCCGGTTCGCTTCGGGCGTAGTCCAGCAGTGAGACAGCTTGGTCTCGACGGGAAGCTTGAAGTACTTGGCCGACGTATCAAACACGTGCTTCCGATACTCCGGCTTGACGGGTAGTCCCTTCAGGTAGACGAATCCGGATGTCTGAAAGCCGCGAAGGATGGCGTCGGCAGTCTGCTTCCTCTGTTCCGGATTGCCGTTCAGGAATTGGGAAAAGTCGATCAGCTAGGGTTTCTAGTGCTCAGCCATATATCCTCGTGGCGCTTTACAAACGCACGGCTGGGACCTACCGGGATGAACAAGCCGTCGCTTTTTACAGCTGTCTCCTCCATTGTTCTATCAATTGGTAAGAGTCTAAGATATCTTTTCGTGTTCCTCTTTATAATTCATATACAAAAACTAAGGCAAGTTGATGATGATGGGCTTATCGGAAAAAGAGTAAGACAAGTCGACGAGGAAGAAAACACTTCCGTACCACTACACACTACAAAGTGTCATTTAACTAGGATACCTACCTATCTTTTATCTAAGCACATGAAATTCGGCTACATCCGGGGAAAAGCGAAACTTTCTGGGTCCTTTATGAGACAATATTCTAAAGCAAGCTTTTTATCTTCCTTCCGGAGCGCAATACCTGGCTTATCAAAGTATCACCGCATATGAACGCAGAATCTAGACCGGAAGAGGATGAAAGCCGTTCGATATTCCTTCGAATCTAGCACCTACATAATTACTTGACTAATAATATCGAGAGGCATCAGGTAAGAACAATCATTTTCCATATGCTCGTAACTGTATCTACGAACCCCGCCATATAGATAAGAGATCATCCTCCAGATTACCTAGGTATGCATGAGATAAGAGTTCAGGGAGGGGGTGATGTACTCAAGATAGCTCGAGTGGACGCCTTCGGATATCACCTACCAAATGTGGGGTATCATTCATGAGCCTCGCATCGGCCAAGATCGAAGGTTAGACGTATCGCTTAGCCTAGGTCTTTATTGCTGATTCGAGATAGGCTTCAAAGTTCACTCAGGTTACTCATTCGCATGTCTTAGTTTCATGTCATTCTACGTACTCATCCCACGTCCCTATTTATAAAATTACATTGTCTAGTGGTAAAGCTGCTACGATGAGTTCATCGACATATCGGGTAGTGGATATCCACACCCATATGTATCCCCCGGCATACGTACAGCTCCTGGAATCCCGAAGCAGCATACCCCTGATCCGGAAGTTTGCCGGTGCGAAGGAGCCCCGCCTCGTCATCTTACCCTCCGAAGCGGAATCGCTGGACAAGATTACATCGGAAAATCCGGAGAAGACGTCATCTCACCTTCCCGGCCGACCGGTGACGACGCATTATTCCTCCATCAGCCAGAAGATCCATTTTATGGATACGCATAAAATTGACATTTCGGTCATATCGCTTGCGAACCCGTGGCTCGACTTCGTCGCTGCTGAGGACGCAGGAGAAACTGCCAAGTCTATCAACCAGGAATTTTCCGATATGTGCGCCGCGACCCCTGGCCGGCTGTTCTTTTTTGCAACTCTGCCGCTGACCGCCCCTCCCGAAACTCTTCTCGCAGCCGTCGGACATATTCGTAGCTTGAAGTACTGTCGAGGCGTGATTCTGGGAACGTCGGGGCTTGGGAAAGGACTCGATGATCCGGCTTTAGTGCCAGTCTTCTCCGCGCTCGCCGCTAATAAACTAACCATATTCCTACACCCGCATTATGGCCTGCCGAGCGAGGTGTGGGGTCCCCGCGCTACGGAAGAATACGGCCACGTGCTGCCGCTGGCCCTGGGATTTCCCATGGAAACAACAATCGCGGTTGCTAGGATGTACCTTGCAGGCGTATTTGATCAGGTACCAGAGCTGCGATTGATACTAGCGCATAGCGGCGGAACGCTGCCTTTCTTAGCGGGCCGCATCGAGAGCTGCATCGTTCACGACGGGCATCTAGTCCGGGAGGGCAAGGCGGGGCCCGGTCGACGAACGATATGGCAGGTCCTTCGGGAACAGATCTACTTGGACGCTGTTGTGTACTCCGAGGTTGGGCTAAAAGCGGCCATCGACGCTAGCGGGACCGACAGGTTGATGTTCGGCACGGACCACCCGTTCTTTCCGCCGCTAAACAGCGACGAGCAGGGCGAATGGGAGAGCGTGACTTGGAATGCGGAGGCTGTGAGGAAAGCCCTAGGGGACGCGACGGAGCGCGGGAGAGCGGTTATGGGCGGTAATGCCGTCGAGGTGCTGCGGCTGTTCGAAGATAGTTGAAGTCTGAATATTACCGAGGGTATTTCCGATGGAGCATGCAACCTAGGTTTTCATGATTACGCGCACCAATGCCTGATTTGGGAGCTATGTTCATATTGATGATGTATATCCTCGTAATAATCTTTTTACTAAATGCGAACCCTGGTTTAACCGCGAAAACCGCAAGATCCCTATAGATCAATACTTTTACCAAGTCGCATTACCGACTACTTTATTTGAGCGTAGCGACGATGATACCTAATCCTTCACCCGGGGGTTGGTATAGACCTTCGATAGTTAATCTGGCAGCAGGTAAGAGGTCGTTTCGCTGAAAGTACAATAAATAGCAAAATATCCCACGGCGCCGGAAAAAGAGGACAACCTTCTTCAGGTAAAATCATATCGTTGATAACAAGATACGAGTAACCTTTCGTGGTAGCAGCTGAGACATTTTTTAATATTTAAAGACATGCGTCGTCTTGCCAGTCATGTACCTAAGACATACTTCATATAGTTGATACAGGTGCCTGGTTTAATTGGCAGTGTAACCCCCAGGGTCTAGGTATTTAAATAGGGGTGTACGAATGTTGGAGCCAAAAGTCTTGCACATGTCCAAATCTTGGCATCGATTTTCGTACGTTTTTTAACTTATTAATACTGTATTAGCCACACGTTAAGTTGAAGGTCGGATAGTGGCTTGTCCCCTAAATTTAGGTGGTTTACTACTATATTTATGGCGACATCAGCCACTATAGCTTAAATAAGACCGTGTAGTCTTTTTTTACTCGCACGTGGCTTTGCTAAGCTCAGATGTTTACCTTTTACCGGAGCTTCGTTGAAAAATTCGATGGGGCAATTCGGCAACAGAGTCATCCAGCACAAGTTGCTGATCTCGTAAGATGAGCTCTCCCTCCACATCTGGAAACGTCTTGCAGAATTCTACAACGTCGTGTCCGCGGCCGCCACCAACGTCTACAAGCACGGGCAGATCTTTGTCCCCGTGGTAAAAGGAGAGGCCCGGTTAGAAGCAGGGATCAGCCACTTCCATCCTTCGGGCTCGGACGTGACAGAATCAGGGGGTTGCTTCAAGGCGCCGTCGGACTCAATCGGTATGCTAGCCGGATTAAAAGCGGTATTGACCCCGCCTGTGATAGGGCTTTATGCCGGGGCTGTCATTGATAGTCCCTAGGCATGTATAGTAAGTTTGGCGGCTACGCCGGATATATCGGAAAACTAATAGGAATCACATCCGTGTCGGTCAACGAAATATAAACTGGCAAACTAGAAACTTCATAGCATCAAGAATAACTCAAATTCAACATTCTTCTAATGATATCTGCCCTTCTGTGCCAACAAAGAGCGTTAGCAACAACTATTCCTACCCCACGAATACGAACTATCAAAGGTGAGCTAGCCCATAACTTCTACCTCCCCACAGCCTTTCAGTGGATTTTAACGTCGCAATACGGCAGGGATTCAAACCACTCGATATCGCCATGATGCTGAAACATCCCAACCCTGCGATAATGCCCGTCTTCAAACTTTAGGAGTAGAAGACCATAGGCTGATCGTTTGCCATCCGCATCCAGGTTTGGTTCTATCGACGTGAGAAAGAGCTCGAGATTACTCTGGCGGTCTATTTCTTGAGGATCCTCCTTCGACGGCATCCAGTCTAGCCAGAAATACAGGGTACCATCAGGGGTAACCGCGTCCCATCTGCTGGACCATCTTCCTGCTGTATCGTTGAAACGGCCACTGTTCGGAATAGCTGGTGGTTGTCCCACCAACCCTCGCAGGACGATAGACGATCCGTATTTAACTCTCACCATAGCATCAGAGCAGGCCGGTTGCAAGTCGTGCCGCATGACTTGAAATGCCGGGCGGGATTTCCAACGGAAGTCCACGCCTTTATCTCTGGAAGCCCAGCTCCAAGATGGGGCGCAGTATTGTTCTTCGTTTAGCAAACAGGCCGACATATGTTTGTACGACGGCGCCGGTTTCTCGCATACCCAGAGTAGATGAGCACAGAATTTCTCAAATTCGCTATCCAACCATAGCCCTCCTAGGTATTTCATCGAGCTCCCTGCCTCTTCTTGGAAGTTTTGAATATATTTGGCTACCCCTGAAACCGCGGCTAGTCTGTCCTTGGGGAACGAGATATTCCTATTCGTGAATTCCTTCAGAAGAACCTTCCAGTAGTTGATATTGTTAGAACCGCCATTCAATGACATTTCTGGATCGTTCGTAGTCGGGCCGCGTTCCAGGCGGATACCGTTGTTGCAGCGGAATTGGAATCCTTTCTCGGCGAAGATCAGCTGCCTCGTGGACATGATTTGTTCTTGCCAAACCCAAGCACGGCTATGCCACATCGTGTGGCTAAGGTCAATATTTTTAGGGGAACCGTTTCTTCCATCCAGTTGGATCGAGTATATACCGCAGACGTCAGGAATAAGAGACGAGCGGAAAGGCAGGTTCAACAGATTCCTTTGTGGTCGTTGAAGAAAGCTTTCAGACGACGAGGTGCTTATGGCCGCACTGACGGTAATATAAGAGTTGGCGAATATGTCGCACATCTTAACCGACTCCGCCTCCCAATCCTCTGGTATATCCTGAATAATACAGAGGGCATCTATCCAGAGGTAACGGATGCCTAGCTTGCGAACAACCTCGATAGCGTCCTGGAAAGTTTGTGGCATGCTATGAACGACAATGCCGACCTTGCTGTGCTCGTCCTTGGTTTCCTTGGTGGTTTTCAGCGTAAGGCCAGACCCCCAGCAATAGCTTAATGTCGCATATTTGAGTTGAGATCCATCCAGAGGTATTTGGCTCTTCTCTACTAATCTTGCCATACCGTCGCTTCTTCCGACGTCTAACAATCGTGTCGGCACATAGTGGGAATCTGATAGCTTATCCCTGCATCCTTTGTGGTCCTTGGCGCACTTATCAATGCAGCGCTTGATGAAGTGAATGTTCATATCTGAAACCGCACCGCTAGGATCTAACGGACTCTTTCGGATATGGAGCCAGTCTCGAGATGTTCCTGTATTATGTCGGTAAACTCCAAAGAATGAGATCTATGTAACTTACCTGGCCAGGCTTCGACGTCAAACTTGAAGACGTTGGCATGATCCTGGTCAAGGTCTGGGGGTTGCGCTATAACGACCATGCAGTCAAGCTTCCCCCTTATTCTTATTTCCGATGGCTCTTCGTTTTCCGGTCGCCTTTCCGATATAGTGGTACGTCGCTGGACCCATTCATACTGCACGTAGAAACGGATCACCGAATCGGGACTATTCCACCAAGGACGTTCGCCATATTCTTTTCGGAAAAGTTCCTCGAGCCTTGCGCAAAATTGACATTCCTTGGCGGAAGGGCCGGACAGTTCAGGTAACGCAGGCGGCGTCACGATTCTCGGATTATCGCCGCCAGCGCAAAATTCACGATAATGGCCTTCCATGCTGTTCTCGTGGGCCTGGGAACCCGAGTGTATCCACCCGGATGCGTCTCCCTCCTTACGTCCCTTCTCATATAAACTACCCCGAAGCGAATCGTGCCACTGCTTCGGGCGGAAGCTAGAGAGATCCAAGGCTGCCCTCTCCTCACCAGTGCTATCCACTACCGTTTCGCATTCGAAAAGACTGTCGTCGATAATTAGATCTTTCGAGCAAAATTCGCAGAGAGGCACATCACCCGCCGGAGGGGTGACAATCTTAAATTCGTCAGGATCACACTCCAGTCTGTCGAGTTGAATCGAATCGGCGTCACTCTCATTGTCGGACTCGCCGCCGGGATCCACCACGACCTGACCGAGGAAATGTTCGTAGGGTGAATCCGGCGAACTGTTGGATGAAACCGGTGTGCCACTTGGGAGTAAAATGAACTTCTGAAGACCGATACCCATTGTAGGGAGCTAGGTATATTGAATACCTAAGTATGCTATTGAGAGATAAAGATGTAGTGTAGTAGGTATGATTTACATATCGTATCTACTGACTTGACTGAAGGCCTCTTCATAACTCTATTAAAATACTAGTCCCAATAGTTAGCTTGAGCCTCATCTTAGCTAGGCTGATATTAATCAGGCGGAAATAATAGTCATAACAGTGGGAGAGTCGCCGTGCTTCAGACGCCTGTCAAGACGAAGTAGGCAGTGCTCATATTGAGCGAGGCTTAAATCCATCTCGGTCCGACAGAAATTCGCCCCTACGACGCAAGGCATCCTATGAAAATGTCGCTTAAACGAAAACGCCAACACTTTCTCGATCGTCTGATTGGATATGTCGAGAGAGTAGCATCTCGCAATTAAATGAGAGAAAAAGCCTTGATTGATCCATCCAGTCAACGCTATTTCCTTTACATCGCCTTTCATTAACTCATCGTCACACGCATCACTGCCACTGTCACAGGACCAGTGAAGCAGCCTTATATCAATTTAAGCGATGTTACGGGGGACTTTAACAAAAGAATTTCGTAAACCTTTAGCTTAAAATTTGATGGCTAGAGGCGTCAGGGACACTTGTGAGGTGGTTAAGCCCATGAGGAAATACGCGGGTGGGCCTTCGCAGGGCCTTCGCATCTTTCATACCCCAGCCATCTTTGAAAACGGCCTAGGAGACAATAACGGCGAGGTTGATCGGCCTGTTTATCTCCATCCTATTAACTCAGACGACATAGTCTCTAAGACTCTGGGAATACATCTTATACGACGGAGATTATCAAAAATTGCATGCAATAACAAGTGGTAAAAACCAAGGAGACAGGATCCAGGAGGTTTTGTTGATTGCTGAGATGCCTAGAATTAGGAATCTGCCTTGGGCAGGAATCGCACGCGGTCGCATAATTTCTATTGCTAGGTATACGACAGATCGGCTACGAAGGCGAAATGTCATTTAGGTCTATCTTAAGCCAATGACTTGCTTTACGCATAAGAGTCTTGACGATCGGTTAAAATTGCCGAGGCCAAGGCTTATACAGGATTCAACTGGGCTCTTTCGTGTTCGGCTACCTTACTCTAACACTGATATGATTTGTTGTATCCTGATATTGCGTCTATGGTATCCATATTTGCTGCTTGAGATACATGGCAGTTCCATGTGTCAGTTCCTGCCTTCAGCTGCTGTGGTCGCTCGCATCGTCTCGTAAATGAACAGAAAAATTATCCCGAGTTATTGGCCATCATAGCTCGAGGGATATGAGCGGGGATCAATAATTCATGCAAGTTAAGATATCCATGCACGATGAATCCCACATGCCGAACATTTCTACCAATGACACTGGTGCACATCACAATGTCTCATCAACTTAGTAAAACCATTCCTATCCTCTGAGGCGATGTTTTCGGTATCCGTATCCAAACCTGTGTTGAACGTAAATATTTGTTTTCATACTGTTACTCGTCCATCGACCTCCAGTCGCGATAATCTATCCGGTTTAATTACCTCTTAATCACCTACCCAAAATACCTAACCTACTGGTGTCTACCAGAGATTTAGTAAAGACATAAATTCAATAAGGGGATGATACTTGCAATCGATCTGTACGTCTTAATCACAGTTTCGATATATACGATAACACGTAATACCTCCCATCGTAAACGCTTTTATCGTCGTGTAAGTCACCGACTGCTAAGTTAAGAAAAACGAAAGAGCTTTTAAAGGTATGACCGAGGCAAAGGTATATTCGTAGTTGGAAATCTACGGAACCCTCGTAAAGCTCTTATCGATGTTCAAATAGCCTACACACATTATTACAGCTATTTCATCAAGACCGATCTAGGTAATATTCAAATTCCGACAACAGCCCCTCGGCGATCTGCCGTACGATAGCACTCAGTTTCCGTAGTCCCTCCTCCAGATCAAGTACAAGTAGTCACCCCCACGGGTCCGGTTAAGGTCAGGTGAGTAATTAGTGTAGCCTTGGGCTAGTATGAGCGCTAAATCGCCTGCATTCATGGCGCCATGATCATTGGGTTTCCTATACAGCGCTACTTCTTGGATCTTCAACTGAATGTGCTGGTCCCTTCTTATAACGAGGTACCGATAGTCACCGCCTGCCCCCGCCGCAAGGTCTTGGGAGTTTGGAACGGCGTTGCCTCGTATATCCACCCCTATGTAGGTACATGCTTCTCTAGGATCCTGGGTCCATTGGGGGACAAGCCAGACGTACCTAGCGTAGTTTAGCCCATATGGTAACTTTGATAGCTACTATACAAGAAAGAAAGAAAATTACTAACTTTCCCCCGAATCCCTGATTTATATCAGAGCCACCCCTGTTGATATCGAGGATTACGTCGTCTGGTGGATTTCTATCATCCGAATAACGAACCTGTTCATTTATTAGCCCTGATCGAAGGATATGAAGAAGGTGAATCCGTACAGTTAGTCCACCTACAAACCATCTCCCAGAAGTTGTCATGTTGATTGGGGACTGAGTTATGCGACAGCTGGCTTCGAATAATAGTGGGACGTACGATATGCAAAGGTAGTTGAAAATTGCCTGATGTTAGGGGAATATTACCCAGGGTGCAAATGTGCGTCTACCAGATATCCAGAATATATAGCCGCGTTAGAATCGCCAAAGGGCACACTGAAATACGTATTTAAACGTTCAGTCAACAGTTTTTAGCGTAATATCCGAGAGTCGGATTATGATAGGACCAGGGGAAGCTTGGTTAAGTGGAGGGAAAAGGTTGCATTGACGAGCCAGCCTACTCTCAACATTGGTAGAAACCTAGCGACGAAAGAATGCATCTTTATTCGGCAGAGCTCCGAGTCGGGCACTTTGCCGGTATCCAGTTCTTGCCGTTGTACCCAAGTACCTCGCCGAACCGGGGTTACACCAAAAGTTCCGAAAAGGGGATAATATTTAGGTTTCCCGCAATCCGATTGGCTGGGGTTTCAACTACCGAGGCCGGATACTTTTACGAAAAGGGAAGTACGGAAATGTCCGACGGCAATCCGTGCCTTCTGATATGATAAAGACTCAAAAGCAAATGACTTACGGGATCTATTGTTCTCGATAAAAATAAAAACTAGGATTGAACTACTTTCAGTGCAATTCAAAATGACTTTGCCTGGGTGTCTTACTTGACATAAGCTGGCAACAATTGGATTATTCACATCTAAGAGGGGCATATGCTTATAACACCCATCGCAAATACAAACGTGGTGATACTATAAACTGCGAATTATATATTTCAAGACCCCTCTACAACCGCAGGCCATCCAGAGCTGAAGTCGAGCTTATTCCAACCAAAACGGAATTCGTTCGCGGGAGTTTTGCTTCGAACGTCGTATGGCACTGAGACCGCACTGAGTTAGCTTATGTCCTTGCTATCATACAAGATAACAGTAAAAATTTACTTACCGTAGTGGTAGTATATGATAGGTCCCCCAGCCTCGTCATCGACAAGGACCCCTTGACCGCCAGGAGCCCATATGTTATCGTGGGTTCCCAAAATCTCCTTACCGCCACTATTGTTAGCACAGTCGACCCCTTTGTCGTCGACGTAGCCGGTACCCGGTTGCTTAGAGCGGCACACCATGACTTTGTATACGTCGCCCCTGTCGACCCAATGGCCATCTGGTTGCTTGCAGCATCGGCCAGACGAGAAGAATAGGTAGTACCAATCCTGCCGCTTGAAGATGTAAGCCGCCTCCGTCGGGCCGTTCGGAAAAGCCGACGTCTTGTTGTTGGCGAGGTGGTTGATATTATTGTTAGCGCCATCCGCGATCTTGATCGGCGGGTCCGCCAGTGGGAGTTGAAATAGACCCTGCTGGTACGAGCCAAATGTGAGGAGATTCCTCCGTTTTCCTCCGTCATCGATGGTTAGGAGAGCGGCGTCGAGGATGTTGTACCTCTTCGCCCAGTCGATCTCAAGACGCCCGTGCCACTCCCAGTCGCCGATCTCGAGCGTCTTGGATGAGGCGACAAGGAGACTTGAGTTGTGTGCCCACGTGTGTATGGCGGGATCTGTCACGCCAACTGTAGAATAGTCGAATTCGTGATTGTTGATATAGACGTAGTACGTGTCGCCCACGCGATGTATCGAAGGGGCACCGCCATACTCGCGGAATTTCGCTGTGCCTTCGTGCGTCCAAGGGCCGTACAGAGAACTAGCCGTCCAGACGCTACCGTTCTTGCCTGTGGTATATAGGAATAGTTTATTATCCGATTGACGCCGTATTAAGGCAGGATCCAACGTCTGGGCGATAGGGTTGTTGGGAATTGTGCCTTTCATGGCCTCAGGAGCTGGCCAACCATTTTGAGCCGAGACATGCTCGGTCAGGAGACCTACGATGAAGCCTGTCGTGAAAGTAACAAGTCTTTTAGGAATCAACATTATGGAAACGAAATAAACGGTCTTGGAACTATGCTTCAACCTATTGACATTGAGAGAGCAGGTTAAGGTCATCGAACCCTTTCGAGAATCGGAAGTGTATGCCCCTTTAATAGACAACGGTAATATGCTTCTTACGTATTGAAACCCACGCTATCGATAAATCCTTTGCAGTCCTCTGCTGTGGTCGTATTTTATCGCCATAGAGCGCGGCGGGGGCTGACGCACTGCCACCTTTACAGATTACTACCAAGGATGACAGTGGGTAAGAAATTCAGCTTTAGCTTGGTATATTACATTCAGGTCGTTGATGTAGTGTATCTACCGCCATCTAGTTAGTTAGAAAAGGTACAGCTATGCCATCGTCTCTCATCTTTATAGGAGCGTTTACAAGAATTTCAAGTAAGCATGGTCCCATCGATGAAGTATCATACTATTCTGCACTTGGACTACACAAAGATCAATTCGTTGAATGCTTGCTTAGCCTACACCACATATTCAAACCCCTGTATTGAATATACTAAATATACCGAAAGTAGGGTACCTGTGGGGTAACTACGCAGATGCTGTACGGCACGGATGAAGATCTCTGAATGCCGTCGATCTTAATCCCAATCCATGCCTAGCCTCTGGGAAACGAGTCGGTCGTCGGCGAAGCCAAGCTTTGATTGGCTATATTTAAATAACACGACTATGTATTACACAATTGAGAAGTATCTATTCGTGCTTGTGAGGGTTATAATTCTCATCAATCCATTAACATGCTGACTACTGCCAACCAACGACGGGGCCAACCGACCGGACAGCCAACGAAGGGTAGTCAATTGCTTGTCTCCCGACTGTTGGCGACGGGTGTATGGCTTGAAGCGCATTCCACGTTTTCATGATCATCTCCAAGCATTTATCGTAGCTCTCGCCAGCTGAGGTGTCTCCAAGGATGGTGGAAAGGCTAGCCTTAACGACATTCTTAAACCCCTCGAAGACACCCTTTGAGCCCGTGTCGCCGGCGCCGAAAAAAGCATAGACAGTTCCATCAATTCTATTACCTAGCTATTATACATTGTTAGACGTTCATTACGCTTCCCAGGACTTCGTAGCGGTCTAGGTGGGGGCGGATAGTACATACCGTACTCCGTATCAACTTGGACATGTCGCTCGAAACGAAGCGCCCTTTTTCCCGGCACGCTGGTCTTCGTCCCAGGTTCGTGATAGAGAAACATTGAATTCAGCTCCCCTTCGAAAGTATCCAAGCGGGCATCTGAGAGCTTCATCATTAGCTCAAGCTGGTCTTTCGATTTATCTCATCTTCTTTGCTGTGCTCAAGCGCATTTGCTATGGCACTCGCAGCTTAGCCCATTTTGAAGAACCTGTGCAGGTAATAGTTGATGTTTGAAAAGTCAGCATGCGTTGAGATGATGAACATTTACCTTTTCGAGAGATGGATGAGCAGGTTTATATCGATATTCCATCACCTCGGCTTGGGTCCAGACTAGAATCACATATGGTCATCCTAATATCTCGTGTTGAATATAAGATTCAGCTAAAACGTCTTTTCGCGCAAAGTATGGCCGTTGTGGACGAAAATAGTTCACGTAATTACTTTTTCCCAACCACAGTCCATGTTAAAAGTATAGTGACGTTGTCCAGGTCATCCTAGCTTCCCATGTTTAGGCAGAGCGACACGGCTTTTAATCAGCTGTACATATTCGGCGTCCTTGAATACTATTACGTATCATGGTGGCTGAAGCCTAGAATCTGAAGAACTTAGCTGTCTTTGGTATAGAACAGCATTGACCAAAGAACCAAGAAAGAGCTCTACCAGCCCAGAGACCGCCTCATACAGCAGCCCAGCCGACTAGGTAATATACTTCTGAGCTAAGTTACTGAGGCTAGCTCCGTGACAATTATTAAAAGCAACTCTTGCTAGCTGCCGTTTAGTAATGAAACTAAGAATTACCCAGTTGCCCAGCGTTAAAGCTATGGCAGTCGAGTAACAGTTGAAATATCCGGGTAGTGATAGGTATGATCAGATGATAAGGAGCGGAATAGATCAGGATATTATCTGCTACGCGTCCGCAGTAAGTATTCAGTTATCAGCAAATCAAATTGATAAGTTACCTGAGTACCATTATGCCAATGCTACATCCCCCAACATCTACCCAATAGCTGTATTAGTATAAGATGCGCGAGGAAAGAAACATAATTTGTTGGTTTGGCGCGTCTAAGGCCCTGTCAAGGACTATATGTATGGCGTCCAATAAACTTGACCTGTCATATCACAGCCACAATACCAGCCTCTACGCATCAACGTGCCAGCGCAGCTTAAAAAAACTGCTTCTTCAACAGCCTTATGCTCCACGCAAACCAACATAGTATAATCCGAACCCCGTATACTCATCTATTCTCATCAGGAAGGTGACTAAGACTAAGCAACGATGAAAGCGAAAGGAAAGGGGAGTATGATAAGGCGGTGGCTCACGCGGCTGGAGGATCCTTTTAAACGCCGGGCGACCGTCTCAGATGGGCCGGCACGGGTCAGAACTGAGGTACGTTTGGACATCTCAGGGATGTTATGCTGTTATCAAACTACGCGGACTTGTCTAATCGCTTTGTACGCCAGTCTATAAATAGACAAGAAGACAGTGACTTAGATGCGAAACCCGAAGTCCGACAAGACCTACCCACAACCCAATCAAACCCTCACGTTGAGCAACCAAACCAAACCCAAGACGAGGTATCGACTCAAGATATACCACCTAGTGTTATCACCGACCAAGATTCTGAAACAAGTACCGTAATCAAATGGCCAGAGCCCTTCTGGTCCGAGGCCGTGCAAAGACTGCGGAGAGAAAAGCCTAATATATACAGAGACCTCAATACTATACTCGCAGAGAAGTTGAAAGATGACAGGGGTTGTCCTTCAGATCTTGAGCGACTCGCCAGTGATGTACTACATGTAGCTCAAAGCGAGAAAGAGAAAACGGAGCAAAAGACCTCATCAGATAGACGACGTATCTTCCATGATGTTACAGGATACGCCAAAGCTATACTCGAAAAAGCAAAGCCACTACTAGATCTGGATCCAACTGGCTATGGAAAACTTGCGTGTTTGCCGCTCATCCTTGCTCTAGACGTGAGTACCGCCTCGCCGATACTCTATCTAATGCTAACCCATATAAGCTTGTGATTCGAAGTCATGAGGCTTATGAGGATGCTCTCAGAGCATTCTCGTTTATTTCTCTTCTCCTCTGTCGTTACGAGGAAAGAGAAAAAGACTATAAGAAGCATCAAGCAGAAAATGAGACCCAACTTGAACAACTAGAAAAACTTCTTCCTGACTTGTACTTCGAAGTTCTTCTCACACTAGTAGACTTGACTAGACATTTTCAAAGGCGTAGATACGGTATGTTCCTTTCTGGTTTAGAATAGAGGTTTTGATGGTCATAAATTCTATAAAACCGGTACTTCTCAGCTAATACGAAACGTGGCTACAGAGCAGGTACTAAGGTCTACAGTTATTGACATGGACGGCTGGAAAACTAAAATGCAAGAGATTAAAGAGAGGGACGAGCAATGCCAAAGTCTATTCGAGATAATAGATTCTAAGCGTAAGTATATCTCTATGTTAGGGCAGGAACAAGTCCCTCAATTAGTTATATAATGCGGAACTAACGTATTGGATACAGTCACTCGAGATATTCATGATAGGATCAAAAGCTCAGATGAGGCAAGAGAACGGGAAGGTATGTTTTAAAGCTTCTATACGTATAATAGGCGTCTAACAACCATTTAGATCGTAATAAGCGAATAGAGAAGGCGCTTCGATGGACATCAGGACACGACTATTCAGGCGACCATAGAAATATAACCGGTCGGCTGTCTAAAACACCAGGCACTGGAAGCTGGATCTTCGAGCACGACACATTCCTAAAGTGGAACTCATCGCTAGATCAAGGACTTCGATCTCTATGGCTTCATGGTCCAGGTAAGCGGATTACTAAGAATTAATTTCATATTGAGTCATATGTAGCTGACTTGTACTTTAGTTGGTTGTGGAAAGACTACCCTAACGTAGGTATTTTCACATATAGAAGAACTCGTTATTCTAACAGAACATTCAATAGAACGCGAGTCATCGAGAAATTTATCGACGCTTCCCAGGAATCCCCTGAATACGAAAACAATCAAGTCGCTTATTTCTACTGTTCAAAGGCTCAGGGCCTGGGTAGTCAGCCATCGGAAGTACTGGCATCCATCATACGCCAACTCTCTTGGTCGCCTAAGGATGATCGAGTTACGCAGCCCGTGTTGAACCACTGGAAGGAATTCCTAGATCAAGACAACCCAAATAAAGAACCGCCGAAGCTAAATCTACAGGAATGCGAAACCCTCCTGGGAAAGATTTTCGGCCTAAGCGACCACATCACGATTATTATTGACGCTCTTGATGAATGTGCCGATCCTAGGGAACTTCTTGAAGTATTTCAGAACTTCGAGGAACAGCTTCAGAAGAGGGCCACCCCAGCGATTAAAGTATTTTTCTCTAGTCGGGATGAAGTCCAGGTTCTAGATCAACTCAATCCAAATCTCTGCGAAAACCTCATGCTTACACCTCCAGACACGGCAAATGATCTGCAAGTATTTATAAAAAGCAGCATTGGAGACATCATCAAAAAGGACAAGTCACATCCCCTGAGTACAAATAATCAACTAAGAAAAGATATCACCGATGCCTTGGTTGAACACGGGAGAGGAGCGTAAGTTAGCATCGCTATATCCAAATTGATGTAAGATACTGACTCGTATCCAACAGATTCAAATGGACACAGCTACATCTGGCCATAATATCCAACTTTGGCAACGAAAACGACATCCGGACGTCCCTGGATGAGATCAACGCTAAGGCCAGCTCAACCTATCTCAACAAGACCGTTAGTACACTGGATCCATCGAAGCAGTTGCTGAGTCTTTATGATACTTACGGGCTTCTCTACAAACAAAACATGAGAGTGGGACGTAATGCCGAAGTCCACTTTCAGCGTGTGATGCGACTGGTCCTCGTCTATCACGAACCAAAACTACAAATAAAATGGCAAAGGAGAATCTTACGGACGGCACCCACGATAGAGCTACTCATTGGCGTGGCTATCACCAACCCAGAGGGAGGTAACGATCCCGAAGGCGGGATTACTAAAAAGTATATTGAGCGCATAACGAGCAACTTTCTCGTAATAAACGAGGACTCGACAGTGGAGTTTGCTCACGTCTCCGTTAAAGAATATTTGCAGCATGCAAGATCGAAGGACTTTTCAGACCTAATCTCAAACATTTACGTGGCTGCATCATGTCTCAGCTCAATCAAGTTTTTCCATAAAGACCTTACTAGGGAAACATTGCTGTCAATACTCAACTCGCGTTTACCGCAACTGCTGGCGAAAGATTTCATGTGCTACTCTGTTTGGTTTTGGTATATCCATTGTGAGGCAGCAGGTCAGGAAGGACGGCAAGAGGACCCCCTTAGAAGCCAGTTCTCAGAGTTTATGCTTACAAAAAAGGTTGGGGATCCATTTAAAGCGTGGGCCTATGCTGCAGGTCTTTCGTTTGAAAAGCAGCCGGAGCCCTTTTATACAGCATGTGAATATGGATATAACGAAGCCGTTGCGGTAATTCTTCAGCACAGGCCAGAAGTGGTAAATATCCGCTATGGATTTAATGATAGCTCAGGTTTGCATCTAGCCGCTTTCAACAATCACTCAGCCACCGTACAGGAGTTGGTGCGTGCGAATGGTATAGATATCAATGCCAAATATAAAGGATCAACAGCACTTGCGTTTGCTGTTAAACGAGACCACGAAGATATCGTTAAACAGCTTCTAGCGCATGAAGCTATCGATATAAATTCGAGGGATTCGCGTGGCCAGACGCCTCTATCTCTAGCGGAAGGACGTGAGAGTATCTCAACACTTCTACTTAATAGAGGTGCCGACCCGAAAGCTACAGATTATTTAGGGCGTACTAGCCTCTGGTTTGCGATATTACGCGGCCGTATTATCCTAGAGGATTTGGACCCAGAAGCCCATCTTTTAAGGACGGTTGGCCTTGCTACGAGACTTGCTATATCACTAGCAAATTGCGATTTTTTATCGGTAGCAAGTCACGAATATAGTTCTACATCCAATAGCTTCGTCATTCATGTGCTCTGCATTATGTTAGCAGAACTCGAAGTATCCTACCTTCACAACAACAACAACACTCATAATTATAGAGAGTTGTTCCAGTTCTTCAGACGCTATAGCCTTGATTTATCGAGGTATGGAATTGTGGTTAAGGCCATTCTCGAAGAGCTTAGGAAAATGAAGAATGAAAAATGTTCCGCCCAGCATTTCATTCAGCAGCATATTGTGCAGCCACTCGAGAACCTATCCGAAGAGCTTGTGCGGGATTGCGGTCATGGATTTGATGATGGTAATTTTCCAGTTGTATCGGCATTGGTTGATTGGGAATTTGTGTGGAATTACTCTAAAGCACCGGATGGTAAGGAGGAAATGGCTTCCAATCTAGATGAAGCGGCAGCTCGGAGCTTCATGAATGATATCGGTCTTATGTTTGATATATATTGTCCCTAAGAAAATCTAGCAGATTTAACCATGAACGTCCACGTTACCTTCGGTCACCTGGTATCCATTCATTCGGAAGCGTCTTGAGTGTCTGGTTATAAAGAAAAAGAAAATATTACAAGTTACGTATATTTAGTTTTTGTATATACCCAATGTACCTCGTACCTGCATCTTTATCACAATATGTATTGTATAGTTAAGAAGGTTGTATTGTTTAAGTTACGAAGAGGGAGGATCTAGCTTAATATACATGTGGGGTATATACGTGACAATCTTCCTTTGCCCCACTATGATGTTTATTTAGTGGGTCTAATCATCCTTCGTTGTTATGTGCTATTGATTCCAATCTTCATACCACAATCAATTTCTTATCCTACCTCTAACATAAGAACAACAAGAATAAAATAACCACGATGGATAAGTCCGACCTCCTATTATATGCCAAGGAGTATGCGACCACGCAGGATCTGTACGAGCTTCTAGGTGTAACCTCTGACACGCCCAAAGAAGACATCCACCGCGCTTGGTACGTCATATTCTATCCTTCATCTGACAATCTCATACGTAGACATCACGATACTAACATACCGTCCATAGGCGCAAGCGCAGTTTGAAATACCATCCTGACAAAGCAGGAGCCAACTTCGACCCGGCGAAATGGGAACTGTTCGAGCGAGCGCGGGACATACTGTCCGACGCCCCAGCGCGCGAAGTCTACGACTCTCAACGGTCCGCCGCCCTCCTCCGCGAACAGCAGCGCCGCGCCATGGACTCTAAGCGACGCGCGATGGTAGAGGATCTCGAAGCACGGGAACGCGGGGCTATCAAGCGCCCGCGCGGTGAGGGCGATGGCCCTACGATGAGCGAAGCCGAGAGGAGACGACTAGTCGAAGCTGGAAAACGGCGTCTAGAAGAGAGGCAGAGATTAATTAGAGAAGCGGAGGAGAGGGAAAGGCAGCGAGAAAGAGAGCAAGCATTGCAAGCAGGTATAGAGAACCAGAAAAGGGTACAGCCGCCAAACCCCGAGGAACAAGGAGGCCAAAGAAAAATACCAGATATTTCAAGTGCAGCTAAGTCGAAGATGGATATCGACCCAGAGCCACCAGCGAAAAACGGCGACGGCTATGACGATCAGATCGCGGACCTCGAGCGGCGACTAGAGGAGGCGCGGCAAAGGAAAGCAGCCAAGAAGGAAAAGAAGACGGGGCGGAAGAATGGCGATGAGAAGCACAAGACACATGAGCTTATACCTACTCCCGATGCCTCTCGGGGACCACAAGCTGACGAAAAGAAAGGCACCTGCACTTCCACGTCGGGGACGACAAAAACCTTTTCCTTCTCCGCCTCTACAGGCACCTCTACGTCTACCAACGGCAATACTACCACCGGCGGCAAGCCCCGAGCTAAAGGAGACTTCGCGTCGACAATGGCTAGGCTGCGTGCCGCGCAGGCTGAGAAGGAGGCTCGGAAGAAAGCGGAAGAAGCTGCTGCTGCTGCTGCTGCTAATGGTGTTGGCGCCTAGTTGAATGACGTACATCAAGTGTCCCTATCTAGATAGCTGCCACTGTTCTCTATTTTGTCGCTACGTATTATGATACCCCCGGTCGTTATAGAAAGGATCCTACTTGAAGTGCATGTGTTAGAATAAAGACGATACATTGAAGATACTTAAGATTACTGTTCTAAATTGTGAATGCTAAGATAATTTTGAGCTGCGAGGCAACTCGCCACTGACTTCCTATGTCTCATAGTATCCAATGTACCTGACAATTGAAACGGATAATTGATCTTTAATATGTTTACGAAGCGGACTTTAGTATATACGATATAGTATACAGGTGTACGCTATGGGCAATGTCTCATAGCAATATAGTTACGCACGTCTTCTGGGAACGTAATATTTATACAGCCCACCCGTCCAACAGCCACGAGCAAATCCAACGCTTTACGAGCCCTCCTGCAACCTCTCACGCATCCAATCCGGCACAAACGCCTTGATCTTGACGGACTGTCCTCCACCGCCCTCCTCATCCGCTCCCCACTTAACAACAAACTCATCACGAGCCGGGTCAAACGGTGCTCCGGCCGCCGTCTCCCCCGGTAGTTCGATATCCGTCATGATCTGCAATCTGCACAGCGCCAGGCCGATATTTCCCACCCCACGAAGCCAAGTCCCTGCGCTGCGGCCTTTGGTGCCGTCTCTGCCTATACTTAAGTTCGACGGGATGTCCTCTGCTGATAATCCCTCCTGGGCCCCTTCCCCACGCGTATCCTCCTCGGAAATATAAGGCTTATACTCGAGAACTCCCGGCGGGGAGGGGGAAGAAAGATTGGAGGGGTATAGTAGGCACGGAAGTATACGCTTACGCACGACGCCGCGGTGCCGTGTGCGGATCGTTAGTTCCTGCCCTACGTAGCACCCCTTTCGGAAGTCGATGCCTCCCATGAGATCCATATTGGCCTCGAGCGGAAGCGCTTGCTCGCGCGGTATCTCGGTCTGGCCCTCTGCTACGCCGAGCAGATACCGCCTCACGCGATACGCATTGTCGTCGCTTTGCGCCAGGTCCACGTCTAACCCATTCGCTCCCCCGCGTCGAAGTACTCGGTATCCCATCCCAGGGGCGCGAGTATCCGGCAGGATGATACTATCTTTCAGATGCGACAACTGCGGATTGTCAGGCGAGGAGAGAGAAGAACCATCCCACACCTGCCACGCAGCAACTTCACCCTCGTCCAAAACCCGGAACGTGAGTTTGCTCCGCAGCTTGTATCGCTTGATATGCCGCGCCAGCGTATCAACCTGCGCGGCATCGACCTCGACGACAAAAGCCTCTCCATCCGCCGCACCCGCGCTAACGCCTAGCGTATCCCGGTAGACGAACACATCATGCAGCACGCGGCCCGTCGCGTTCAAGAAACCGCTGTAGAAACCCGGCGCCCCCGCAGCGAGACTAGTATGAGAGGGGACCGGCGTATTATGCCGATGTCTACCGCTCCCGCCCCCGGGCTCGTCAACCACGGACTGTGTAATCAGACCGTGCAAGAATTTAGGCGCATCCGGACCGGCAAGGCTGATCAAGCGTCGGGATGTCAGCAGCGCATAGCCGGACGGAGGCGGTGGTGATGGAGGGGCAGTAGGGCTTGCGCGGCGTGACGTCACTGAGAAACGGCGCAGCGATCTCTGGCACGACTGGCATACGAAAGGCAGAGGGAAGGGGCTTAGGCCGCGTCCGGGGGCGCTGCGCGGTAAGATCGGCATCGCGTAAAATCTCCGGGATGGGATGGGATGAGATAGGAATGGATAGATAGATACCGCGCCGCAGTCGTAAGCAGTACGCAGCTCGCAGCTCGCAGCTTGCAGGAATGTGGTATTCGATATGTCGGACTACTGATAACCAGCGAAGTCCGAGGCTAAGATCTCCGGGCGACGTCGGAATCCTTGGCTGGAGGAAGGGAGGGAGGGATTATCACGAACGAGGCTTTGGGAGGGAATTTGTTGTACGATACGGCGCGGCAAGGTAGCCTTATCGGCTTGGCGTGTTCGAACGAACCGTGCGTTCTTGGGGGGGCAGAATAACGTCAAAAAAGGGTTGGCCTCGGATGGAAGAGAGCTGTGATGTAATTTTTTTTCGTTCGTTCCTTACACTACTGCTATGTACATCGTTGCCGTGCCGCTTTGCGAAACTTTCCGGCCGAGGATTACATAATGCTATTTTCTGGGAATTCGGGGGTGGCTCGGCGTCGGTAATCCGAGGTCGGACTTCGGGTTCCTCGGTTCCGAAATCCTGATCTCTACATAGGACTGTCTCCTCCTAGGTTCTCCAAATCAATCTTAAAATTTTATTATTATTTTAGTTTGGTGCCTAAGCTAGCAGCCTCTGCCCGCTAGTGTAGGCACCTAACCTTACTAACAGCCCTACATTCTACGGCAATAATCCTCCCGAAATTGTACCTACCTAGCTAGCAAACCTTGGAGGGGTTAGGTATTCCGCCCTACGATGATTGATACTGATATGTAGGTATAAATCCGCTTTCGCGAACTCGACCATAGCCTCGGTTTGATTGCTATGTAGATCAATTAGACCAGGCCATGTACTGTACATTGACGAGATTAGGATTCTGTATACCTCGTCCGTGATCCGCAACCCGATGTCAATATTCCTTAGTCTACCGCTCCGGCTAGTACTAGGGTGCGGTCGTCGAGTATACGCAGACAGCACAAGTAAGCGATCCTCACGGTTCAACTGATCCGACAATCGTGGCAATGGGGGCTTGAATTCTCTAGTCGTATTAAATCGGGGCCAGAGCCTATGTACACGCATATCTCCCGTATCTCCTTGGACCCTTTTTGCATAACTGACTTGCACCAACACACGTACGTACACTACAAGATAGGCAAGTCCGTAAAGAGACGTACAATGCCGGGGGTGAGGGTTTATCACGTCAGCGAACAGCCCGTTATCTCAATATCTTATTGTTTATTGTGGATATTGTCTACGATCGCTATCACAGATCCTCCATACTACGACTCAATAATAACTCGGCAATCGGTAATTCAATTCTGCATTACGCACGTACATACGAGTCTTGTTTAATCCGATTCATATTGCAACCTATCATAACCATATACCCCCAACATTACCTACCTACCTACCCAACACATTGTACATTTCTTACCCGGTTAGGGGATCATCGCAACCGAGGGAATACTCCGCGAACAAGTGCCCGGTAAGGTAAACTCCCTTATGCGCGATACCAACGAAGTCGATACTTTCAAGGCTTCCTGCATATGTATCTCCGTATGTACCTACCATTCAGAGGCATGACGATCTCCTTGCATGCAGCAGCGAGCATTGAGAGCAAAGCCCGGATTTGTGTCACCACCTGTAACGTGTCTATAGATCCATCCGCCCTACTTAATGTACGTCCATACTTTTGTGTGGTATGGGAAGTTGTTTTGTTGTTGTTGTTGTCCGTATGTAGGTATGTATGTAAGTATATGTAAGTGTGTAAGTATCCTGCTGGTGTGTTGGCAGTACCAAACTGCATTATTCTCAACTACCCAACTGATATACCCAAAGGTGCAAGTTCAATGGATAAACCGCATAGTTTAGTCATCCTATGAGATGTCGAATATCGGGTGCATGTAATAGCTAGCTAGTAGCTCACAGCTTAGTTCCCCTTAGTGCAACCAGTCAAGATATTGTATAGCTCTCTCCATAGTCTCGGCCGTGGCTAAGACGATGCTAGTCGAGTGACATGCAGCTCGAATGATTCACACGGCCGTTTGAGCCAGAAAACCGATGAATCAGCGTTGCTTTCCCCCGCCGACGGTCCCCTCCATGCCACCGTCGTGTCCCGCCAATTTGCAAAGCCTCACCGCTCCTCTACGCAGGCTAGCGGCCAAGCCAGGTCGTTTGTGTGGCTGCTCCGCAATGGCCCCTCTACGTTCTGGCGGTCGACCAGTGGGTAGATGGTAAGATGACTAACTTGACTTATAGACCTGCCTTGCCTTGCCTTGTCGACTAGGGCCAATTCATCGTAGCACGTCCACGAGCCGTCCATTAACCTAACCTAACCCGTGTGTGATACAAATTGTCTAAGCCTACTATGCTATAGACAAGTATACTAGACGCGGATGCCCAGTATACGTACCATATATTCATGTATCACGCATCGTATCGATCACGTATCCGTGGTACATGGTCCGACCCGAACCCCAATTAACCCTAATTCTCAAGTTCGCAATAGCGCCATTGGCAATATCTTCACCGAATGCTTTAGACATGTTTCATCCAGTCGACGGACATAGTGTAGGTAGTAGCAAGGGGATGATCTACATATGGGTCGCGGGAAGATCTCCCTTAGGGGTCTCGTCTCGGGGGCCGTTAATTAATTACATATCCCTTCGTGCATGCCAACTTAGGTAAATGCATACCTACATATCATAAAGCGCACATCTAAATTCCGTACAATTGAGACTTATACGCAATTATATTGTTATTTGATTCAACATGCCAATCTCGAAGATGCCGAGATGTGCGACCATCGCTCAATGGACAATATAGCCTGTCAGACATCTATCCCAATGTCATATCGGCGATTACGGTCTGCCGATAGTGGTCTGGTTGATCGTAATGACGATGCTCTAATCAAATAGATTATACAATGCGTAATGCCGACGAGTGCGACATCGAGAAATAAAAAAATCATATGTTTGCATGTTGAAACGGCGAAAGGCTGCGGCATTGTAGATATCGTGATTTGAGACTCTAAAGTCGGGGTTTGAAAAAGCAAACAATAAAAGCACCCGTTTCACGATCTCACCTGCTTAACGGGGCCAATATATTGTAAATTGATCTTAGCGGGAAGAAGCAATGGCTCTTTTTCCACGGGCAGCATAGAACATGCACGGTCATGATAATCGACAAAGGGGAACCAGTAGAAAACTTGGATGAAACCCAACCCGCGGCAGCAGTAACGATAATCAACCGCTATGACTGGCCCGTCTCCCTAAACCGTCGCCCCATCTACGGAGAGAGCGGTGACAGGCGTTGAAGCTGACCGCAGATTTGGGTTACCTAGTATGCGGGAGAGCAGGGGTGTTAAGGCGCGGCCGTGCGTTGAGACGACCTTCTCTCGACCGCAGCGAGCTCTGCATTATCTCAGCATCGTCATCAACGAGTTCGCGCTTCTCCGCTGGCTTTTCCCCCTTCAGGGAGGACAGAGATTTGAGCTACTGCAACGCGTCAGACGTCTTCATTCCGCGTTGCCAATAACGATAGGACAGTCGGCACCGGGGAACGGTTAGACCCCAAGCCATATTGACGCCTCTTCGCTAAACAGCTCCCAAGACGACACTGTCCCAGACGGGCGGCTCTTGACGGTGTAGGGTGTAGGGCTGGCTAACCTGGGCTGGGCTCCCGGCTGCTAATTCGTCCCCAGCCGGATGCGAGGAAGACATATCCGTTCGAGACATCAGATTTAGTACGTAGGGGTCCATCATATCATGTATGTACTCTTTATCATCTCCTTGTTACGTCTCTCCTTGGCCTGAACGGTACTTCTCCGAATTGCCTATTACATAGGTAGATACCCGTCCTTTTCGTCGCCGTCCAGGAGAGATCTAGACCATGCCAAAAAAAAAAAAAAATTTTAAGAAACAACGTAGCGTCCGAAAGGGGAGATTGAGCACGAATCGAGTGCTCCGTGCTCCGTGCTCCGCGCTTCGTACGATGCGGTATCAAGTGATCCGCTGATGAACTATGACATTTAGATTCGGAAATGCTAAACTAGCTGATATCCAAAACCTAGGTAGTGTAGTCATCGCCGACGGTTCACAAAAAAAAGAACCGAAATAATTAAACGAAAAAGAAAATAAATGAAATCCCCCATTGTTTTTCTTTTTTTCAGCCAGGACGGTAAACGAGATTGTGGGGAGTATCACAGAACAGCTCAGCCCCCAAAACGAAGGTCCGCCTGAAAGATCGCGGCAGAAGTTGATTGGACGATTAACGGCCGCTGCCTCTTTAGTCCTCCACCCGTTGCGGGAAACCCAGACGGTTGGGATTGGAAAAAAAAAAGTCAAGTTTCGACGGTACTTTGCGACTTTACGCTTTAAAGGCTAAACCTAAACCCGTTCTAGCTTAGGCCGGTGGATCTAAGATAACCACCCGACGACCCGACATCAAGGTCAACCTACCTACCTATGTACCTACGTACTATATATATTACCTAATCACGCCCTTGTGCACGTTCCCTTCCTCCCCCCACACGCGAAAGAGTGCGAGAAATACGCCAAGTCGCTGATAATCAATCACCAGCCGGAAGGGAGAGCCTTGTCTCGTTTTGCCTACTGCCTGATGGTGAGTAATTACATACCTAGCAAGAGACGACCAGGGTAAGCGAGAGCTTCCTTGCACTCCAGCTCCTTTACGTGCGTACTCTCGTAACTAATCCAACCTAACTAGGCAGAACCAATACTTTTTTTTTGTTGTTCCAATGATCGATATCCTCATTCCGGCACACATCGGACTTTATGGATTTAATATTCAACTAATTTCCCCTTTCTAATGTACTCTATCCCCCATGTCTCTGTTCCCAGCCTGGGGTCCAGGGGGGAGAATGCCTTACGAGCCCGACAAGTTTCGCTAAATTTGTTCAAGTGACGCCTTTCATATTCTACTAAATTCCTTTGTCTCGACAAGCCAAGGGTCCCGTCGACCTCGGACTTTTCGAAATTAAGCAAGCTAACTAGGTTACCTAGGTAGGTAGGTTTGGGCTTCAGACCTGGCGAGGCTCGGGGTCCGGCACTAAGGCGGGGTTTATCTTCGCACCGAATCGTTTTGTAGTTTTAAGCTAGCGGTAGAAGGAATAATAATAGTAGTAGTAAGGAAGAAGAGAATTCCTTAGGGTTCGATTACTAGTAGAGATTTAAAACCCTCTCGCCGAGTTAGTAATATTATCCCGCTCCCACCTCGGCATCTCGAACGTGATAACGACTCGAGTTTTTTATTACCCATGTCGCGGACGCCGCGGCGCGCATTTCATACCCGCGAATTCCATAGCACATGACTCAACAAATGATCTGCGCTCGGCTTGTGGATTACATAGATCCATCAGATAATCATTGTACAACTGTCATCGTACCCAGGTAGAATATGTGATAA